AATCCATTGACAATTCGACGTTTGGCTTGTCCGAAACCGGTAGAGACTTCAGCATTCCGTACGGTTTGTGCCGCGTTGTCTTGTTTCGCTGGCAACTTTGGCACGAACCCACGAAGTCGATCACGAAGTCGTCCAACCCTGGCCAGTTGTAATCTCGCCTGACCAATTCGATCGTCTTGTCTCGACCTTGGTGCCCCGCTAACGGCTGGTCATGACGTGCCTGCAAAACCCGAACACGCAGGTCTTCGTGATCAGGTACGTAACACCGCCCCCGATATCGCAACTCTCCTCTCTTCGTGAACGACCACGGCGACTCCGTGTATGGCCGCCCCGAAACCGTGATGTTCGTCCACGGAACGTTTCCCTCGGCGGCTTCTGCCTTTACGCCTTCCTTGATGTCGTCCCGCAAGGTACGGTTTCGGGGACCCTGCACCCTTGCCGACCGACTCTGTTCGACCCACAGCGACTTCGGGAGTAGGACGTTGAAGTTCCCTTCGTTGTGTGTCCGCGAGTGGATTCCGCCCTTTCCCGGGTGGTAGTCCGGTCTTCGTGTCAATGCGTCCGGTTTCCCTCCCTTAACGCCTGGTCGATAACGAATCCGGAAATTGTAGTCCGACAACGCTTCGGCCCACCGAGCTTGGCGACGACTGAGCTGTTTCGCCCCTTGAAAGTATTCAAGATTCTTGTGATCCGTGAGGATCTCGGTCGGTTCCTTCTGTGCTAACAAAACCGCCCGCCAATGTCCGAATCCGGACACGATCGCGAGTAGTTCCTTATCGTGGACCGTGTAATTGATCTCCGCCGGACTCAGCTTTCGCGAGTAAAACCCAATCGGTCTCAGCGCATCCTTGTCGTCACGTCGACTCAATACGGCCGCCAGCGCGTAGTCGGACGCATCCGTCTCCAAGAAACAGGCGACGTCCGGATCCGCCTGGATCAGCATGGGTCCTTCCGAAAAGCTGTGCAGCAACGTGTCGAACGCTTGCTGTTCCTCGTCACCCCACTTCCACTCCACGCTTTTCCGCTGGAGTCGATTGATCGGCAAGGCAATCTTGGCGTAGTCGCGTATGAATCGTCGATAGAAGTTGGTAAATCCTAGGAACCGAGCGATGTCGGACACACATCGCGGCACCGGCCAGGTTTTAACGCTTGCCATCTTCTCATCGGTCATCGCGACTTCTCCCGCCTTCACCTGATAACCCAGGAATTCGATAGAATCCTTGAAAAACTCACACTTCTTCGGCTTTAGGTAGAACGAATGCGCGCGAATTGTGGCGAACAGCTCCTTGCAAACCGCGACATGTTCCTCTTTCGTCGAAGAGTAGACCAGTATATCGTCTACGTAAACGATCACCCCCTTATCGACGAATTTATCGAAAATGTCGTTCATCAAGTACTGGAACGACGCTCCGGCATTGCACATACCTTCCCGCATCACCTTTGACTGAAACGCGCCGTACCGGGTCAGGATCGTGGTCCATTTCTCGTCCCCCGGGCGCATTCGTAAGAGCTGATACGAAGTCGGCATGTCAAACTTGGAGAAGATCTTCCCCGTGCGAACTCGTTCGAGGCACGTGTCAATCTTTGGCAAGGGGTATGCGTTCTTGACCGTAGCGCGATTGAGTTCGCGGTAATCCGTAACCATTCGGAAGTCTCCCCCTTTCTTCTTCACAAGGAAGACCGGGCTTCCGAACCAATGCGAAGACGGCTCAATATGTCCGATTTCGCGACTTTTGTCGATCCACGCTTTCAACCAGGCATCCGCATCCGCCGACAACGGGTACGGTTTCGCCCTCTTCAGTTGGACATTTGGTAAGAGGTCAACCGGGTGATCGTAGATTCGATGAGGCGGTAACTTCTCGTAATTGCTCTTTTTGAAGATGTCGCGAAACTCCGCGTATTCGGCCGGAATCATGGCGTCTAGTTCATCATCGTCAGGAGTCGGTTCTTCCTCCTCCAATTCTAGCTCTCGAATTGCTTCCAACATGTCGAGAGTTCCCTCTCCTTGTCCGCGGAACCATTTGGTTTCTCCCGGAATCGTATCATTCTCGCCCTTCGCCGGCGACTTCGGACATAGGATGCTGAGTTCGCAGGTCTCCCAATCCATCTGTACTCCGTATTCCTTGATGAAGTTCAAACCCAAAATCACCTCCGGCGAAGCGCTCTCCATAATGTCGAAACGAATCTTGAAGGGTCCGATGTTCCCGTTGATAAAGACCTCTACGTCTACGTACGACGTAATCAGCCCGCGTCCGGCCGGATTCGGGCCATTATCCACGAGTCTGATGATCTTCGGGACTTCGTACTTGGATTGAGCTACTTGCCCAAGCAGCGAGCAGCCCGGTCGAATGAAGCTGCTGCTCGCCCCTGTGTCGAGGAGGGCTGAGAGCACGAATTCGTCCGAACCCGCTCTAGGCCAAACGGACAGGGAGACTAACGGATCCTGACCGCGTATCTCGAAACGGATCCAGTTCGACCTTTGGAACGAGCCCTTCTTCCAGTTCGTGTTAGCAGGGGCCTCCCTTGCGATTCGGACGACTTCGGGCGCCACCGGCTTGTAAGACGGCTTGTCCGGGCAGTCTCGGGCGTAATGACCCGGTTTCCCACATCGTAGACATTTCCCGTCCGCTCGTCGCTGATCCTTCTCGGCTTCAGTGATGGGCCGATAGGGAGCCCCTCCCCTTGGGACGAACGCGGGGCTACCGGTAGCGAACGTGACCCTGGGTCCTGGGCTAGGTTGCCTGCGTTCGCGACTTCCGTAGTCCGAATCTCCTTTGGTGCGCTGATCCGTGCGTTTTCGCGACCCACGATTCTTCTTCGACCGACCTCGATCCTCTTCAGAGTCGGAGTCCGAGCTTTGCCCGCGATCGCGCACGGACTGCAACCGATTGTCGACTTCGATCGCCTTCGCTCTGAATCGGATGTAATTCCTCTTCGGATATCCGTTCTTCTCGAGGTACTTGCTAACAGACGGACGAAGCCGGTCCATTACGGCGTCGATGCAAGCTTCATCGTTCCAGCCAGTCAGGGGTTTATGCAACCCGAACTTCGAAAAGAATTCGCTAGCCGTTCCGGTTTGCTTCAATTTCTTGATGGCCCGCACGGCATCGCCCTTGCTATTGTTCTTTCCGAACGAACTCCTCATGAATTGCGCGAACATTTCGAAGTCGTGCAAAAACGCGGGTTGTTCGTTGAACGGGAGACTGATGTACGGGAAAACATGCTCGAAGGCGTCCCCAGCCAGGCGCATAACCGCGAATCCGACTTGACCCTTGCCAGTTCGGAACTGCGACGGTTTCTGATTGAAACAGACACGGCATTTGGCCAAGAAGTGGTTCACCGAATAGTCCTTGTCGTCTCCGGTGAAGTCTTTGACTTCGTTGAGTTTGCCCTCGTCGTCTTGTTCCACATCGTCTCGCCCGGATTCGGACCGAAACTCGCGCATTGGGGTGTAGATATCCCTCTCGGCGAATCGTTGGTTTCGGTACCTTCCATCCGCTTCGTTGTCTGAGTCGTCGGAATCGTACTGATCCGCAAGATCTTGGAGACCACTAAAGGGGTCCCGCTGGGTCTTGCGCGCCTTCGGTTCCTTGACCGACCTCGCATCGATCAATTGTTCGATCTTGGTGGTAAGGTCGTCCTGGTCCTTACGTTGCCTGGCGAGTTCGTCCAGGAGACGACGGTTCTGTTCCCGAAGTAAATCCAATTCGGTTTCTTCGCTATCTTCCGTGTGAGGGACGACCCTCTCTTCCGAATCGGCCGGTCGTCGGTCGACATCGTCCGGATCCTCGGAGTTTTCTTGCGAAGGTCGTATGTTCCCACGGGTTCCCGCCCTGGTGGCCGGACCCGTGCCTCTATTGTTGTTGTTCGTTGCCTGGCTTGACATCTTGAAAGGTGTGATAGAAGAAGCGCAGTTATGCTGTTACGGGCGTCCTCGAAAATCGTCTAAGGGGTTGCTTCCGCGTATTTACTTCCGTCGCGACTACGTGGCGAGTCACAGGTTTCTAGATGCAAGCGAAGTCGGATCACGTGACTACGATGTCTCACGGTCTTTCTCGAGTTCGTGTGAAGTCGCGACACTGTACTAACGATAGTGAGTTCGTCGGTGATAGTGTAACCTCTCCTAGTACGTCTCCGTAGTATAACTAAGGTATAGGCGTATGTCGAATGTAATAACTGCGCTTGAATCGTATAGAAGTACAACAGACTCGCACGACTTCTCTACGATTCGCGCTCCGTTATATGCTAACTACGTACTCGCGTTGCTCGCACCGAATCCGCTATTGTTTACCGAGTTCGCCCGACTTCGTGCTTGTCTTCTTTGTTCGAGAACAAAAGGCTATCGCCCGTCGGTCACTCTTTTAGGCGAACAATAGACGGTCGAACACACGAAGTCGCGGTTTTCTTTTGTTGACTTCGTGCGGATCCGCTGGGTGTCGCCCGATCCGGGCCGATGACCTAGATGCGCGTCGATCCTATGCTGCCGTTCGGTCACGCCCTGTGACACCAGACTTTCACGCCCAGGATCAACAGGCTGGAAAGAGAAGATCAACGACGCTCAAAGTACCTTTACCACTGAGGTCAAAAATCTCACCAAGCAGGACAAGGATATCAGTAACAAGCTTGGGAGCTCGATCACCAAGCTTAACGACTCAATCAGAGCACAGGCAGTGCTAGTAAAGAAGGCAAGTCGTGCTTAGTCAAACTTGACTGGTTAGAGACGGGTACTGTTTTTTGCCACGATCTTTGGTTTGTCAGAAATATTACCGTCTATGACGGTAAAGGTTTAGGAGGCTGATGGGACAAGACACAGCCAAAGACAGCCATGAGTTATCCCAAGAGGAACTGGCAGGTTTGTCAACAAGATGGCTGTGTGGGTCTTGCTGGATCTCTCTAAAGGTCCCTTTTGACATTCGGGCTGGAGTCTCCCAATAGGCAAGCACTGCTTGCAATCTGCCACCAGTTGCTACCACACTTCGTTGTTGTGGAACAGATTGAGATGCTGACTGATGACGCCCTGAGGTCACGTGATAGTTTCATGTAGTGATCGATGGCCGAGGTCAGCGGCGCTGATGGCCTGATGTTCTCAGCAAGTTACGAACGAGCATACAGATTTACTACTAGCTACTGAGGCTCTTGCGAATAGTCCTGACAAGACACTGGCAAGCAGCGTGACCTGCCATGGGGTATCTGTCACCATCGTTGTACCTACTGGTTCTGGCTGTTCCGGTCGCCCACGTCCTCGTGGCTCCTTACACAAAGGTCGAAGAGAGCTTCACCTTGCACGCAGCTCGGGACGTGCTACACCACGGCTTTTTCTCACAACACGCCTTGGAACAGGTAAGTATGTACACAGTCCTCATCCCTCAGATGTATCCCTCGGCTCCCACCAAAACATTCGACCGCTTGCTTTGATAGTATGACCACCGGACATTTCCGGGAGCTGTACCGAGGTCGTTCATACCTTCGGTCATATGGGCAACCCTTAGCTTACCTTTGCTGAGGATGGGACAAGCGACAGGCTGGGCAAATAAAGGTCTAGATGAACAGATTGTTCGTAAGTCTATATATCTCGAAGACAATATGTCATCATACACACAGCTTATCAGACGGTGGTCGGGAAGTGAGGATCGTTCTGGCCATCCTGAACGGTCTGTCCGTCATTCATGTGGCAAAAGCTCTGAGCAGAAGAAACAGATCTAGATCGACGTCGATCTTCTACCTCGTGTTGAGCCTCAGCCAGTTTCATACGATGTTCTACGCGGGGAGGCCGTTACCGAATTTTACAGCCCTGCCTCTTGGTGAGCTTGTCAATATTCGTCTGATAATCAGGTTATGACTGATTCATACCGAAGTGGTCGGACGGGATCCCAGTCAACTTGGCAGTCTCTTACTTGATGGAGGGTCTCACAACACGTATGGAATCCCCAGGCGGACGGTTCAACAGAGTATCAAGAGCCGTCACAATCCTCGCCCTTACAACGTCCATCATCCGGTCCGAACTCGCTCTCTTTCTAGGTGCCCTTTCTCTCTACCTCCTCATTACCCGGAAGATCTCCCTGCTCAATCTTGTGACATCTGGCCTGATCGGAGGTGGAGGCGGAGCGGTACTCAGTACGGTGGTGGATAGCTTCTTTTGGGGCAGGTGGACGTGGCCGGAATTCGAAGCTATTGTCTTTAATGTCGTAGAAGGAAAGAGCGAACAATGGGGGGTGAGTTAGTTAGTCGTCGGATTCTCCCGGTTCAGGACGTTTTGACTAATTGTCGTGCTCAATTTTACGCTGGAATATTCCCCCCTCTCCATGGACCATGGGCAGGTCTCGCCATGGTATTCTTACCTTCTGGTACATCTCCCCAAGATCACCCTGTTCAGCTTACCTCTCGCGCTGTACGCTCTGACGACCGGAGCAGCAGGTAGAGGGTTGGGTGGAATGATGGCGACGTGCATCGTGGGGCTTGTTGGTGGCCTGAGTTGTCTAGCACACAAGGTGGGTCGAGTGTGGGATAAGCGAGATTCATGCGTGATTTGTAGATCTAGGCTCAATTTGCTGTTGCTTGGATCGTACGAAGGAATGGCGATTCATCGTCTACGCCGTCCCGCTAGTCAACAGTTTGGCGGCTACCGGTGCTGCCCAACTGTGAGTCTACAACGCGTTTCGTCTCACAGTTCAGTCTCGCTGATAGACTAGACTCTGGTCGTTCTAGTTGGGATCGAGCAACCAAGCGCAAATCGATGATGGACAAGCTGGGAGGAATGATATTGCTCGGTGGATTGGTGGTCAATGTGGTCGTCACCATCGGATTGACGTATGTGAGCGTCCACAATTATCCGGGTGGTGAGGCGATCGAGGCATTGAGACGGGTCGGAGCCACGTCGGGGCGGTCAGGTGGGTTACAGATTGCCCTAGATGTCGCGACCATTTCGACTAATAATTCTTTGGCGAGACAGAACTGCGGGTATTCTTGCCACCGAGCGTATTACAGACCGGGGCGTCACGATATACCTTCGAGCAAGATGACAACAGTCTACCCCGGTGGGAATTCAATCGGATCGAGAGCGAGAGCTTGCAGACGCCCGCTCAGATATGGTCTGCCGGATTTGACTATACGATCACCGACGAGATCGACCGATTCCTACAAGACGGAAGATCCGAATGGTATATGGTAGAAGCGATCGAGTCGTTTGGTGGGGTGTCTCTGAAACCGACACCTGGGCCGGTTTGGAGTCCGCGCTTGTGGATACTATCCCGCGAAGCTGTGGCGATAGATGTATGATCTGAGCAGAACCTAGGAATCGAGGATCCTGATAGGTTACAACATTACAAGTTGTTTGACCATCCACAACAATACCATAACAAGGCTTGAATTTTTGGGGTATCTCGCAGTTCGAGATAATTCGAGTTGCACCCGTGCTCGTTCACCAGACTTTCAAATCGTCTGTTCGGGTTCTAGGTCGCCCTGATCCGAGTGGCTAGGTCATGCATGTCGCGACGATGGACTCGATCATACCCCGATGCCTGGGTGAGAGCGATGTCCGTTCGCGCGCGAATGAAACAGAAACGAAAAATACAACTTGATGTCCGCGTGTCTCCCTCCTTCCCCGATTTTCCCACCTCTCCACCTCGCACACCTCTCTGCCGACCTCGACCGATATCTTTCGACCTCACTCGACCCTGTCCACTTGCACTCGTTCCGGGTCTTTCTCCCTCGTTGACCACATCGCCACCCGCTCAAGTACGAGGTACAATACAAAGCTAGAGGTTTCACTTCGCCGACGCCCCCGTTGTTCGAAAAACCCTCAGGACCCTAGCTACCCTCGTCGTCCAGCGTAAAAAAGTAGGAAAAGATCACCTCAAAATGTCGATCGTACCTCAAGAACAAGTCGCTGCTATGCAGCAGCAAGGAGATTTTGCCATCAAAAGCTCTGATGTCGCTGCCAAGCTCGGTAAGTCTGAATCACCTCGGGCGAGAAGGTTTTCGTCAATTAAGCGTCCGTTTGACTGACTCTACGGTCTTATCCCTACGTTCGATATCCGATAGACACCTCCCAATGGCCTCTCCTCCTCAAAAACTACGAAAAGCTTCTCATCCGCTCTTCCCACTTTACCCCAATCCCCGCCGGATGCAGTCCCCTCAAACGAGATCTCCCTTCGTACGTGAAGTCCGGAGTCATCAACCTGGACAAGCCTTCCAACCCTTCTTCTCACGAGGTCGTCGCCTGGATGAAGAGGATCCTTCGATGCGAAAAGACTGGACACTCGGGTACCTTGGACCCCAAGGTTACCGGATGTTTGATTGTGTGTATCGACCGGGCGACTAGGTTGGTCAAGTCCCAGCAGGGAGCCGGGAAGGAATACGTCTGTGTGGTCAGGTTCCACGATGCCGTCCCTGACGGTGCCAAGGGTTTCGCTCGGGGTCTCGAGACCTTGACCGGAGCTCTGTTCCAACGACCTCCTCTTATCTCGGCTGTCAAGCGTCAACTCCGTATCCGAACGATTCACGAATCGAAGATGTTGGAGTACGACGAGAAGCGACACTTGGGTGTCTTTTGGGTCTCGTGTGAGGCCGGAACCTACATCCGAACCCTCTGTGTTCACTTGGGATTGTTGTTGGGTGTCGGCGCGCACATGCAAGAGTTGAGGCGTGTCAGGTCGGGGGCTATGGGAGAGAACGATGACATTGTGACCATGCACGACGTGCTGGATGCTCAGTGGACATACGATAACACTCGGGATGGTGAGTCACGGCAACTCGTTGTGGACTAGAGTCTTACCGCAACGTCTGGCTGACTCCACATCATGCCTCGCCCTGGTCAGAGTCCTACCTGCGTCGAGTCATCCGACCCCTCGAATCCCTGCTGACGAGCTACAAGCGTCTCGTCGTCAAGGATTCTTCCGTCAACGCTATCTGTTACGGTGCCAAGCTCATGCTTCCCGGGTTGTTGCGATTCGGTCAGTCTCACCGGGCACTTTCATGATGCCACCCACTCGACTGACATGGATGCTATATGCACTCATTGGTACTCGTAGAGGCCGACATCGAGCTCAACGAAGAGGTCGTACTGATGACCACCAAGGGAGAAGCCATCGCCATCGGAATCGCCCAGATGTCCACTGCCGACTTGGCCACCTGCGACCATGGGGTCGTCGCCAAGGTCAAGAGGTGTATCATGAACAGGGACCTTTACCCTCGACGAGTGAGTTTAGCGCTTGTCTTGATCCGAATCTGGTTGTAAGTGTGATGCTAACGATTTGATGTCAACGCTCGCGCTCGTAGTGGGGACTGGGACCCAAGGCTCAGGAGAAGAAGAAGATGATCAAGAAGGGAGACCTCGACAAGTACGGCGCCAAGATCCCGGGAACTACCCCTAAGGAGTGGACTCAGGGCTACGTCGACTACAAGGAAGACGGCGTCGTCACCTTCGGCAACAACCCCACAGAGACTATCGCTACTCAGCCTCAGGCTTCCACCTCGACTCCCGTCACTGCTACGGTGACCGAGGTCGTCGAGGTTGTCAAGGCCGATGGAGAGGATAAGAAGGAGAAGAAGAGGAAGAGAAAGTCGGAGGCCGCTGGTGAGGACGGCGACAAGACCGTCGACGGTGCTGATGGCGAGAAGAAGAAGGTCAGTCTTTTCCCGCGTTTCACGGCCTCTTTAACGGTCTCGCAAAGTGAACGAAGTCGCTGATCGATTCCTTTGACATGCTGCCTGCAGAAGAAGAAGAAGACCGAAAAGACCGAGGATGGCGACGTGTCGATGGCTGTCACTGAGGGAGACACCACGGTAGCGAAGAAGGAAAAGAAGGAGAAGAAAGAGAAGAAGGAGAAAAAGGAGAAGAAGTCAGAGGCATAGACTAGCAGGACTAAGCTTCGGTTTCCCCGTCTCTCGGTCAGGTGCAGCAAACTTGGCCTTTTAGGTTTGGGTCGGCTTGATTTTGTAATTTCTGCTTCATGTACTACCATCCTATACATGACCGCCGCTAGTAGCCTTGATAGCGTATCACGCTATGGCGTCCGAATTGTGAAGCAATGTGGCCCACCGCCCAACTTTTTTCTTTTAGGGTCTTCCGGACTTGATTCGAAGGGCGATGACAATACTAGTGATTGTACAGGCCTACCCCAACAGCAAAGTACAGGCCTACCCCGACAGCAAAGTATTCGGCTACCCAAGAGCAAAGTACTTGGCTACCCCGAGAGCGATCCTGCTGCTCTGAACAGACTGACCGAGAGCAAGATCCAGCAAATTAGCGACATCATCTCGGCCTTTCTCGAATCTGAATCTCGAGACAGCTCCACATGGGAGAATATTGCGACAGATGCCCAGAAAGCAATCAACAGCATTTGCACAATTGTGTTTCCCCCGATTGTGTTTCCTCCGATCGTGTTTTTCCTGCAAATCCCTACTGCCCCGTCTTTGCCACTACCTGATGTTGACGACATCGACAATGTTGAATGGCAATGAATCACACAAGGTGACAGTCTTGCCGCAGAACTGCTTCGTAATGTCATCAAGGCCGACTCCTGACTGCCTGTGCCACAAGTGCATCTTGGCTTCACTGTCACAGATACTTATGCATGTCGTTGATTGACTTCACCTTGATTCTTCTTCCCTTCTTCTTCTGACTGTTGTACCAGTCCATCACCAGCCTATAAGAGAACAGTACTAAAGCCCTGCATGGACCAGTAAAGGGCCCTGTTCTGTATTACAGCAGATGAGAAACCATCACAACCGTGTCCCCTGGGCTGTTGTTGCTCACAACATAATGCTTTGACCCTACTATCAGATTCTCATCTCTGAAGTCTCCTGTCACAATCATCATCATTGTGTTTCCATTCTTTTAATTTCAATTAGACATGACAGCATGCATGATTACCACTGCACATCCAACAAAGCCCTGGGTTGCCGCTTTTGGTATGGCGGTTGGCAGACATACTAGGACAAAGATCTTGGATACCTTGATAGAACATGGAGTATTGTTGATGGCTGGCGGAATAGGTTGCCTCTAGAGTAGTAGGCGCACATTCTTGTAGAGACTTCAGGCCGTGAAGAAATCCCTGGACCATGGGGCGTCTGTGAGAACAGTTTGCAATAATTAGTTCTGCTGATAATCAAGACCCTTCTTTGACATGGGCCTTTTCAATCCACCAATTATTATGAAAAGTACCACTAACCTTTTCGTCTACCAACTCCGTTTGTAAGTACCAAGTGGTTGATTTCATCTCCTGAGGCAAGTCTTTGCCGGCTGCTGTCCAGGATTTTCTTGATCCAATGCATATTCCGTTGAGATTGGCACAAGCTTTGTAGTGACTATTGATCTTGCAACACATCACTTTGTAATCAGACATTGTGATGTTGATGATGACACTGGTCTTGTGAAGACAGAGTTTGGGAATGACTTGCAGCAATTTGGACTTTGTTTGGAGAGTCTTTCTTCCTCTCGTCTTCCACTTCTGGATAGGTTATGGGCAGGGTGACAAGAGCATGAGTCTCAATTGAAGGATTCTTTCTGGAAGACGAAAGCTAGAGCTCTTGGTATCCAGTTGTGTGTTTTGTTCTCGTCATGGACCGGACCTGTAGAGTGAGTGCAACTAGAGTCATTGCTGCTGGATTTGATGCGTTGGTCTCCATTGTCTGGAGATTGAGATCAAATCCCGATCAATCAGGCTTTTAGCCAGCGGTAATTCGATATCAACTTGCCAATGATTGCATTAGCAGACGGGTTGTTATAAGGCTTGCCAGCAAACCTGAATAGTAACACATGGGAGTAGAAGGTGTGGGTAGGATAATGATTGTAATAACAGATGTCTAACTACTACAGGGTACTAGTTAGATGTCCTCAAACACATCTAATAACAAGTCTCCAGGAGAGTCTCCAAGAGGGTCACCAAACGGACCTCCATGCAAGGTAAAACCTACACCATGCATATGTACATCACGCAAACCGCGTATGCCTATAATAGTTGTCCTAGTTGTAGTTACTGCTGCCAGTCTCGTCTGCACTGTTGACGTCGTCGTCGCCTCTGTTCTTGTGGTCCCTGTTCTCATCGTCTCCGGTCTCGTTATCTACATTCTTGGACCCGTTTCCAACTTAAAGGGGATCCCTATCCTCCCCGCCCCGATCCCTTTCGTTGTCTCCAACCTTAGAATGAATGCCACTTAGCATAGGTGTATCCAATGCAAGGCGATATTGTCCTGATCGATATGTGGGGTTGCATCCTGAGTTCTCATCTTCAGTTACAGGTCGCAGCGGTATGTAACATCCCTTGTAACGTTCGCCTGCTAGCTAGTGGCTTGTCATAGCTTTATACAAACGCCACCGTATGTAACAAAACGTGAGGATATCCTTCCTGCTGCCTCTCTAGGATGCCCTCCATCTCCTCGTCAAGATCCCCTGCCTCTTCGATCGCACGTGCCAATACCAAGATCGCCTTGCCGGCCTGACGCGCTTCTTCGTGATTGTCCTTGATCTCGACGTTGATGACATGAATAGGGCGGTTGGCCTTGCCACCCCGATTCAAGAGGTCTGTGAGCATCGTCGACGGAACATCGAAGATTGACGTAGGATTAGGGTTAAGCAGGTATTACACGTTCTTCTCGCGAGCTCCGAGGCACGTACCTTCGCAAACGGAGTCGTAGCACCGCTCCTCACAGGTGATGACCACGTCCGCCATTACATCCTTCGCTTCGTGCCATTTCTCCGGGGCTGCTTTTATCTGACGGTTACGGTCGAGCATTTGGAGGATCCCGTTGGCTGAGTATCTATAGCGGGTGCAGAACGGTGAGATGGGTGTCGTCAGCCCGCTGAGCGGTGGTTTGTCAGGTACCGAAACAGAAGAGAAAACAAGGAGGGAAACGCCATGCACGAGAAGAACGTCTGTACTTGACTATACTGGCGCAAGGAATTGCAAATCTTCAGTCCTGAAGATACGAGCACGACCTCTAGCCCCAAACCCTCCGCACTTTTCCAATCCGCTGTGACCGGCCACAGTCACGGATGGCCCCTACGGGCCTTTCCATACTCGCAAAGCCCGGCATGAGGTGGGTTTGTCTAAACCTCGCTTGACTAAGACAACTTTCTTTTCGCTTCAAATCGCTTCGATATAGTATCTTCTTCTTCGCCTTCCAGCTATTAGGCTATTAGGAACGTCGGTCCACCCAAGCCAATCCCCCGTTCAAGACCCTGGACGGTCCACCCAAAACCGAAACCTCGAAAGCCCAACGAGAGCAACATCGCACAAACCGGAAACCCCGACCAAACAGAGATAAGAGCAAATCACAGAACTCACAATCTGCCATCTTTCCCCTCCAAATCCTTGTACATCGTATCATACGGCGTTCCAAACCCGTAGATATTCGGCTCGTCGATGGCCGCTCCGGGGAGCCGGACGGCGGACCCGGTACCGGAGGAAATTACGCGGTGGTTTGCCTGGCTGTATGGTGCAATTGGGGTGGATATGTCATTGTGGAGTGAGGGGAGGAAGAGCAAGGTAAAATGAGAAGGCCAAAGCCGGTTCGAGTTCAGATCAGTCTGAGCCCCCAGAGCGGCACTTGTGACGAAGATCCAGGACGTACGCAAGCACTTTATGAGCCTCCATTGATCGGTTCTGTACATCCCAACACAGAACAAATTCAGCTTATGTGCCCTTCCGATGCTATGATAGGGCAAGTCGGGGACTGACATTGTTGCTCGCACAGACCACGCAGAACAAAGGCCGGTTCCTGATCCCCGCTGTCGTCTCCCCCGATCCTGCTGCTGTCGTGGTTGCCGTCGACGTGACAGCTGTATTCGTGTTTGCTGTGGGTATTGTCGAAGGCGGAGGCGGTATTGTTCCAGCTGCTCCGGACAGACCGGCAAGTCGAGGGTCAGAATCAGACCGACCGGGAACAGGTAATGTAGGTCGAGGTAGTGGTATTGATTGTTGAGGTGTTCCTCCACCGGCACCGAAAGAAGGAGGTTGAGGTGGCAAGTTGGAGTTGAAATCTAAGTTGGGATTGGAGATAGGTGGGGTACCAAAGGGAGGTCGAACGGGGATCGGCGGGGTTGGGGTGTTGACATTCAAGCGTGGGTCGGCAGGTCGGATAGGAAGTGAGGTGTTGGTGTTGTAAAGGTTCGGATTTGATGGACCGGGAACAGGAGAATTCATATACGAAGGTTGTTGCTGTTGCTGATTCTGCGGTGGGGTCCCGTATGCAGGTCGAGGAGGCAGGTTACTAGAACCCGGTCGGAAATTACCTGGCGGCATATTCGGTCCTCCTCCGACGTTGTTGTTGTTATTATATCCCCCATACCCCATACCCATACCACCATCCATCTGGTTACCTCCTCGAGGTCCGTATCCCTGTCCTACAGGTGGTCCTGCGTTCATGCCCATAGGCGGTCCACCAGGGTTCGAGCGAAAGCCCATCTCTTGAGGAGGAAGTGGTGGGCGAGATCGACCGGCTCCGTTTCCTTGGCCGTTGGGAGGGTACGGCATGCCCTGAGCCGGCGATCCTTGACTGTACCAGTTTTGGCCGTTCATGCTGTTATATCGATTATATCTTTGTAGACTGCGCGAGTATCCTAACCGGAGAACGTCGATATGGTCGATATGGGTTAGGGGTGAATAGTTAGATCTCATGGGTTGGCGAGATGTTCAACTTCATAAGGGGGATATGCGTTTTCGCGCTCATCCGCCTTATGCGTTATGGTCGATCCGTGTTTCAGGTCTCAAACAAGTAGCTCAGCGTCTCACTCTCGCCTCCTCCTCCTCCTCCTCCTCCTCCTAGAATCGCACAGTAGATGACTGGAAAAAGGCTTCAGGTCATTGTAGCGGTTCCATTCTATACAGCTCATGATATAGATCTGGCGACAGCTCCCAGCCTTTATGATCTCACGGACGTCATGACTCATCGCAGATTCTGCAGAAGGCATAAGTAAATGTAATCCCTAGACAGGTTTGTATTGTTACTAAGACTAGTGTAAGTTGAGGTTGCTGAAGTTGTTTCCGAGGTTTGTGTTCGAGAAGTCTGGCGCGGTATTGAATGAAAGCGAACTACCGCCAGTCGAACCAATGTGGGTGGGACTGACGGATGGGTGGTAGGGCGATCCTGGCCTCGAAGGCGTTGGCGTGCAAGAGTCTTCGTAGTCCATCAACTCAGCCTCTTGAGCATTTGGATCCAGCCATTCGTTGAACATCGCCAGATACGGATCCGCTTGTTCCTCCCTGACAATCATCTCTTTCAGAGTCAAAGCGAGATTGTCGTTGTGAGGCACCGCCTGGTTATTGGCTTTTGACGCTTGTACCATCGCTTCCAAATCCTTCCTCGCTTTCGCTGCCAACTGCGCGCGTCTCTGCTGCCTGACGTTATCTAGCAGCTTCCACATCAGCGACGCCCAGGGTGTTATATTCCAGCTTGACGATGCATCGTAATATGAGTGTTCCGGGTTGCAGTAGAAATACTCCATCAGTTCTCTGTACTTTTTCTCATTCGAGTTATCACCCAAGTTCAGGTCGCATAGCTTCTATAGTACCTCCTGAATGTGCCTAAAAGTATCAGCCATGTTTGGAGATCAAGGGACAGGGAAATTTAGACGCAAGTTGACAGGTTTTGTCGACGTTGTGATAGACGGAAGCCTCCTGCTGTATGAGCGCGGACGTACCGTAATCTTGTTGTCCAGCTCGTCAGCGCTCGAATACATAGTTTCCCTCTTCTCGATTCCCACAATCATCCATAGATGTTTTCTCAACCATTCGTCCACTACAATTTGAGAATCATGATTCAAGGCGAGGCGAACGCGCAATCAGTTTGGGTGCGATTGACGGTCGGTATCAGCTAAAGGACGTACACGGCATGGCCCCGGTCAAAGATGTCATCTTAAGAACAGGTTCTTGTCAGCGTCCTAGTCTGATCCAGTAGGTCGTACTTTAGTTTCAAGAGGGAAAAGAGGTCGGGCGAAATCTGTATCTCTATTTCCATATATGTATCGCCATCAGCCTAGTACATAATCTTTACGAGGCGGAACGAGGAAGAGCAGCCGCGGTTCTCGAGGATGACAACAGGTCACGAGCGGACTTCCTTTCAGCATGCTACTTCACCTTGTAACCTCGTCATGCCGGGCGCCCTTGGTTATCTGCGTCTGCGCCGCCCTTGCGCCTTCGTGATCTCCATCGCACGCCGAATCGCCACGTTTCGACGTGGCTATGCATTGTTCCAGCCTGAATGATCAAAGGAAGGCGTATAAGCTTCCTTGTAAGTGCATATATCTGCTTATCCCACGCAACCCCATCGTTCGTTGTTCCGATTCGATTCCGATCGATCCATCGACCTTCCTCAACTCTCCAGACAGCGCCATATCCATACAGCCTTCTCGCTCGCGACGTTCTATTTCTATCATGCCACTCGATTGGGACGGTACCGTTCCTCGTGAGTCATATTGTACAGTAGCGACGATCGATTGCGACCTTTCAGTGAACTGGGAGTATCTTTGGGATGAAACACTCTATTATAGTCAAGGAGCTTTTTTCATCTGCTCTGAGAATTGCACAGCGAATAGAACGCGAGTCATCGCAATGGTCAACAAGTACGAAAGATGGAGGTAGAATCGTCAAGAACAATGAGCGAAAGAAGATTCATGCTAGTGTATCACAAGCGTATGCACAACATGAGCCCAGTTCGCCAAAAGCATACTTGACAGAACATCAACTGGATCAAGCTTATCATGACTCGCAATACACTGCGGAAGACATCGAAAAGTTCCTCGGCGAGATGCTTGATCTAGAACTGGACCCGAGAGACCCCCAAGACCGCGAAGACTGGCTGCAATTGCTAGCTCACTTCTCGGAAGGAGACGTCGAGTCACGTTCGACGAAATGGAATGGCACTCGATACGGACGGTCGATGTGGAGATTGTATCACCAAGTCAGGTTCGTTTGGGACAGAGATTTCGATAGCGAAGAACACCTCGACCCTGTAGAAGCATACAGAAGGGTACTTGCTGGCTTCAGAGCCTGGAGGGAGCCTCCCACTACGAACCCCTTCCTTATACAAGATTCGGTAATCTCTGGATGTGAAGCTGCCGAGTCTGAAACCGAGTCTTTGTGGTCGGATTCTACTTCCAGACTGGATCGCGAGAGCTCCTTCAATGCTTCCGCTTCTAATCCTATCTCTGCGTTTTCGGGAACGGCTTCGTCCCATCTCACGCGATCGAGGTCCCGCGAGCGAACTGGCTGATCCAGTAGATTTTCTTTGTGAACAGGTAGTCATGTGCTTTCTTCGTGTGTAGTACCATACAATATGTACCCTCTCGTGTTGATATAAACACTTTTCCGGTGTCCGTATGGTATGTTGACTCACTGGCATTCAGGATTGTTTAAGCGATCACGGATACTTAGCCGTATGGCACGCGATTTGATCTATCCGCCAAATCTGTCTGGTTCTCAAAGGCCGGAGTTGACACTGGAAACTGGAAGGGTATATCACTGGTCACACCTCGCCTGCGAAATTGTATCAAGGAGATGAGATCTCGGGGGCCACGCTTGATTAGATAAGGTTCAAGAGAAACTCGCGATGTGCGAAAACTCAAAAATCCCTGCGCGTCGATATCACGGGATGGGGAGATAAGGGTTGATAAGACCGCGAGGACCTTGGTGAAATTGATGGTAGTCAGTAAAATTACAGATATGGGGCACAAGCCACCTGAAAATCAAATGGATATGTTCAGGTTTGAAAGGCGTTTCCACGACAACAAATAAATTTTCCCATGGTCTTGATCAATCACGCGCGCCTCATTGCGCCTCATTCGGTAGCGCGATCTCTCGAACGATACGGGTCATTTTGTTGATCTGCTGAAGAGGTTGCCTTCCTTTGACTTGCTTGCACCTTTCCACATTACGATCACCCATTGAGGCGTGATCGAGTCATGTTTCACACTTGAGATAAGAGTTTATAACCTGTATGGTAACAAGCAGAGCTACAGTCCTCCCATTCATCACCATTTCGCGCCTCTACCATGCCGAGCCTAACGGAGAAGTTTTGATCGCCATCTCTCGCTGAGATGCTAGGAGTATGGTGAAAGGCACCTGCTGGATGAGGAACGTGTTAATCCATCGATAGATCGCGACCTCGTCGTTGTCAGCGCTATCACGAAAGGCTTTAGCCATGCTTTATCGTGGTTCAAACTGGAAGCTGGGAAGTTTGATCTGGCCGATTTGAGGTCGTTAAATCCACCCTGTCGGACGAAAAGCCGGATCGCTTGGCTCTCTCTGCCGGTTGTCTAAGGCTTTCCACACCTATGATCCTTTCACGGAGTATATCGATTGCCGCAGCACACATCGAAAGGCCTTTCTCAAGGGAGAAGCTTAAAACTTAGGCTTCCCAGACTGCGTATCACGTGTGACAGGACGACTGCCATCGGTCTCACGTAGTGTTCCTCCTTTTTTGCGAACCTTGTCAAGTGACCGCAGGACTTTGACGATAGACATCGATGAACGGCAGGTCATGTAAATTGTTTGTAATTAAAACGGAGCCAGGAGCTGAGCTTCCGAGAACCTCGAGAATGTCTGCTTCGCGAGGCAAGGATCGATCCGCCATCGGAGCGCCCCCCTCCATGGCGCTGTTGTGCATCGAGTGACACAAAGGATAAGCGAATTTTGAAGACAGATCAGACGATGTAGAGTGCCGGCTGTACCATTGCCTGACTAGAGCATGATGTTCAGAGAAGCTATGATCGGTCACGCCAACAAAGGATGACTCAAGACGTGTCGACATTTTTTTGGCTATATATACCGGACGTCGCGATATGGTTGAACGTGATATCCTAGGGTGCAAGGTCAGTACTCCCAAATCCAAGCGGCACGCTCGATCTTCTCTTCCGGATCAAACACTCCACAACAGAAACTATGACACTTGAAGTCCAGTCGGGTGAGTTTCACATCAGAGGTTTTATCATCTAGGGTAGAAGCATATCACTTATGATGATCTCTGGGGGGGGGGGGGGACTTCACGATGAAGCCGTTAACTCATTGAGCAACGCTTTGGAGGCAATCTTGGCTATCGATGCGGGCCTATGGGCCAGGTACACCGAGACTGACATCGAGAAGTTTTTGGAGGCGTTCTTACCAGGATCGCAATGGAATAGTAACGAACAACTTGCCGCCTTGTTTGAATACTGTACGGGTCACACACCCGATTGGATGCGAACCAGTCTCGCCAAGAAATATTGGACTGTCCACGAGATGGTAATGGAGAAATTCGTAGCGGCTGTAGGATCAAATGATCCGAGAGTCGTCAACGTGGACTGGGACATATTTCAGCCCCCAGCTGGGTACCATGTTGATGATACTGAATGGTGTCTTTCGAACGGTAGTTTGGACTTGAAATCTGTCTTCTCTACTCTTCCGCCGACGGAGCTCCCCTCCATCTTCAGCTCCATCTTCTAGATAGTGGTACGGTCATGTGTCTCCTAGTCCACGATACAGATCAGGACAACAGGGATCCGGTGCATAAAACAGCAGTCATTGGGTGCACGGATTTGTACGAGTAGTTAGCGAGAAACAAGATGTAGATTGATGAACGGAGTTACCGAGAGATCCTGAGTTTAGTGACCTCTATCTGTTATCAAATTCTCGACGGTCTTATCAAGGTCACAATTCGCAGTCTAAAGGGACCGAGAACTACAGGAGAGTCGTTGATTTAAGAGTGAAATTTAGGAATCTCTCTTTTGAGGGAAAGGCGCTTGTTGATATTGTCGAATGAACTACACTGGTACTCGGTGGAACCGAGAACGCATGGGTTTGTAGCATAAGCAAGCACATAATCAGGGAAGTGATGTATAAATCGTTTGAATCATTAACGATATATTGACAGATATTTTACGTTCAGGACAACTTGAACACAGAAACACGTTCATCTTGGTCCGGTCGACATCACTACACAGTCCAAGATATGTCAACTCTCGACTCGAGTCCGAATCCGGTGTGTCACAAACAAGCTGACGTTTTGCAACCGCACAATGGTGATCGACTTGCAGCTACCGCTTGTCTCAAGCGCGCCTAAGGATGTACGAGCAATTTGGAAGGGAATAGAAAGGAATTCTATCGCTAAGGTGGTCAGCAACGACGTTGTGGTTCTGGTTCTGGCAGAGTCCTTTGGCCTCCAGGTACTACGTAGTAAGAGGCGGCATACGGGTATATCGGCTCTCATCGACCAGGGTCTTGTTGACTAATGGCCAAGGACATTATGGGCAAGCTGTGCCTTATAACTGGAATAGAAGGATATTTGTGATGAGTCGCCATCTATGCATAGTTTCGATGCATCGATTCACGGAAAGTGATGCGTTCACTTTGTCGGCATCTCGCCCAGTCGCGATTGGCATCGCCTACAGGCTACAGGGGAACCGCGAGCGATTATATTGGTTCAGGACGTTCAGGAGAAGAGAGGACCGGTTCGGCAGACACCTTACGGCCAGTCAAAGCCCTAAAGAACCAAGACTAACGCCCCCATTTTGGACGATTATCACATGATTCCCTTCCCTTCGACGATCAGCTGTGAACAGGCGGTGACTTGTCACTTAACGCGAGCTCTCGACCGATCAAAGAATCATTCGTTGATCATTGAGAAGCATGATCGCAGCGAATCATTCAAGACTATCGTACCCCTGCACAACCCTCAAGGCAGCAATCAATATCTGGCCTTTTATATATGTTGGAAAGAACAGGCTGTCATATGACGCCCCCTCTTGCCACCGTATATCTATTGCCTACGAACTTGAATTCGATCCCACACATCAAGTCTACTCGTACAGTCATGAGTCGCGATCCCTTTGAAACGAAAATTGACAAGTTCGATGTCTCCAAAATTACGGAGGATTTCGAAAGTGAGCCCGATTACACTGCCAGAGTTCCTTAGAAACGAAGACCCGAATCCTCTGCTGACGCAGCAGTTCTGTGGGTTTCCAGGACGGGTTCGACAGTGCTGGTCATCGGCCAGCGAAACTTTGTGGTACACTCTGAGCTCGCAAGAGATATCTGCGCTGTGAACCGGCTCCATCCTAAAAAGAAGATTGGTAGATATGACCCGCAGTATACCGCTAGTCTCGGGCTGGCTCACTTCAGCAAACCCTTGCGGGATTGCAAAACAACTATCTCACTGTGCTAATCGAGGAATCTGCGACAAGATCGCATATTTGCAAGCGGATTTCCGCATACCTTCACTGAGGCAGAAAGTAGTGGCTCAGGAAATGTGTTCGCTACTCCCTCGAAACAGAAGATGCGTAGGAACTGGAGCATATAGTAAGGGAAGTGATGTGGAAATTATTACATTGAATCCACAAAAAAAAACAGGCGGTGCGGCTTATTTGCAAACAGATGCTTGAGGTCAAGGTGGGGCGACAGGCTGGTGAGAGCTGCGTATCATTGAATGTTTGCTGTCGCTTCATTTCGTTACGTACGGGCGATCTTCACAACAAAGGGAGCTTTTCCCACAATAATATCGAGCCTCAACGATGACAGTGAGGACGCTCGTGAATCCAATTTGTTACATGATCCAGGCAACACGACGTCTATCGACATCGCTGGTCAACAGTAGCTAGAGAGATCACGGCTATAGTTGCTCGCCTTCGGCTTAGATACTGGTAAGCGCTACGTTGTGGATTGACGAACGTTGCAGGTGATCACTTTACGTATCCGTCTCCCTTTGTCGAGTTGACGTGATGAAACGCGCGCCCCGCAGCCCAAACTCGAGCGACTTGGCGCGTGACAAGGGCTGCTTGGCCTGCCGACGTGGCTTGTTGCCTCCCGATTATCTGTCCTCCTCTTGCGCGCCTCAAGGACAAATAAGACGATTGGTACGGATGATGAAACCGACGGCAACGGCGGTAGTTCCAACCAGTCAGGACTCGAAACTCCTCTGAACTCTATGAACATATCCGGCAACACGATTTGATAGAAGTCAGCAGCTTGAGAGTTTGTCAATCTTGAATATATTGTATTTAGTGCATATTGGTCATTTGATGATGGGCAGGTACGATGTTCATAGGATCTTTCAATAGCTCTCGCTGAAGATCCTAGTCAATAGTCTATGTATCGTATTCTTAGGGGAATGACATAGTATCATATGTTCAAGACGCAAGACATCCCCATTTCAAGATAATGCACAGGCAATCATTCTCAGACTTCGGGAAAGCGAAGACCGTATATCCCATTGAAGCGGTTTTTCTGCGATTTTCACAACTACCAGTACTTTATATCCTAGCCTGATCAGCATCTTCTATAGACTTTACCAGCTATGTATATGCATTTGAATATTCATGAAGAGCAGGTCGACTGTTCCCTTTCTACAGCACGGCCCTATGAAAAGCCTCGTGGTGGCGTCGACTCGCAACTATCTTATGCAGGCGGGTCGCCCAGTATCAAAGGACAACGAATAAGCCCGAGGTCTGCCGATATTCACTGTCCCCATTCGGCTTGTAATTCGCATGTCGCGCTCATTGAGCGCGAGAACCAATAGTCGAGGTGTCGTGATCGCCTGTCATCACGGAAGGATTGTGGAAGATCGACTGAATAGCACGTCACACGTACTCACTGGATCACAAGGTCACGAGGGGCAGCTATCAAAGGAACGATTGTTGGATTTACCATATATGCTTGTCCGCAGAAGGTGTAATCGAAAGTCTCGTATGTGGTCAACCCTCGACAGTATATCAGCAAGCAAAGTACGCAATACGTCATGTCGAATTGGAATCCCGTCGACGGTCTCCATTTTCATCAGGCAAAGACAGTGTACTGTAAGCTACAGTCAAGTTCTTCCATTGCTTTCGTTTAACATGGTACTGAATGTCCGGCTTGTTTTCTCTTCTTCTTTTTTGCAATCAGCTGAGACATTGAACCTATGGAACAAATACGAAGCAGCAGTGAAGAAAGAGGGCCGGCAGTCAAACAATATGGAAGCAGTCAACAAGGCGACAAATAAAAGCCTCGCTGAACATCTTGGTGGGATCGAGGATGCGACCGAGGAGACTTTAGCTGGCTATATCGTGGGATTCTATACGCACAAGACGAAATGGTACATCTCGCCCCACATGGACAAGGTTGAGGAGATTCGGAACGCTATCCAAAGTAGGCTCTGGAGTAGGACCTGGAAAGATCAAGAAAAGTTCTTCGATCAACAAGGCGTGGATTGGAATCTTTTGAACGAATGGAGAAATACCGCCAAGGACTTTACGGAGTTAAAGGAGGCAAGCAGCACCTTTTTGGGCGACTCGGAGTCTTTCCGAAGTCTAACCAGCAGCCTGAGGCCTGGGAGTTCCAACTGTGACGGTAGTCTTTTGACCGTCCGATCGACCGGAGCAGGCTGATCGTGAAACTGAGGCTTGTAGACTTGATGATTAGCTAGGTAATTTGATTCTGCTGAAGATAGTCGTTTATGATAATGGTTAGGAAAGACGATAGAATATATGTTGTTTCATTATAATGATCATGTAACTGTAAAATATGTCCTACCTTAAATAGATCTCGATATGTGTCTCATCACGCCCTGTGCGGTTCCCTAGAAGGGACAAGCCATCTAGATGGAACTACTAGTATTCGGTCTTCGGAGCGTCTATGTATGGCAAAATCGCCCCGTATCACCTTCGTGCTTCGTGCCCATTCTTTTCAAGTAGAAGGTGATGTTTTCCGAAAGTCGTTTAAAGAAGCAAACGTCAACAAGTTGTGTTGGGGAGTGGCGGAGTCAACGAAGACGAAAATCATACAGTCTTTCTCGATAAGACATTGCTGTTGAAGCGGTACTAGGGGTATTGGAGGCGTCAACTGGGCGGCGACACGGGTTTGATGGTCATTCACCTTGTGCCTCCTGTAGCATATCTATGCAAGCTGTTCATTTTGATAGTATCGCCCTCGCTTCTACTTCTCCGTCGATATGTTCGTCGATCCGTTCGCCAGGCGATGATCCGGATCTTGCAAGTGACCACTCATCGCATTTGTCTCCCTTTGTCGAGATCGCGCGATGAAACGCCACCCCTGCAACAGTCTTTATCCAAGACGACATCTTGTGTGATGCGTGACAAGCCGTCATCACCTGACCTGATAGATCGAGCATAGGAGCCTTTCCGATTTTCGCCGAGATCCGCAGTCAACAGTCCAGCCTGAAGGTTGTCGTTCAAGTATCAGAGCCAAGCCTGAAGTGCCTCTGACGCAGTGTAACCAAAAGAGACTGGAGAAGCTCGACCTCGTAGCACGTGATCAAACGGTGGTACCCCTTGATCATGAGGCTGCACTGAGATCACATGGAAGGAGCTGCATGAATAGTCGAGTATATATACGGCAAGGGGTTTTCGACAGGGATCAGTTGAAAGAGCTCCCAATGAGGTATAGTAACAAATCAGGAAGCACATTGTTATCACAGAAATGATCTCCCTCCAGAATAATTCCAAAGACACAGTGGAAGTTCTATGTAGGCTAATCAAAACCATCTCGATCGCCGGTCGTTCGAACGCTCACATTATTTCTTGTAAATCCCTTTAGTTGAATTAGGCGGATTGATAGACAAGATCGAAGACGAGAACAGGTATGAGGAGATCAAAAACACTCTCGACGATTACTTGCGTATGTTTGAGCATCCTGGGGTGGGGGAGGATGCCATCATAGGGATGATCAAGCATTTTGCCGCGCCCACGTATAGGAAAGTGTGGGAAGTCAGCAGATTTGACGTACAGGTCGTCATGCTTGGCGTTTCTATCGAATCTTGGCTCAATGAAGTCCTGTCCAAGTATGACGATCGCCAGAAAGAACAATGGTTGAGGGATCGAGCCGTCGAAGGGTACTCAGACTGGCACAGACACGTTCAGAGCAAAGTGGACGTATACGGCATCACAACCGAGCAATCTACGAATACCGAAGCGGATGGCAGGAAATCGCCAGCGCCTACTGCTGACAGCAAAGGCACGGGCGAGTCCAGAGAAAGTGCACCCAGCATACCTACTCTCTCTCGCTCAACGCAATGATTGATCATGCATGCTCTGGGTGTGTTGTAAGATTAGGTTTGATGTACTATACTGTTCAAAGACGATGAAATGATTGATTTGAGCTCCATCCACCAGCCAGACCGCATGGCTTTTGAGACTGTTCCAACGACCAGAGAAAGGCCGTCCGAGTGACCGTGTGGTAACATCACGAGTGAAAGTTTCAACTGACCAAGACGTAGCACTCTTAGGGTTCTTGGGGATCGACCTACGTCACTACTAAACTGCTTTTGACGAGTCAATGTGGTGGACACTCAACAGGGCCTCTTGAAACGATTCGTACCCTATCCGCTCAAGGTGTCAAAGTCATTGGTTGTCATCGGTCGAAGCAAAGAACGGTTGAGCGGTTAGGCTGTGGTCTTGGCCTGTATTTGCTTGTGCCTTTTTTTGCAAGAGAGTAAGACAAATACTCGAGTATGCTCGCATAAATGTTGCCCTCGATTAGTGTCAAGTGTATTGTGAAGTGAACAAAGGAAGACGCGGGCGGAATGCAACGTTCAGTGTATATAACAGTACGAGCCAGATTAGGTCTCTGCATTACCTTATATCGAAGCGAATACTCGTGAGGCAGCGAAGTACATCGGTAGCTCGAGGATGAGTCTTCAGTGGACAACCCGATCGTGGAGATGAACAGCATAGAACTTCGAAGTCAGCTATATGACGTCTGTCCTGATGCGCCAACCTTTTGATCGCTCATGTCTTCCCTTCGTTGGCACCTACAGACGACCTGGTTGGTCTCCTTAATTCCATCAAAGACAAGAAGATGAAAGTCAGGCTCACAGAATACATGGACGCTTTCCTTAGCGGAATCGCCGGGAATTGTGTCTCAGGGATGATCCACCATTTCAGCAGTCAAGATCAACGGTAAAGATAGTGACTCATTTCATACCGCACACAGATCGCACAGATCGACATTCGTATGAACGAGTGGCTTGAGGCAAACCGTTCGCAGCACGAAGACCGTCCCGAAAGATAAAGAGTTCTGAACTCTGGTGGAGTCGGCTCACTTGCGGATTGGGAACCTGTTGGATCAGTCAAGTGAGGTACTGAAGGGTTACAACGCCTTCACAGGACAATGGATATCGTGGAACGTAGTTTCGGTCTTAATTAGATCCTTGCCATAGAGCGGTCGCATGGCTGATCCTGCCTTTGCACCGCTTCCCGAGCCGGGAATGAGTCGAGACAATCGTCAACACCGAGAGCATGAAACATTACGTGTTAATTGTAGTCAAGCCCGTTCGAAGATATTGTGAACCAAAACAGTATAGCAGCTGGAACCCACGTTGAGAAGCATAACAGTCGGAGTATCAGCGCCGTTTCAGCGAGAAATGAGGAAGACTTGCCGCGAGATGAGTGTTCATGTTAGCAGTGATAAGGTGGGATCTCAGCTTGAGAACCCGGACATAGATAACACGAGAACTTTATAGAAACGGATCTCACAATCTTGCGGTCGCGCAGTTCAGCGGATGACTGGCGCGCACCAGCGTGACAGGTGAAACGGGGCATTAGCGCGCTCGCAATACGCGATATGCTTCTGCCAGCTTCTCCGAGCTCGTTGTCATCGCAGAACAGGCAAGAACACCTGACCAAAGCAGACTACTCGGTGAATCTCGGCACTCGATGTTCTTGGATGTTTCGCCTTCTTCTGACCCCCTTGTCCACGTGGCTATGGTTCCGAGGATAGAGGATGACAAAGGGAGTTGCCATATGGCTAGGACTATAGATAGGGGGTGGTGAACATCACGAGGCTAGATTCCTTTTCTGTCTCAAAGAGCGGAACTGACAAGCCGTCATCTCTCATTGACTCGAAAGCAGCATTATTATGTCCGCCGAGACAGGCTTATCTGTCGGTGAGTCACGATGTTTCGACTCGTCCGATTCATAGCTGAAATATCGATGACATAGTGCCCTCTTTGAAACCTCTCGCAAGAGCGCATGAGCTCCTACAGAAACTTGCGGATCGATTCGGCAACAGTCCGATCATCTGGGATGCGGAAATAGAGCACAACCTGAGAGCGGTTGTAGCCGAGCTCGATAGAGCCACCACGCCCATTCAGGACGTGGAAACCTTCGCGACCATCAGCTGTGTTCTTCCGACATTCAATGTGCTTTTGAGGTATGACGATTACTGGGGCGCCTTGTTCAAGAAAGCGGAGTCCGATCAAACAGGACTGATCACGAAGATCCAGCTGTGGATGTACCGAGTCATCAAGGGTATCCCTGAACAGTCGCCGACGTGGGAGGTTGCGGAATTGAGGAAGAGGAAAGAAGAGTTCGAGGCCTGGCATTCGCTGTGGTGTCACCGTCGCGGGGAGACAGAGAAAGGGAATTTTCCGCCCCTCCCGGATCAACTCTCTACATCAAGCGGTCGTTCGGGAACCTTGGAAGAGAAAGGTTCAGCTGCTGGTCGAACCGAGAGCAATTCGCAAACTGGTACCGTAAGCGATGTGCTATCGTCCACACCGGGTAATATTACCGGCCAACTGTCGAATTCTTAATTATGCCAACGAGACGCAAGGCGATTTCCCTGAGTTGACGATGTCGTCTTGTGGCGTCTGCTCTGATAGGTGATAGGTGAACGGCTCAGTCTTTATCATATCTCTAAACAACGGACTGCGTGTATCCATCAGATTCGGTGATCAATGTACTTGTTTGGCCGCTATATCAGTGGTCAAGGGGTGAACAAGCGCATATGTAATGTCGATGGCTTACCCTGAGACGTGGTAGTTCAGCTCGGAACAATTGACGAACCGAAAAATCTCGCCACATGTTGCACGGCTGAACTGGAGTCCATGAAGCATGCACTTGGCCGTCATATCTGTACGGGATTTGCCGCGGTGCGTCATGACGTTGATGGATATCACCTCAGCTACCGTACCATCCACCACTTCGACTGCCTCATCAACAACCTCGCTCATCACCTCGACGTATGCTCTGACCATCGACCATTTGGTCCGTAGTGTTTCGGCAAGGTTCACGTTGATTTGCTTGACGCTGATTACGATCTGGTTTACAAGCTTCTCAAGAACCTCGAACAGCTAGGTTTGCACACAAGCGCACGCATACGCCTAGCAAAGTCGCTGTCAGATTGCGTGGTTCCGGACCCTTCTAACACGTGCTTTGCTAAACAGACCGATGGAACGACAACAAGGTAGTCTCTTGAGGGAGATTCGACGGTGAGCTGCGCCCGAACTCTTCTGAGAGCGCCCGGCTAGACTAGAAAGGAAGGTGAATGGCGATGATCAAGGTGACCTCTTCAAAGACCTTGAAGTCCCCAAGGGAGTTGCATATGAGTTGCGAGAAGTCAAACGGAATCGCAAACGTTTGGACCCATAGTTCCCACCTGGCGACCGACTCGTACACATCTCCGACCGAGCACATTGATAGATCACTTGCTAGCGCCTTTTTCCAAGATGATTACATGGATCAGCGTACTGGCACAAATGGACGATGGGTTCGAGAAAGCGAGTGGAGCACTAGAGGCACTTGACGAGATCCTCAACGGAGATCGTACTGGGTTGCACGAGGATGCCCAGAAGTTGAAGGAGATGTTCAATACAGATGAGACAGATGTTGCACCATATGTGGGAAAGTTGAGGGCATTTTTGAAACTTCGCCACGATTTGACCTGCGCGCACGCCAAGTTGAATGAATTCTACGAATGGATCAAGGAGTGGGATATGATGTTGTCCAAGCGAAGCAAGAGCAACCTCATTCTCGATGACCGAAAGGATCGCAGGGTGTTGGTGATCGGAAGCCCGAGCCAAAAGTCCTTACGCCCCTACTCTGGCGAAAGCGTTGCCTCCAGGAATGCTGAGAAATGCGACTCTATCGATGGCCGTAGTGAGAAGAGGCCTGCCTCCACCGGTACATTTTCGATATCGCTTGAAGGGATTTCTACTTTCTTTACAAGCAGTGGTATGTCGACTAAGAAATAGCGATCAGATTTACTGGCAATGCAAGCAGTAGCATTTGTCTGTGATCTGTGATCTTGTAGACTTCATATCTTGCGAAACAATGATCGATTGTGTGTTCGCAAAAAAATAAGGGCTGTTTGCCTACTCATCTTGTCTTGTACTCAGTGAAGTATTCACACCGTACATTGCACCAAATTAAGTCTGAAACGGGGGGACTTGGGATCGATCCCTCAAGGTCTGTTCTGCTGGGAACGGATTTGCACCTCATAGGACAGAACATGCCCAACGGAAAGCGATCAGGAGGACTCATGGAGCGCGTGACGGACTATCCAAAACTTGCCTGTTTGCAGGGTTGAAACTGGAGGCTAAAGGAACTGCTACGTTTACCCTGTCAAGGGAACAAACGAGACTCAGGTTGCACTGAACCCCTTAGTTTCGAGGAGTACTATCGTCATCCCTTTCATAGACGACAATATAAATAACACATTCTGCGAACAGGTTCAAGGTGCTCGGGGCTCTGTTGCCTCCATGAATCTCCATGTCCATGAGGAACTCGTCTAGATCTCTTACATAACCTTGGCACCTGACCCAGCGACGAACACTATGATAGCGTTCAGCTTTTCAACCGTTGCTACCGCAATCATCTGGCCCTTAGCGGTGGCTGCAGCAGATGGAGCAAAAGACGGTGCAGAGTGGAGATTCCTTGATGGATTCCTTCATTCTGCCAGCACTGTCTCTGACTCAGCCAGTCTCCGCAGCTCCGGAACATTCTGGAACCCGCAGAAGGCACGTCGCTTCTCAGAAAGGACCACGGTTGTGGACGACTTGTCGAAGGCCAACAAGTGCTGGATCGTCTGGTACTTCCCTACGATGGAACAACGGGGTAAAGATAAGGCTGCAGAAAAAGATCTTGCCACTACTTGGGGAGTGCCATTTGCAGTTGCACCCTTATGCGGTGACCCAGTCACTCCTGGCAATGACAAAACCTATCCTGAAACTGGATCAGTGGTATTTCATCAGCTCCTAGCCAATCCTGGGTACAAAGATGACGCCTACATGATTGTTCCGTAAGTACATACTTCCACCTTGTGACTCTGTTGCTTATCATAGCCCCGATATCCAGGGTGAAAGAAGGATCAGACCGCGTGAAGGACTCCATATCGATGACAGACTTTGAAGACCATGGCGAGGTAATCTATCCGGCAGACAATATTGACGCGATAGTGCAAGCCTTGTCAGTCAAGAGTCTATGTGAGAACACAGGGGGTTGTGTGTGAGACTGACAATCCAGCTCCTCAGTTATCCTGACTGGGATCGTAAAAAGGAGAAGCAACCAGAAGTCGATTTTGCTCAGATGGTGAACACATACGTCGAAAAACAACATCAAAACACCATCCCAAACCCCTACAAATATGGTAAAGGCCATTCAGTGTGGCCTGACTACACGGCAATCAACAGTTTCTGGGGATACAATGACGACGGGACTTGGATCACTGAGTCCCCCAATCAGTAGTATACAGTATTGAGACAGTGAAACCTGGAACGTGAATAACCTACCAATGTATCGCATGTGATTGCTATCTCTGGAGCAGATCCTCTTCCGCGATGCTCTTTATGTTTGTATTATTTCTTATGATGCCATCGATCGTACCTCTCTACGTAGCGGTTTGTCCTTCCTAGTAATGGCTGTCGTTTCGAGGCATTGCTGCCCTGCCTATCACCCGACATCCTACACCAACGAGCTATTCCGAGTACGGCCTCATCTTTCCCTACGTCTGATTGCGACAACGTCACCGAGACGCCGACTGAGATCATCGAACTATCGCAAGCCGATAGCCACGTGAATATCTTGGGGAAATCGAGTCGAGGCAAATGAGGTCAAATCCCTCTTCACAATGGCGTGATACAAGCGGTTTCACCTTCACCGCGAGTGCACGAGCGCTATGTCCAAATCTTCCCCATGTCCAGCGACAACAAGACCTGCTTACCTATGGCGTGAGAGGCATTGTGTGGCCTAAAAGAGGCCGCCCTCGACATGAGTATTATCGCGCGCGCCGTCTCGTCGCTGCGAGCTCACAGTACCGCGACGCAATGCCCACTGCCAAGGAATCTGTTGGGAAGCCAAGTTATGAAACGGCTCGCTATCGCAGGCCCGCTCGCAGTTTTATACTGTCTTATCTCTCTCTCAGATAGGATACCCCACGTAAAGCTGGGTCGTTTCTGTCAGGTACCATGGCACAATGACGCAAGCTTTCTGCATCAAGGCTGGAAGTCCACTCCCTAGCTGAGCGTGTGGTGCTGTCGAAACCCGAGGCGCGCGAAGGTGAAACCGGAGGTCAAAGGAGCGCATCGTGGCTTGGAATGGTCCCGCCGACATTTGATGCCTGTTGATCACACCAGGGGATAGAGATGTTATAGTTGTAGCGAAAGCTTGGAGCGGACCGTGAGCCTTCACAGAACACACATACTCATATATACGAAAGGCTACGAACACCGCTACCGGATTACGCTCTAGGCAATGACTCAACAGCATTGACCTCGCTCGCGGCGCAGTTGACAGTCAGCTCCCCTGAACCACAGCACCGTCAAACATGATTGAATGCTTCCCTGAAAAAACGCTCGCTTTGCTCCAAGATGCACATGCAGGAGGCTCAGTAGCACAAACTCTCGAGTGAAGAGTGGGCGGGTGGCACCGGTGTTTTTACGAAAGCCATTGCGTCGCATCTGCAAACGGTCGATCGATCATTCAGAATCGATCGTCTTTTCCCCATTTGCAAACACCTTGACAATGACTGAAGCCTATACGTCGGTACTGTTCCTTGCGAAACCTTACTGTACAATTGCTACGAAGAGTACTGTAATGTCTTGAAGGGAGACGATCTGGCAGCACTCCAGTTTAGGATGTCCGCGGAAGACCAGGCAGTTCTGTCGAGATTCGTGAACTGGATAACGCCGTCTGAACATGACACGGTCATGCACCAGAGGGAAGATGCGGCTCTTGCCCAAGAGATGTCTATATGGAAAGACCCGGCCTTTAGTGGAGCCTCCTATGAATGGCCACACATCTTACAAGCACGTCCACGCTCATCCCGGCCAGGCCAACATGATCATGGGCGACCACCAGTTCCCCCATATTCACTTCAATGTCACAATCTCAAGAGGCGCCTATACTCCCAGCCTTCCAAGGCTGGGTGACTCAAAACCTCATACAAGCGGATTTGGTGACGGTGAAATGTCCACCAAAGCCAGGCTGCTGGTCTGGGATGTCAGCTTAGCCAATTTAAGCGGCTAGCAGCCTGGTTCATCAATTGCACAGAGAGTAACTTGGTGGACCCCTGGGCCATGTTGGCGGAAATTCACGCTTGGAAAACTCGACAATCCATTCCAACATTAGCCCAGATTGATGCAGCCAGGCGTCTCCTTGGGGGCGGCCCCAGGCCTGGTCAGGACCTTGAGGCAGATGCTGGAGACGGGGAGAACGGCAATATCCTGACCACCAGCAATGTCGAGGATGATGGCAAACTTCTCACCAACGGCAATATCATCCCTGAGTTTACCGATACCAAGAACATTACTGAGGCCAAAGAACGATCAACATATCGAGCGCGTAATAAACCTGCGGAACAACCTTACGGCTAGGCTTCAACTTGCCACTCAAAGTCAAGACTTTCATCCCGTCGACCTCCATACCGTTCCTTACGGTAACACTTTTTTGACGACTACGCTCTGCTGGGAACAACCCGGACACACGTCCACAGAATTCACCGCAACAATGCTGCGGTACGACGCGTCCTCATTAGCCTTTCTACGGCTTTCTTGGCCGACGCGCTCTCGTATCAATCTCCACTGGTCACTGATATTTATCTAGCCCGCCTTGTACCGCCGGCACTTTGGCTCGTGGTAAAGACCGGATGACATCCGAGATGGCTTGAACGACCGATCTTTCCCCTGTCCAGCTCACGCATCGGAGAATCACCTTGGCTTTCTTGTTCGCTATTTGGAAACGTCTCGAGCGTAAAGACTGGCAGAGTTATCGGGACACTAAACCTGGGCAAAATCTATTGGCTTATTGCCGAGAGGCTTTCCTGCTACTCGATGAGTACGATCATCCTCGAAAGCTCATGGATGATATGGGGCGAGCAGAACGGGCAGATGTCCTTACTTTCATCGATGGGATTACTGCGCCTGGCGCTGATGATCCGATGGAGACCTTCACATTCGCTGACCATTAGAGGTTTGGCACTGAGCGTCAGCATCCTGGAGCACAACAATGTTGTGCGTCAGCACGACTCTGTTTGCTGATCCTCCGCGATCTTGTTCTTCACTCGGTTACCCACCGTCCAGCTTACAGTCACAGAAACAGGAGCAGCAATTGAGTTCACTACATATCGCCGCGGAAAGTTCTTTGGCGACCTCTTTGGGAAGAATGTGTCTATGAAAAACTTGAAGGGGACCAACACTACGGCAAAACATGGTACCATCAGTATCTGCCTGGATATGTTTCTGCATGCATGTTCGCCTGATCCACCCAAAACACCTTAGGAGCTTTTTCCTACAAAATGCGGGAACATCTTATGGAGGTTCTACTTCAGTTTTGGAATCGATGGGGGGACCTACTGTCCATACAGCTTCGCGCGAGAAGGCCTTTAGTCCAAGTAATTCGGCTTTCACAGTTGGTAGAACGGCAGGATATTCCAGCAATTCATCTTTCAGTTATATTCTTCCGTACTAGATCGTGCTACGGTAGTTGAATCATGCGATTCGATTGTACTAATATCCTGCGAGTATTCCTTGTGGAATGACATACGGTCCTTCTCGCTATCACAAATATACGCGGTAGGCTCGGACTCTGGACTTCTCCATATCATCACTGTTGTCGTGCGTGACTAAAAGCAGAAGTTTTACCGCTGCAGAGTCCTGATTATTCTGAGCACCTGGCGCGTCACAGACTTTCGCAAAGCCAATACTCCCACATCTCACGGTCCCAGTAGTCTGAAGTACGATTCACTGGGAAGCCAGTCCACCGTACGAGTGAATTTCAAGAGCTCAAGGCAGGTGATGTTTGCCCTAGTCTGCGGAGAGATGATCAGCATCTGCATCATCCCGTTGCGATTGTCGGCGGCCGTTATGAGCCCGGATGGATCTGGCGCATGGTGATCTGTTGATTTGGTGATCGACGTCGGCGTCGACGCCATCCGTTTCGTTCGGTGCCAAGACAGACGAAGCCAAGCAATACGAATGTATGCAAGGTGTAGCAAGACGAGGACCTCGATGAATCCCTACCGCTATTGTACAGCCTCAGTAAGATCCTCAGCCGCGCATCACTTGTGTGCTGTACCGTTCGAATCTTGTCGACATACAATCGCGTCCCTACATCCGCAGAAGGCTACAACGAGCAACGAGCAATGAGCAATTGAACAACGAGACGGTCTTAAAAAACACAGCCTGTCCTCGCAATCGAGCACGTCAGTACATTAGTCGTAGCTCGTAATCCTTTGGCCTTTGATCCAGGCATTCGCTCAACACCGACGACTGCGCATCACGAGCGCGACCCGTGCATCACGATCGTTGATCCCCAGATCCCAGACTCGTGATCAGGCATGACGAGAAGAACCGAATAAAAGAACACCATTTTGCGGTCGACGACGATGGGATGTCGAATATTCTAGCAACGCCCAACGGTGTCTGTGTTTCATCGACCCCACCTGAAACCCGCAGAGAGAAAACCCAACATTCCCCGCCCCGTCGGGAACCTCACTCGCCGACGCTCTCGGGGTCGGGGTCCTTTGACGCTGGACGGTGGGTCGGGCGTGATCGACCTCGGCTTCTATTCGATGACGCGCGCGCCAACAAGGTGGAAGTTAGTCCGGCAGCCGACTCGCGCGCAGCAGATTCAGCGCAAGAGGGAGGCCGGGTGGGTCGTCACCGATTACATCATTCGGGCGCCACGAAACACGTAATCCCCTGCCTCTCTCCCTCCCTTTGATGCGCCGTGCTTCGTCGTGCTCGGTGACTGCGTGCGTGTGTGGCTTGATTTGTCAATTCTATTTATAAGCGGGGCGGGGCGGAGGGGAAGGTGGTGAAAACCTTGAAAAGTGGCGGGTGACGCTGATCAGATAAAAAACAAACCAGACGATAAGGGGGACGTCGACCTCGCAAATCCAACCAGACTGGCAAACGACACATCTTCATTCAACCTCCCCATAGCTCTTTGACCTAAATCTACCATCTCGCACGACCCAGCGACACCTCATCACCACACCTCTCCACCATCACCTTGTCTCGCAGCCCACCACAACCATGTCACCCACGCTATGGGGTCTCGACCTCCGTCAGGTCCACCCTGCCAAGTTCAAATCCTCCTACATGTGGAACAACGTCTACCACCTCCGCCGTACCAAGTTCATCGTCTACCAACTCGCCATGATCTTTTGCGTCATCTCCGAGTCCCTAGGTACGGCGGCCTTGTCCAACTACAGGGACCAAGCTAAAGATATCGCCAGGCTGGAGACGGACGGGGTGGCGGAATGGAGCGGGGATTATATCGGGGTGGCCTCGTATAACATCTTCAACGGAATTTTCGTCGCGTTCGTCTTTGGTGCGGCGTTCTTTTTCGACCTGATCTTCCCCGAACGGAGAGAGGATAAGGGGATCAGAAGGGCTTGGAAGTGGTGTGCGGTAGCTACTTGTTTTACTACGCTGGCTAGTGCGATCGCTATGAGCGTCATCTTTGCGACCCGTTCTTCCCGAATCTCAGGGACCCCGGAACAAATCGCCTACATAACCCAGCGTCTTCGGGAGACCGGCTCGGACCCGCTAAATTACCGGGACAACGCTTTGGCGAAAGCTTCTCTTGCTTTCCTCTGGCCCGGGTGGGTAGCGTGTATCGCTGCGACCTGGGTGCTGTGGAAGTCCGACAAGTGGACGGTGAGGAACGGACCTTGGAGCGGGAGTGAGAGGAGGTTGAGGGAGGAAGAAGGGTGTTTCGATTACCCCGGTCTGGTCCAGGCTGGGGTTCCTACCAATCCGCCTGTCAACGCTCCGGAGGTACCGACGCAGATGGAGGTGGAGACTTCTAGCCAGACCACCTTGAACCCCGCTGTGCCCCCTACTACCACTACTTCCAACGCGGACCTCGAAGCCGGTCTAAACTTCAAATCCGCTTCCCCGGCGAACAGGTTGAAACCGGGTCAAGAGGGGTACGATTACCACGCCGACAAGCTCGCTGACAAGGGACGGGGTGGGGGGCCGACGTTGAGGCCTAGTCAGGTTGAGGCGGGGGTGAGGAGGATGGGGGATAAGCCGAAGAAGGAGAAGGTTGGGTCGGGGGAGAAGTAGGGTTATGAAATGAGGGGTGCCGGATGGGGCCGCGAGACGATTTCTTCTCCCGCCAATGCCGACATCCCAACTAGGCGGATCGGTCTGTGGTAGACCGAACACCTGGTTACACCACTCGACGATAACGGCGAGCCGAATTCCAATGAATATCTCCCGACATACCTCTTGCAATACAAACTACAAAACCGATACAAACGCCTTTCTTCTTCTTTTCACGACCGGACGACAAACTTAATACCAACATCACCCTCGACATGTGTCTGCATTTACAACGCCCTCAACCTTAATACCGACATTTGCTTCTTGCGAGACTGCGACTCGGACTGTGATTTGTGAGCTAATAGATGGGAAAACGCGATCTTGTCTCCCTTGAAACCCTGCTGTATCCAATTACTATAATCATCATCGTATCGTGATATCAATTATTGCATGTGTGTGTTCCTCCGTAAATCTTTGAACGCCATTCGTCTCGGTCGGATGTGGCACGAAGATGCTGGTGAGGGTTGTCGAGAGTGATTACGTCATCTTCATTATCGGATCCGACGGGGTGTTGACAATGTCGAAGGAGAGGGAATATGATCGGAGTTCGTCATCAACAACATCATCAGTAAATCTCACATACAGTAACCCCATTGTCACCTCTTGTTGATACGATTCGCAATCTTGACAGAATTTTCGATCTTGAACGGACCCACTCCCATCCTCGCCGGCGGCCATGGCCTCCAACCCTACGATCGACGCCGTCCCGCAACACCTACGCGATACCTCGAACCCGACGCACCAGATCCAGCGGTACCTAGCCGGTCAACGGCCGTTCTTGCAGGAGTTCATCGTTAGGGGGAGGGAACATATCGATAGGGCTTTGAAGCGGGATGAGAGGAGGGCCGCGTCGAAACGAGAGCGGGAAAGGCTGGGAGACGGGATAGGGGTAGGGGAAGGGTCGAGTTCGTGGGAAGGGAGCACGGTTACCGGGTTGGCGAGTTCGAGTTCGAGGTCGAGCGGGATCGTCAGACGGATGAGAAGGAAAGATGGGAGTTGTCTTCAAGAGAACGGTCAAAGTGGCAGTAAACTCTCTCGGAAGGACTCTGGTGGAGGCAAGAGCGAGGAGGCTTTGAAAGGGACGGACACGATCGTCGTCGATGTTCTCAAACGTAGCGAGTTTAGGGCTCTTCATCGTCAGTCCGGGGCACGGCGGGAGCTCGAGGATATTCACGAGGAGACGGACCGGGATAAGGAGAATGTCCATCGATACCTTGATGTGAAGGCGGGGAAGAAACCTTCTTCGAACGCACTCGCAACGACAACGACTGTCACGGTCAAGGATAAGCAGCCGTCCAAGCTCAAACCCACCTCCAAGAGCGACGAGAAGGAGAAGAAGAAGATCAGAGAACCTGAGAACGAGATGATCTCTGATCTGCCGACTAGATCTCGAGCTAGACCGGTCTTGGTAGACAAGGTTTTGAACGTGAACGAGAACACGCATGCGATGCCGCTCGGGGGGAAGAAGAGGAAGAAGGGGGTGGGGGATGTGGATAGGGATATGGATGTGGGCAAGGATGCGAACGTTGATATGAATGTGGATGGGGCGAGTATGACGTCGAGTGCGAAACGTGAGTATCTTTTCCTCGACTTACCGCCTTTCTGGCGGTTCTCTGTTCTTCGGCTTCTTCCGGATAAGGGTATCTCATCGTACTTCCCAACTCATCACTGACGACATCATCTTTCTTCTCTCGCCCCTATGTGTTTCATTGCGCGAAATTTCCGATCGGGTACTTCGCAGGACGACACGAACGTAAACTCAGACGAAGGGCGAAAGCGGCTATCCGGCATACTCCTTCTCGGCCGCCCGATGATCAGGTTGTGATGGACGTTGACAATGGGGAGGATGAGGACGAGGAAGAAGTCGGGAGCACCATCGAGGTCTTGCCCGTTACCAGTACATCCAAACGGCCTACTACTGCTACATCGAACAAAGACGCTGGGAAAGTAAAGAACGGGAACGACAGAGCCATCCTGGCGGAACCTACGACCACGACTACGAACGCTAACACGAACACGACGACGATTCGGAAACGCAAAGGAAACGTCGGGCTCAACATGATGGCCAACTTCAAGTCCGATTCGCTGGCAAAAGGACGGAGGATGACGCTGACGGGAGGTCGGACGGGGATGTTTTTGGGAGGGAGGAAGGTGTCTTCGGCTTGGAGAAACGTTGCGGGTGGGGGGCGTGGGATTGGGGCGGGCGATGAGATATGTGCGGGGGTCGGTGAGTACGGCTGTTCGGCACCATCTTGGATACGCATCAAGCGGGAAAAGCTGACTCTGGCCTGTGTGTAATGTTGATTCGGATCATCGATTGCGTCAGGTTCTAGACAGAGAGAACCGTCTTCTTCACCCCCAAGCAAGATCAGACGGGTGGAAAGTCTCAAGCCGGCGGCGTCGAGGACGAGGTCTGCCCTGGGAGTCACCAAAGCTGTCGCTACAGCCGCCGATGACGGTGTACGTCGGTCAAAGAGACTCAGTGAGAAGAACGAGTCCTCCGGCTCGGTAGATCGAGAAGAATCCGAGAGTGAAGCGAGTTCCGCATCGAGCTCGAGCTCGAGGACTAGATCTAGATCATCCTACTCGAGAAAGCTCGCAGCGGGCCGGAGGAGGGAAAAGCCGGTCGACAAGCCCACGTCGGAGCCGGAGCCAGAGCAAGAGGTGGATTTGCAATGGTCCGTCTCTTCCCCCGGCCGAGGTAGGAACTTGTCAAAGGCAAAAGCACTGGTCGATCGGGAGACGAGCTCGTCACAGCGAGAACCGGGGATGACGGCTACGGGCATCGAGATCGGGGTCGAGGCAGAGATGGATCGTCCGGGTGCTCCGAAGTCGACGATCACAACAGGGAGAGACGGGGGACCGAGTTTCGGTTTGAGGTCTAGGACTAGGTCGAAGTTGGGTTCGAGCTTCCATGTGAGGACCGATACGCCTATCTCCAAGCAGTCACGGTCGCAGCATCCACTACCGGCACAATACGCCGATAGCGACAGAAAGAATCAGAAAGATCTCAATCATACCGACGAAGTCGTTGGAAAAGGCTTCTCGTCTGTAGATACAGATAAAGAGAACGAACACAGACAGACCGTCGGAGAAGCCGGAGCTCGAGCTGGGCATCAGGGTAGACGAGCATTGAGGTCTATCAGACTCGCAGGGACGGATCAGAAGAATGGGAATCCGAGGGAGAAGAATTGGTTCAGACCCCCGAAGAGTCGGAAACAGCGGACCGGGGTGCGGGACGATGTCGACGAGCCTGATCGGTCCGCGCTCGGGCTAGGTCGACAGAGGATTCGGGAGATGGCTATCGGGGCTGAGGGCGATGACGCCGCCGCAGAGGCTTTCGTTTGGGGTACGAACGTCTTCAGGCAAGATGGGACGAATATGGGGATGGAGACGATGGGGACGATGATTGGAGGGTGGGCTTGCGACCTCGGAGAGAATATCGAGGATGGGGTGGAAGGGTGGCAAGAGGAGGACAAGGAGAACGTCGGTATCAATTTCGGGATTGGAGAGGAGTACGGCCACGCAGGGTATTCAGTTGGGATGAACGGGGATGTGGAGGAGTATGGGGATGGGGAAGGGGATGAGGATGGGGATCGAGTTGGGATGGACATGGGTATGGGTGTGGGGCTACAAGGAGCGTACGCAAGGTACGGGTTGGAAGGACTGGACCTGGATCTGGATATGGAGATGGGTATGGATATGGGACAGGACGACGGTCTGTACCCGGTCGAACATCTTTCGGAAGGCTTGCAGCCGTATTATTGCTGCGATAACGACAATGTCGAGGAAGAGAATCAGGATCAGGATGGAGACGAGTTTCAGATCGATCGACTCGAAGAAGATGGTCATTACGGATACGACGACCGCCAAGAGGGACAATGGGCGATGGACCCGATGAACCCTGAGGTGGACCTTGCAATGGATACGACTGGCGACGCCCACTTCGATGCCGAATCGGGTTTGGACTTGTGTCAGATGCAGATGCAGATGCAGATGCAGATGCACGCGATGGACACCGAGGACGAACCGGCGATCGACATGTTTGGGACGAGGGTGAGCGAGTTGCAGAGGGAGATCTTTGCGGGCGGGCGGGAGAGGTGGTGAACGTGGACTGTTGGCGGGCAGTTCTGTTCATCACACCCAAGTCAGTTGTATGGCCTCCAACGAGTTTTCAGATTGAGATAGATAGTAGTGTAGCAGTCATGTGAAACGTCATGACATGTGGTGACTGACCAGTCTCCGCGACCATGTGATCTGCGCGCCGGAAGCGGACGAGCCGAGGTCGGGCGATGGATGGATGACTGGCAGAGTCGACCTCTTGTACATCTCACCAACACCCTCTCCAATCGACTGGCATACAGCATGAACTATCAGCACATGTATAGATCGAACCAAGTAGCATTCTCCATCTGATCTGGTTGTCGTTATCGCCGGTCGAAACGAACGTGGGACCACCGACATCGCAGTCGATTCATCGAGCCATCTCTCTCACATCTCAGCAAACGCCGGACTCACCTTACTACTCATCATCATCAAAGGTCGAAGAAAGGGGAAAGTACATCCAAACGATCGGGCATATATTCCACTTCCGGATCATCGAGTTAGAGCTTTGGACGACGAGGTGATCGATCAGGAGACTGTTAGGTCTCGTAACGATACAAACAAGAGAACAAGAGATCAAGACGTCACACGAGCGACTACGACCCGTGACATCGTCAATAGCTTAGCAATCAGAAGTACACCTCATCAATATGGTAAGCCTAACCACACTCTGAATCCCTGGATCTACCACCATCACGACAATGTCAAGAAGTCCATACTGACCATCGTCATGGCCTCGTTGTGTGTGCCCGAAACCAACCTGATGACGACCTGATCCCCCCGGGGAGACCAGTCTACGGCCGCACGAAGACGTCTCGTCAGAGATTTCAGACGACTCCAAGCAGACCCACCTGCTGGGATCTCGGGGGCTCCGAAGGCGGATAATATCATGATCTGGAATGCGGTCATCTTTGGGCCAGGTGGGTCGTCGGGTTGGCTTGTTGTCGAGTGATGAGTTGGAGGCTGGGGAGGGGAGGGAGGGGTGGTCGTGTGGGGCGATTCAGGCTGGGAAGCTGACTTGATTTCGGCTTGTCATCATCTACTTCTCGTGGTCCCTCCATGACCGACACCGGCATCGCAGCGGACACGCCCTTCGAAGACGGCACCTTCCGCCTCCTAATGACATTCAACGAAAACTACCCCAATTCCCCACCTACCGTCAAGTTTATAAGCAAGATCTTTCATCCAAACGTCTATGCCAATGGGGAACTGTGTTTGGATATCCTGCAGAATCGGTGGAGCCCGACTTATGATGTCGTGGCGATCTTGACGAGCGTGCAGAGTTTGTTGAATGATCCGAATCCGAATAGGTCAGTTTGGCCTGTTCTTGATTGGTTCTTCTTGTTCTTGTCAACAAGCAGCTCTTCGTTTGTGAGAGAAGGTACTCGATGCTGATATGATCGGTCGTATTGGAGGACAGTCCGGCAAATGCGGAAGCGGCACAGTTGTACAGGGAGAACATGAAGGAGTATGTAAGACGGGTCAAGGTGAGTCGGATAGGAGGCTGGGATGTTTTTGGAAGAGGTGATCTTGGTCTTTAGGTGGGAGAGAAGCTGATCGATGATGTTTTTGCTTGTTCTCTTCCTCTTCTTTGCTCTTCTTCGCTTAATTCTGGATCACCATGGCCTCGATCTGGACGCTTGATATCCCATCTCGTATCGACCCAAACCGCACTTTTGGTCCACCACGCGATTATGGGACTGGACGTCTCACCCCCTCGCAACAGGCTACGGTGGAAGAATCATGGATGGACCCGGAAGATATGAAATCCATCGCCGACGGAGCCGACGAGGACGAGACAGAAGCGGATGCTGCGGGCGGAGGCGGGGATGAGGGGATGCGGGCGGTATGAGCCCGATGCATTTGGGTTGGGGAGGATGGGCGGGGGCTATCCGTGAGTTGCGCTAGGAAGAGACGGAATGAGAGAGAGATGAGCTGATTGACCGATCTTACACCTGGACAGATCATCCCGGGCGGTAGAAAATAGGCCCAGGACCCTCGAGAAGACGGAGACAGAACATCCTGCCGTTCTCATATTGCTTCATCTTGGCGGATCATCAGACGGGCGGATCGACAGACGGGCCGGGTATCTAGTCTCTCGGACGGTTCCCTAAGCAAATTGTGTCATATAATATCACTTACTGACGGAGCATCGCATTACGTATACACCCTGAGCTTCTGGTCGAGTCGCCTCCAAGGAAGCTTTGAGACTGGTTCTTGAGGGCTCGGAGGATCAGTTTGGAACTTGAGGCGGAGGGATGAGAGTTGACCGCCTATAGCTCGAAGCGACCGAAAGATAATACGCATTCCGAGAGATGAAATACCTCCAGATTATGGTGCGTTGTTGGACCCCGACTAGCAGTGTAGCTCTTGCTCTGTCACAAGGAATGGTATAAGAGTACGTAGCTCCCGTTCAGCCCGTTCAGCGTGAGGTCGGCAGGCTCGACCTCTAGCTCCTTGGCCTCCAGGAGCCCATCCTCAACGTCCTCGTCTTCTTCATCATCCAATAAATATTCGTCGCTTTGTAGCATGCAGAGCCTTGGTTGCCAGTTCTGGGTAAGCCCGGCGATCAGGTGGGTAGCTCTGAGGAATGTGATGGCCCAATCTGTAATTTTGTGGTTTGTTCAGATCAGTTCCATCTTCTTTGCCCTCAATGTCTTACCCCTGTGGTTCCGGGCAGAAGTGAGCCATGATATGTTGTTGACCTTTCTGGTGATTTTCTCCTTTTTGTCAAGGTTGAGTGACGGCACAACATGGAGCACCCTGTCAGCAAACCAGTTTAATACCACAGCCCAGAAGAGCTTGGTACCAGTCTCTGTAATGGTGATGTAATTGCCAGGGAACCACGAAAGAAAATCTTCCATAGAGCGATTCATACAACTCGTGTCAACTGACGAAAGCGAATTGTGGCAGATAGCAGAAGCAACTTACTGGTCCTCCACTACAAGCCTCGAACTTGAACCCTCGCCTCTTGACAACTGTACAATCTACTTCCATGTCTTGCTGTCGTCGAAAAAGAGAGGTGCCAGAGCCGCTGGGTCTCATCTGCCAATATCAAGTAGCACATTCTCTGTTTGGATAAGATCAGCGTTTGGTGGAGTAGTTCGAGGTGCAATAGGTTCTTTGGTCCTGGAAGGCTGTTTGGTCCTGAGTGCCTTCTTCTCAGCGACCTCGTCTTCCAGCGTCAAGTCGATGTACATTCAGTCTTTCTGGACTCGGCTGTTGAAAATCCAGGAACTGAAGAAGTCTGTGTATGAACATAGTCAGATTGACTTCTGCAAGGACAAACGTCACAAGTTTCAATCAGACCGGTGGTTACAGCTTTCCGGGGCCTTGCTCATGGACAAGCACAATCTTCACCCTAAGAGCGACCTCAATTACCATCACCTTGTCTGTCCGTATGATGATAATCTCCCCAGTATGAGTAGAGCGTAATGATGATGATACAATTCAATGTCATACCAAGTGCTTGATCCTCTACAAGTGTTCGAGTCAGTTGCGGATCATAAACAGTGTGTCGTCATATGGCAAGGGAGAGCAAGCGAAACATCTGATTTCCTGGCACACAGAGCTTTTTGCTGTTTTCGCTTCGGCTTTCAACCTCCGGCTTCACAAAACGGCAGGAGAGTTGTGTTGCAAATAGTGAGACACCGCGTCCCACCCATTCCTATGAGCTCATGCTCTAGCGCTATTACATTCTCATTCGACAGTATTGCAGATCAGTAGGTTTCTTTCATTGCGCTTCAAAACGGTGTAGCGCGTGTAAAAGAGTTGTGGAAGGCTTGATCATCCGATCGAGTACTCCATCGTCTTCCGAACCTGGCAAGACAGACAATTTTAGAGCGAGGTAGCCGTCGGTAGGCACTTGGGGAGAACCTTCTGTGAAAACATATCGGATACTGAGAATACCATCGGAAATTGAGAAAGATTTGGAACCGACATCAATCCGAATCATAAGGCGTCCCCTATCGCGCTTCAGCATGCGAAGGCGCCCGTGCGAAGAATTTCAACATTCGGGATTTCTCTTACACTCGGCCGCTCAGTTGCTCAGACATACTTGTAAGGGATATAGCGACAGGTATACGATCTGCGAAGGATCTAAACCGTGCCCCAAGTTTGACCTGATAGCGTTCCGGCATTTATTGAGAAACGACGCGAAACGAGCTCTTCGACTTCTATCTTGTTGCAGATGTGAGATCCGGAGGTCATGGTCACATCGTCTGCAGTCTTCCCCCTATTCTTTCGTGAGTCGCTCTTTCGGATATTCTCAGCTTACCGAAGTATATTGGATCGCTGCGCCCTCCAAGCGCACTTTGTCGAGCTGGACAAGCAATCACCGGCAAACATAGTTTTACGTTCACGCGTGGTCTTGCTATTCCATCCAAGAGGAATTTGCTGTGAGATGTGCCAGGGATGCCGCTGCGCCCGCCGAGCAAGGCGCAAGTAATAGCGATCATCCAATAATGTTATCAGACGACACTCTTGCTTTCGAGGATAGATGGCGGATTAGCTGCGCTTAGAACCAGACCCGTTCATTCGAAATTGGTAGAAATGGGATCGTTGAACCGCCCGCGATCTTTGCGCGTTCGAGGACTTGAAGGACTTGCAGATACAGAGATGTTCTAGAGTAGAATCTTGCAGTTGGGATCGGAGCTGCCTATGGTAGCACAGCGTCGCGTAACTTTCTCACGAGAAGGATCAAGGCACATGTACTTAGAACAACTTCCCCCGTTGACAGAATCGTTTCTCGGACGCCGACATCCGGCAGGGATCGCTGCTCGCGGACGTCTAGAGGGAGAAGAGGGGGGATCCGGCCATCGCAAGATGCTTGTCTATGAATCGCTAATACCCTACCGCCTGATTTCCGTCGCCCGTGAGCTGTCGCTCATCGTTCAATGGTCCTCACCGGTTACTACCCATTCTTTCCGTGAAGACGCAAGCCCCTGATGGTACAGGTTAGGTTCGACGTACTGTAGCTGAAGTATTTGCTTACAGCATGAACTCATGCGCGGTCGATCCAACATCATTGCGTCTCTTTTTCCTTGGTATCTAGGTATTGTCCCATCGTCCAACACATTGGGATAAGACGGTACGGTACGAAGCTACGGTATACCTATATCGACCGACGAGGACAACGTTGAGATGTCATGTGATGGGATTGAGAATCGTTCTGCCATCACGCATGGGCCTTGCTATAAACCAGCCATCTATCTGGGCAGGGGCGTTCGGGTGGCAGCTCGGATTTCCGAGCCCATAGACGTGCATCATGCATCAAGTGATCAAGGCATCGACACTACGTAGTACGGCACTACTACTGTGCGAACTGTACAACTGCCCGAGAGTGAAACGATCGATGAGATGGCGTCTCTTTAAGCTTCGGGATGGCGTTTCACATGAACGAATATCCCGAGGGTTTCCGCGCTAGAAAGCTCAACCCCCGTCGGCCTCCGGGAACCGGGATGGCTGTGCGTTATGCTCGGCCCGGGCGCCTCTTCCCGAGGCTCGAAGTCTTTTCTTTCGCGTTACGAGCCAGGTTTTGATCTGGTAGGAGCTAGTCGACAACGAGTGGCTAGCCGTCGTGTGGTAGAGAGTTGACAGGCTGTCCGGTACGACCAGATCACACGACAGGCGACAGGTTCGGTAGTAGCCAGCCGAGAGGGAGGTCGATCCGGAGCTGTCGTGGAAGACGACGAGAAATGGCTGGGCGCTATATGATTCTGAGACAAAAGAAAAGAGGCGTTCCAGCGATGATCCACGTGTAGAAGGTCGGGCGGATGCAAGAGATTGACCGGTTCGGGCGATTTCCGTGCGCACGCGACGATCAGGGCACTGAGCACTGATGGAATCACAAGGAAAGATGACGGGGAGATCGCGTTCGAGGACGAAACTGAGTACTGAACCGGATCGAAAGAGGGCGGGACTTTATGAGAATAGCAAGTCGCAAGTCGGGACGAGTCGTCTCATTCAGAAAAAGAGAGCAAGAGATCAAGAGAAGAACGTCACAACGGCAATCGTTCGATCGTTCGAAGCTGTTCCGCCACCGACTCGAGACCGATTCGTCCACGATAGAAAGAGCGCGGTGTTTCTCTGTCACACCTTTCCGACAGAGGCCAGGACCTTTCGATTGGTCTGCGGCATCGTATAAGCCTGGTGCTGGACACCAGTCGACGATATATCTTGTCCACCACCCACCGACCTCGGTAACGGAGCCCTGCAACTAGACCTGACGAACGCAACCAACCAACCGACTTGACATTGAGATTGACATTGACGGTCTCATCATGGTCGCACCCAACACCCCGCCTGGGGTACCCAACCTGATCCTCACCCGTCCTTCCATCGCGGACCAAGGACGACGTACTCCCAGCACTCCTGAACAGCTGTATGACCCGGGCTTGGTCTCCCCGTTCAACACTCCTCCTCTAGGTCAAGGTCAAGGTCAAGGTGATCGTGCATTTCCTTTTGGTCCACAATCACAATCCGAGTTTGGAGGTTCGATCCACACCCCACCTCGACGTACGCGAGGTCGCAAGTACCCAAGTCAGGATGGATATACTTCGCCCTATACCTCGCCTTACAATTCTCCCAACGTCCCGCAAGACGGCTTTACGTCGAGTAGGAGTAGGAGCGGATCGCCCTCGGCTTCTCAGGCTGGATCGCCGAGACCGCCTTATTTGGAGAGGATGAGCTCGATGTCGGGTTATTCCCCCCGACTCGACTCGAATTCGAACGGACAATTCGATTCGCCCGGTTCGGTCACTATCAACCTGGATACCCCACCTGAAGTTGATCCTCTGGACAACTCCAGGTGCGGATCTCATTCAGGGAGGGCCTCACCTTCATCGGCTACTCCGGGCACGCCGACGATGATCACCCCGACGTCCGCTACGTTCCGTAAAGCGTCCATGTCCGACGTCTGGCACAGACACGCGAGGAATTTCAGTCAGAGCGGTGGGGAATTCAATTCGGCGACGAGTTCGAGGCCTTTGATCGAAGTTTCCCATAATTCAGGGGGCGGGAATGACAGCGACGAGATTGAGGATCACGATGATAAGAGCGGGAAGAATAAGAAGGGGGAGGTTTGGAGACGTCTCGTCGTCAGGCCTTTGAGCTGGATCTTGCCTCATTCGATGGTCTCCTCGTTGATCATCAACGGACCAGGATCGGGATCGGGATCCGGGTCGAAGGGCAACAAGAGCAAGAAGAATCACGCGCTGAGTGAGGATCTGAGGAGGAAATCGACGGGGACCGCTTCGGCTACGGTGCGGGCCAAGAAACAACGTGCGAGGAGGGGAGAACCGGAAGGGTGGGTCCCTGTGTGGGTCAACAGGGGGAACGCTGGGAGGTTCGTCCTCTTGCTGGCGGTATTATGGTGGATGATGGGCAAGTACATCTCCCCCGGCTCAAATTCAAAGGTCGGGACCAGCTCGGAAGGTTCATCCTCTAAGCAAGAAGAAGGAGCAGCATCCCGCAAGGCCCGTCTTGCCGACCCTTTCCATCCGAAAGTCGGGATCTACCGTAACCTCCCTCGACACGTCGTCGATGAACCTCCTTACCACCACGTCGCCGACGGGTTGCTCAGCGTCAACACCTCGGCGCCCGTAGACAGGCATCCGATTTATCAGCTGATCAAGCAGGCGAGGGACGAGTGGGACGGGAAAAAGAAGAGGCAGAGCAAGACGTTGAAAGAGGCCGTAGCTGAGTATAAGAGGAGGAACGGAGGGTTGATGCCCCCGAAAGGGTTTGACAAGTGGTGGGAGTTTGTCGTGTGAGTTAACAGGATTTGAAAGGGGGTTGGGGGTGCTTCGCCGAGAATACTGACTAATAGGCGGGAAATCCTTAGTCTGAACGAAGTCCAACTCCCCGACGAATACGACCAGATCAACAAGGACCTTTACCTCTACCGCGCCCTCAGTCCGGGAGAATTGAACCGCCGGCTGGACACTGCCAGCGAGTCCGAAGACACCTTTACCATCTCTATCAAGCACCACAACGTACGTACCCGGTCGACTTATGATGGAGAGGCCATCGGCGGGGCGGACGAACGGCTCGAAGCCCAGATCGAGCTCTTGATGGATTACGGGATGGAGAGTTGGTTGAGCGATATGAGGGTCGTCTACGGGATCCACGATGGACCGACGGGCTTCATCGGGTACGATCATCGGAGCGATCTGGAGACGCTCGTACAGGACGACGAGTATTACCGGACCGTCGAAGAGCTGGATACCACCGTCAGAGGGTGGGAAGCTGCTTGCCCTTACGGGTCTCCGGCGAGGAGGTTGACCCCGTCTAACCGCGGTGCGGCAGGGTTGGCGCTGGGCAAGACGTTCGTCCAAGACCCGTCCGTCAGCCAGTTTGACATCTGCAACCACCCGGAGTACATGGACCTGCACGGGGCGTTGAACGGTCGTCGTCCCCACGTCCAACAGACGCTCCTCCCGACGTTCTCTTTGAGCAAGACGGCGCTGCACACCGACGTCCTCGGGGTCCCCATGGAACAATGGATGGAAACCTTGCCTACGATCCCTTGGGAACGGAGGACGCAAGACAAGCTCCTCTGGAGGGGGTCCAACACGGGCGCCTACTACTCGGACGAGATCGACTGGCGAAAGACTCACCGGGTGAGGTTGGTAGAGCTCGCCTCGGGGGGCGACGAGATGGTCGACGTGATCCCTCCACCTCGTTGGGGCAAGGGGGACGACGACGACGATCAGGAGAGGGATGGGGAGGAGGAGGAGGAAGACGATGATCCCATGATGGTCACCGCGAACAAGAGCAAGAAGACGATCCAGGAGGCCATGAGGGTGTTGACGAAGAATGCGGTGGAGAGGAAGATGCTGGACATTGCGTTTGCAGGGGATGAACCCATCCGTGAGCCTCTCCCGCTGGCCTTGTAAACGCCCAAATCTCTGAAAAAGATCGCTGACGAGTGTAACCGTTCGACGTATGGACGGAGAATAGAATGCGAAGAGTCCGACGGAACCTGCGCCCAACTAGCCCTCGAATACGTCTGGTCCACACAAAAGATGACCCACGAAGAAGCCCTGGAATACAAATACGTCGTCGACGTGGACGGTAACACCTGGTCCAGCCGGTTCCAGCGGCTCTTGCTCGGGGGCAGCGTGGTCTTCAAATCGACGATCATGCCTGAATGGTGGAACCAGCGCGCTCAGCCTTGGGTGCATTATGTGCCTGTGGGGTTGGGGTATGGGGATCTGGTGGACGCTTTGGTCTTTGTGAGTTCCGAGTCTATATGCGTCTTTACCGTTGGTATTCATGTGTGAGATGGCTGATCATGAGATTAATGCGATGGGTTGGTCGGCGTTGTAGTTCCGAGGAGGCGTGGATGGCAAAGGCGGAGAAGACGAACTAGCCCGACAGATCGCGGAAGAAGGAAGGGAATGGACGGAAACTCATTGGAGAAAGGTCGACATGGCCGCTTACATGTGAGTGACAATTTCTTTCCTCGACTCGAGATGACATTGCATCAGAGTTTGAAGCAATAATTGACGATCTTGCGAATGCCTTCTTTCTCGTAGCGGCCGGGTCTACCTCGAATGGGCGCGTCTCGTCGCTCCCGTTCGGAGGAGCATGGATCTCGTGTACGACGAGAGCATGGAGGTCGAGCTGCATGACGATTGAAGGAGGAGGAGTGTATAGAGAGAGAAATCCTTGTAGCCATATAGCATCATGTTTCGACTGAAACCGGTCCCTCCTCGAAGAAGCGCGATTACGTAATTTCTCTAGGTGAACAAGCGCGTCCGAGCAGCAGCAGTTGTAGCAGATGTAGCAGATGTAGAGCAGGGTGTGACGATGATATGACTCTCGACATATACCACTCACCAACCCACCACTAGCGATTGCTTCCAGGTCACTCGACGCCCAAGATGGACATGGATGACGACGACGCCTTTTTGTACGGCGACGAAGAGCCGGCGGACGAGGTCGAGGTCAAGCAGGAGCAACAACCCGCGGGAGCTCCTTTTCAAGGTGAGTCTGGTGGGTCGGGTTGGGCTATCCTTTATAGCAATACGGGCATCGTCCTGACTTTTTGACTTGATGCTTCATAGCTGGCAAAGATGCATCATCTTCACGAAAGACTGAAGAGTAAGCTCGACGTCCCATCTTCCACGGTCGACTCCCCTTGGACGCTCGTGCACATTCCACTAACCGATATTGCTTTAATCTACTACGCCGTCCTATACTCGGCCCACGCCCCGTCGTACCCCGTTATCCTCACTATGATTGATCAAAATATACCTCGACCATCACTAAACTCACAACCCCCGTCACCCTCACCCTCACCCTCACTCGGTATTCAAATCCGAAATCGAAATCGAAATCCATTCAGGCCGAATGACGAACTAGACGACATTTACGGCGAAGATCCGACATCTACATCTGCACCTCAAACGGAAGATCTCCCACAGGCGCAAGTCCAGGGTCAGGGACGAGCTGGGGCACAAGCTGAAGCTGGAGGCGGTCGAGCAGCACCGGGGGTCGCACCGGGTTACAGCTTGGAGAACGCTTTACACTCCAATCCCGCTGGTGCAAGTGCAAGTGGACGAGAGACAGGGGGCAATGATAATCAGGGCAATGAAGTAGATAAGGAGGAAGATATGGAAGAAGATATGGACGAAGATATGGACGAAGATGATGATGACGAAGGAGATGAGAGCGAAGATGAAGACGAAGACGACGGGTTGGAGATCTTGATGAACGCCCCGCAGAGGAGTGTTGATTTCAGGTAAGCCTTCACAAGTCCTCTACAGTATTTACCCTCTATCCATCCACCTCAAGGAACCCAATGAGAACTTCGATTCCGATTTTGAGAGCTTTGAATCTGAATCTAATATGAATTTGGAATGTCGATCGAATACTGTAGGAACCAACAAGCTCTCCGCAATCAGGGACCGGCGATGAACATCGCCGTGAGCGGGATGGGGATGAATGCGGCTACTCTGGCGGCTCCACCGGTCGCAACCGCAACATCGGCACTAGCGACGACGGCGACAGCGGCGGCGGGTACGGGTGCAGCTCCGTCAACAGCATCGACGAATGGGACGGGGATGGTGACGGCGGGCTCTATGACGGATTATACGCCTTTGGAACGAGGAGCTCCGGTTCCTACTCGGCCCGTCCACCAGACCTCATCCACTCCTGTAGGACAAACTCAACCTCAAGGTCAAGGTCTCGGTCAAACGCAATCTCAGCCGATATTGGGCGAACACACCGCCGAGACGGACCCGACCGGTCCTCCGGTCGCCCCACTCGACCCGACCTCGACCGCCCAGATGGTAGTGCCCGAATCAGACCTACCTGTCCCACACGCCCCTTCCACTCACCCGGCCGTACCCGACCCAGAATCGTTCGCCCTCAAACCTCCGACGTTACCTAACGGGAAGAATATCTACGAATACGACCTGGCCGTGCTGAAGTCGACGGGCCAGCCTTGGAGACGCCCAGGAAGCGATCTGAGCAAGTGGTTCAACTACGGGTTTGATGAGGATTCGTGGAGCAGGTATTTGGGGTGGAGACAGGGGATGACGAGCGGGGTGGAGGTTGTCAAGGGGATGAAGCCGGGGGACGCGTTGCAGGATGACGTAGCGGACTTGTTGAGGGTGCCCAGGGCGGTACCTGGACAGATGGAGAACCAGGGAGGCGCCACTCCGGGCAACAACGATTCCAGCAATAACAACGCCCCCAACAACAACGACGCGAATCAGGCGAACAACATGTCCATGATGGGTATGGGCATGGGCATGGGTATGCCCGATGGAATGCAGATGAGCATGCCGGACATGTTTAACCAGATGAACCAGATGGGTATGGATCCGGCGGCCATGATGGGGATGCCGATGATGCAAGGTATGCAGGGGATGCAAGGTGGTGGGATGGATTTCGCGCAGATGGCAGGGATGATGAACAACATGTTTGGAGCCGGGGGTCAGCCGCAACAACAGCAGCAACAGCAGCAACAGCAGCAACATCAACAACATCAACAGGTACAACAAGGTGGACAGGGAACGCCGGGACAGGGCGGGGAGACGGTCAAGCAGGAGGAAGGTGACGTCAAGACGGAAGCAACGCCGCAAAATCAGGGCGACGGTAATGTAGGTCTTTGATATCGAGTACATCGCTTTGTGGTCTGCGTGCTGATAGGACTCGCTTGCACAGGACACACAACCCAATCCGATGGGCATGCCTGGAATGATGCCCAACATGGCCGGGTTCGGTGGACCGGACGGAGGGTTCCCGAATTTTGCGGGGATGAACATGATGCCCGGGATGAACATGCCCGGCGCAGCAGAATTCGGCATGTCGCCCATGGGCATGCCTATGCCTCAGGGCCAGATGGGGAACCTCAATACACCTATGGGCCAACAGCCAGGTATGCCGAGGAACGCGCCTATCGTGCCTGGTGCGCCGACTGGGCCGGCAGGTGGGTTCAGAGGGTCGATCAGAGGTCGAGGAGGTGCGGTCCGCGGGATGGGCGCTTTCAGGGGTCGTGGTGGAGCTCGTGAGTTGCGTTTCCAGCGGCATGTACTAGCCTTATCGTCAAGCTGACAACGAGAATCGATAATGTGCTAGCTCCTACCGGACCTCGTAACGCCGGACCGCCAGCAAACGTTCCTACTGGACCCAAAGCCGGTCGACCCCAACGTGATCGCGATAGAATGGTGGATAGTAGCAAGGTCGAGCTCGATTATGGTGCCGAGTTTGGAGGCGGAGCCGAGTCATCTGTCGCGGAGACTTCTCGACGGGGCGATCGTACGGGAGAGGACGGAGATAGGAGGGAGAGGCGAGCTGGTCGGGATCTTGACCGAGATGATCCTCGTGATCGAGATAGGTCGAGAACCGAGCGCAAGGACAGCGAACGCAAAGACAGCGAGCGCAAGGAAAGTGAGCGTGAAAAGGAGGTCGAAAAGACGGAAAGTCGATCGGGCTCGCGACGTGGATCTCCTAGCAGGCGGAACTCGGTCGCTTCGGAAGCCAAGGTAGCGGTTCCGGATACGGTGGTCGAGGAGGACGACAGTTCCAGCCGCACGCGCGCTAGGTCTGACAGGGAACGAGAGGACGGTGGGGGCCGAGGTTCCAGGTCTTCGAGAACGGAAAAGGAGAGGGATCGTGATGGCGATCGACGTGATCGTGATCGACATCGGAGCAGCCGCGACGACCCGACGAAATCGTCGTCTTCGAGACGGTCACGTTCGCGCTCGCCTACACGCGACAAGGATAGGTCGGACCGTCACCGTGATCGGGATCGAGAACGAGATCGGGAAAAGACGCGTGAGCGTGAACGTGAGCGAGACGGTGAACGGGGAGAAGATGGCAAGAGTAGCAGCACTCGAAGACACACAAGAAGCAGTCGGACGGACGGACATCGGTCATCGAGAACGAGTCGAAAGGATGACAAGGATGTCGGGTCTAACGCCGGTGACGATGATAGCGTTCGTGACGACGATGGCAAACGAGAGAGCCGAAGGACAACTCGATCAGAAGCGGATCGATCGTGAGTCTGATTATGATTAGCGGATCTGCCGGCTCGCGAAGGTCGCTCGCTAATCAAGAAATGCCTACATTCCAGTCGAAAGCGCTCTCGTAGCTTGACTGCGGACGATGATACCGATCGATCACGCAACAAAAGACGGTAGAACCCCGGCGTCAAGTGTAAACCCTTGTAGATAATGCGAACGTCCCGTCGATATGGATGATTCGCTGTCAATTTCGAATGATCACCACGTCAATGGAGACGAAGAGCTAGTCTTTCTCGGTTGACCCCTAAACCTTGGTCCATCGCTTTATCTACCATTGTCGGACTATCATACCAAAGTCGATCAGGTTTAGACAGTACTCGTACATCAGTTTCACCAGACTCGCAAGCTACAAAATTGAACCAGTCGACTCACCACAATGCTTCTGGCACTACTCGTTCTGCCAGGAGTCGTACCCGGGCGTGGGTTTCACCGCTGCGCTGTCGCCTGGGCTCTTTGAGTCGTCTCCTGACAATATTGAACTTCCACGGAGTAGAAGGCTATGGACAAACACGTTTCTCCTGCCGTATTGTAAAGCAGGAAATTGGAACCAAAGCGAATTTGGCAAAGCATCAGTGATTCAGTAGGCTGGTCGTTCCGGATTTAATGTGAAATATACCTGTAGTATCGATCTGAGCCTAGGGCGAGTCGGATGTGTTGTATCCCAACACCTCCCAATATCTAGTGGATATCGCAACGATTGAACACGAATCGACGTCCGCATGTCCATTGGCAATCAATCGTTCGACATGACATTCAGGAATCCTTGCGCTACATATCACCTATCGCAGATCGACAAGTGCGGTTCCATTAGACCAGCTGTACGCCCATCCCGGTCAATACGTCACACAGAGGAGGAAATCGGTCGGCGCCTGCAAAGACACCGCTTGGTCGGAGTGGCGAAGGTGGTCCGCTTGAAAATGGGGCGGCCAAGCAACTCGATCGTGACCTTGTAATCTGCCAACAAAAACGTCGCTTGCCCTCAAGCTATCACGGATCTCGGACAATGCCTCGTGAAAGATCGAAGGGACTATGCAATGTTCTAATATCTCCTAAATGCGGACCCCGATGCTGTCGGTTCGGCTAAGTGTTTTCGAGATTCAGTAGACTTCAACCATTTGAGCGTTACCGAGAACTGTCAGGGGATTTGCTCTTCCAATTCGCTTTCAAAGGGGATGGTGTTGCCACAACGATTTCTATCTCATGGTATCGCTTCTCCGTCCATCTACAGGTTTCACGATTCCCGCGCGCTACACGCTTCACGATAATCCCGATTTGACGCGACGGGACGAGACTGTGTAGCTACTCAGAACGGTAAAACGGTGCTCAATGTAACCCCACTCCTTTCAGTCTCCTCATCTCCATCCTCAGTCGCGGGACCTCTCGAGGAAGGTTCAAATGAAGCTGTAGGGGCCGTAAGAGTCAAGCTCTCGACGTCCATCATGGGATGCTCGGGCAACAATCCCGCATCGATCGCCCGAAGAGGCTCAGATTGGGACTTGGTGTTCCATGCCCAATCCAAAGCTTCAAGCCTCTTCCTCGCTTCCTCATCTCCCGATCCCGAGGCCAACCACCTGTTTACCCTCCCGACTCCTGTAGCGTTCAATAACACTTTGCATCGCCACTTCAGGGGGTTCACTCCGAACTCGACGTCTATGCCGGGATTGGCATCAACATATTCCTTGACCAGTAGACAAGCATCCAGACCTTCATCGCCGAAATGGCTGTCGAGGTTGCGGATGTGAGCTTGGTAATTTCCCTGATCAGGGGCTCGGTGGGCGTCTCTGCAGGCCTGGAGAAAGGCAGCTAGTTGATCAAGAGCAACTGATGATGCACAAATAGGTATTCCAAGTAAGCTATTCTTTCCACTGGACTTAGGAGCCCTTTCGCGCAACTTACTTTTGACTTTTGACATTTTGATCGAATCTTTTGTTGACCTGAACAATGAGGCAGGAGGATGACGGTGTTGGGTTGCTGCCCTTACTTCCTGACATAAGCATTGCATCTGACTGCCCTGGCACAAACGCGACTATTTATCCTCTCCAGATGATGATTGAAGCTAGTTCTTCCTCTTCGTCAAACTCCGCTCCGTGCATTCTTTTGATTATGCTTTCAAGCTCCGGTCTGCGCATCCCTTTGAGTTGTAGTTTTCATGCTCCAATCAAAAGAAGTTCTTTGATATAACGACGTCTCCTTTCAATGAGTCGCAACTTTGCTGCCAGATCAAGAGAGGTGAAAGATAGCAAAGCCTTCACTGTATTGTGTTTTGCTGGATGTGATCATCCATTACTGACCGCTACAGCGAGCTTCTAACACTCTTTCTTCCACATGGGACCATGATATTGGTCTTGGTATTGACTTCGGATGAGTGTTAGATCTTTTCAACTATGAGGGTCTTGACATTCACCTTGGCCAATCTTTGGAGGGAGTCGTGAAAAAATGATTCGTAGATGGCGTAGTTGAAGGTGATGATCCTCGAGCTCTTACCTGCATACCTTGTTGCCTTTCGTCCTGCCACACCTTTTGCCAGCGTTGAGCATATATGCCACGTTCTGTATGTACTATTAGAGCCTACGACAAGGCCCCCTAGACAACACTTGAAGCGGAGATGAGGCGAACGAACGGAGAAAATGTCCGCTTGAGGTTGTGGAGTAACGTCCACAAGGCGAACATGTAGCGAACTGACTTTGGAAACACAGACCGTTGCCGTACAGATCAGTCCATGCTCAGATGGGAGCAAGCGCCGCTAATGTCGCCATAGGCGCTGTCAGAGTCTCGTCGCGAAACTTCAGTTCCGCGCAAGCCTGTCTACCCGTTTGGCGCATGGCGCAAAAAAACCCACTTGGCGCCCGTCTATCATCAAAGGTAGTTCTATTCTCTCGCTCTCATGTAATTCCCGTGGCTACACGGAAATACAATTTTCAGAGTACAATCGCTGCAAGAAGCGCATCGGCCTCAACTTCAACCGCGATGCGACGCGTCATCGTTGGGAGTCTCGTATCGACTGGACTCGACGCTGTGCTCGCTGTTGTTACCAGCTCGAGTGGATCCCCTCGACTCGTCGTCAGAAGCGGCCGGCTGGCTCGCGTGCGACATATCTCGGCCACCCGAGCTGGATTCAGCCTCAAATCTCGCCATCACATGGTCAACCATTCGGGAAAGCATGACCGAGATGTCATTTTGGCCTCCAAGATGCGCGTGCGGGTTGGCCTCGGCATGATAACCCGCCATGAAGCTCTGAAATTCTTCCTCAGACTCGAACGTCAACACTTCGTACACAGGGAAGGCTTCCATGGACTCGTCGTCCACCATCTCGACCTCAGGGAAGGCTTCGCGGGCCCAATCGACGACTTGGAGGCGTTGGACGTCATTTCCAGCCCACTCTTCGAAGGCGTCGGGGCCCTTGATGTTCATGAAGTCGGCAGTTATCTGTTTGAAAGGGAAGACCCCAACGTCTTTGTAGATGGAATTGCAGTTCTCTTCCGCATGGGCCTTGATAAGCAAGATGGCATCCAGACCTTCGGCCGCAACGTGTTCTTCCAAAGCGTACAAAAGGGCGCTCAAGTTCTCCGTATAATTGGGAGACTGGCCATTCTCTTGACTTTCCCTCATGAAGGTGGCGATGGCTTCGAGATCGTCTAAGACCATCGTGGGACGAGTCAGTCGAGTGCAAAATGCATACCGAAGTTGTTCATACTCACCTTTAACTCCAGGCATTTCGGTCAGGTTGTGCTTGTTGTTGGTGGCGAAGGAAAAGATAAGGGGCGAGGGAGGAATGCTTTAAGGCGTTGTCTTGAATCACGATTGGCGGGTAATCCACTCCTTGTCCCTGCTCTTTCGGCGATCCTTATATGTTCTCTCCGCACACCTAGGTCATAGTCAGGTCACCCATCCTATCAAACCGACCAGTTCGCGAACACTCCGTTGTCTACGGGTCCACCCTACGATCAAAAGAAGCATTCGGTCAGGGCCTGAGCATCCTTCCGGACTAGCGCTCCTTTCTTGGCACTTCCCACTTGTGGTGGACACAACCTTTGTCTTGCCTTCCTTTCAGATGTACTTCTTTTGTGAACACAGTTGCCTATGCGGATGGATTGACAAATGGTTCTTCTTCAAGTCAAACGATGCAAGGGGTCTCAATTCAGTGCTCATGCTGCACAAACCGACTTCCGCATATCGCCACACAGCAAGCGCAATGGGAGAGTGAAGAAGGGGGTATCGAGCCAGGCGCGCTTCTCGCTTTCTCGAGGCGTCGTCCTCTGCTTGGAGAGTATGTCTGCAGTTAAATGACCTTGTGACAAAAAAGTCAGTTTAGATCCTAGGGGGCTCGAGTACCGTAGCGGGCAGGAAGCGATCCAAGTGTCCTTGCTTTCGGCGTCTTATACCGTACAGCGATTGCATTTCTCCACTTTCGAGTATAGGCCTCGGTAGCCGCAGAAACAGAAACTTAGATGGCGATCTCCTTTCCGGCTCGGTCAGGACAGCGCTGAATCGTACTAGGCGTCCGTCTTCTATCTGCTATATGGTATGGAGCTCCTCGCTTGGGTTAGGCTGAGCAAATATAGAATAGGTAGCAGGACACTCGGTTATGTATCCAGAGCAATCGATGCCGTTTCCTGGTAAAGACGAGCGGTCGTGAAGTGAGTCAGCTTGCCTGCCGATCGAGTGTTCTGTCGAATGCTACCTAACAACCGTGTGCACTATTGAGCCATCTAATTCCGCAGCTTCTGAGGCGCAGGCTTTATTATCTTACAACTGGTTCGAGATGGTCGCGTCAGATGGTGCCGGTGGTATTGGCGGCGGTGTTGAAGTTGGCTCCGGACAAGAGCCATTGATGGCAGAAGGCCAGCTACGAATAACATATGGGCTGTACACGGATCGATTCGTACGACGCACGAGGCGTCGTCGAGCACATGTCGTAATCTCCGTCGGGGCCTGTATTTTCGATCGTTTGTTTCATCTTGTTAACAACATCGCTTTGACGCTTTTCGGCATTCATAATGGCAATCCGCTTCGCCTCATCAGCGAGTGATGATGCGTTCCATGCTTGGCTTTTTGTATATAATTGAGCTTATCTAACCGCCGCAATTCAGTTGATACCCGCACATTAATTCTTCACGCCGTGGGACTCACCACCCAAGATTTGCAATGATGGTCAGATCCTCCTTCCACATGGCAATCCCAACCACCATCAAGATCACCACATCACTCAGGACCACCTTATCAAACTCATCCTCTTCTTCTTCCTCCTGCTTGTTAGAAAGGTACAGCCAACTCCAAAGCAACATGAACTGTAAAGAGACGACACTCAGACTGTACTATTGCCAATAGGGCAAGCCGCTGGCAAGCCACCTTGTCGCTTCTCGCTTTCCGCTTCTCGCTTCTTGCTTTTCGCAAGTCGCTTCTCGCTTCTCGCTTTTCGCAAGTCGCAAGTCGCTTCTCGCTTTTCGCTTTGTCCTTCACTCATGACTATATATATGAGGAGGAAAGGATGAGAACAAGCTACCACACTTGTCCTCATCTCTTCACTCTTAGATTCACCAAGAAACAATTCGCTACCCTTGCAACAAAGCAAGCTCCGCGTCCTTCTACAAGTGCACTTCAAGATCAACGGATTAGCTACCCATTAACCTTGAAGCGGAAGAGTATACAGATAAGGTGAGCATTAAATACCAACTGGGTGATAACACAACGGGAATAATCTTTGCAGATCAGCCGAAAGGATTGGGTCGCAACATGAACAATGTACTAGTACACTTTGTTAGCAGTTTGCTGATTGCGCGTTCCGTCCGAGCGTGCCTGTAAGCAGTTAGCAGCCCCAACACAACAGGCGGAACCCGGTTCCAGCCCTCAGCGACTACAATCCGAACAATACACTGCGCTACCCAGACCAAGGCGAACAAAAAGAGGGTGCTCTGCACCACATGTACTACATAAGCTCTCGCTCTCTCTGCTTGACGCTCACATCTGGCAAACGAAAACGCAACATCATGGCCGACAAACTACTTATCAAGCTCGACAAGCAGCGCGGCAAGATTGATTCTCAGCAGGACAACATCAATTCCTCCCATTGGATCGTCACTGACATCATCCAGCATGGGGAAGACATTGGCGCCCTGAAGGCCGAGAATATGCTCCTGAAGGACGAGAACAAGAGGCAGGATGAGCAGTGAGTACCAAGTTTCCCAGTGACACGAGATACTGTTGAGGTTTCTGCACCCTCTCTTTGTAGACCTTCTTTTCGCGATGGCCCCGCTTATACCGGGCACACACTCAGCAGCCTACTGACTAGAGTGTTTCCATGCACACCACGGCTGTACTGACTGTACTCGTACAGCAGAACCCGCTTTCAAGCCACTCGGCTTGTCTTTGGAGAGAGTACGAAGTACCGCGGGAAGACGTTAAATCTTGTTGTCGATTCACCATCGGATTTACTTGGGTCGAGAATCCTATCCTCAAGCCGTCATGGACCACTGAACGATGACCAACGTGCATCTGCAGATGGACTTGGCAGACACTTCAGTAGCGATTGTGACGGAGAAGCGGAAGCCGCTGTTATAAATGCTGCCTTGGAAAAGGTGAGCGGAAGTCTTCAAAACTGTCTTGAATGCAAGTCGTAGGTGAAATGATGTTTGAATACAGTCTGAGAGAGCTTGCCCGGGTTTGATAAGCTTTGTGCTATCGATGAATGTAACACTGTATCGCCGGAAGATTAACCGCAACACAGAACCTAGGAACTCCAGAAAAGCGAACGCAAACTCATATCAAGTGATGGGAGGGCTGTTATCAAGAGCTCAGATCTGCTTCGATACGGTTGATGTAACCCTGATTCGTATCAATGCATGTCGGCCATACCAATAGCACCTATGTCCCTTCAGCACCCACCATCTTTGCAGGCGATGTTCCCGGTCATAGAAAGGATTCCTAGTCGAATTCCTCATGAACAGGCCTGAGTTTGAAAGCAGGATGCGGCGATACCGAACACCCGCGCTTGATGGCAGAGCAGACGCAATTGATGACGGTGTTTCGATCACGTACGTCGATCTTCATGAGAGCTCGGAGATTCGGATGATCCAAACGAGCCGGATGAATCATCTGTATTTACTGATCACCTTTGGGATCTACTTGACACCTCTTGTCGTATATGGGAACAAGCGACTTTTGCCACCTTCCTCTGGACGATGGATGATGGATGGATGATGATGAATCGCTCGCTGGTCGACGCAGAGTCTCAGCTCAGAGAGAGAGATGAGCGATCAGCATATTCCTTTTGATCATCAATCCGTCGTCATCTCATTCGTTAAACTCTTCTACATCATCCTCTCCCTTTCCTGACATATACTCAACAGTACGACAGTCCATAGGGACAGAGCACACAGCTAAATAGAGAGCAAGATTTTCTCCAGAGAAGAATGCCGACCGAGAAAGAGATCCTCGAACGCGAGATCGCAAAGCTGACCGGTAAGTCATTCCGAGACCGTGCCTACATACCGTTACATACATCCTACAGTTGTGCGGTATCTTCCTCAACCTCGATTCTGATGTTCTAACCTGTTTATCGATATCTTGAAAATGTGCAGGTGCCATAGCCGGGAGTAACAACAGGAACCTCTCCCACGGACATCCGAAGACGCACCTCAACACTAATACCAGGAACGCCGGGCATCCTTATCCTTATGCCGCATCAACTAGCGGGCGGGGACATGGACACGGACGGGGACGGGGACGGGGACGTGGGCGTGGGGTCGCTTTGCAGGGGAACAGGACTTATAGACCAGGACAGAGTAGTAGAAATACGCTGGTCGTCAATCCTTCTCTAGAGGCTGGGTCTACTTTTTCGTCTGCGGCTTCGGCTTCGTCTGCTGCGAACCTTGGGTCTTCTTCTACTCCCTTGGGGTCTACTTCTTCTGCGTCCCCCTCGACATCAGCATCGGCGTCAGCATCAGCATCGATACCTGTATCGACATCGAAATCGACATCGAAAGTAGATGCCAACGCCAACGCCAACGCTACGAACAGACCTACACCTATGGAAGAAGAAGAAGGACGATCCAGCTGGGTTAATAATACGAGCAGGCATGGCAATAAGAGTCTGATCAATCCGGAGGTCTATTTGCAACAGTCAGTCCTGCAGCCTTTTCAATCTGACGAGTGGTCTTTTTTCTCTCTTTAACCTTCTGGTTGGCTGATTAAAATCCCTTGATGCGAACGAACCTTGGGCATTCGTAGACAGAAAGCCAGACTAGCTCATTCTTCCCTCCTTCAAACCAAAGCTCCGCCTTCTAATTTTAAACCTATCACTCGCCGACCTCGAAGGAAATACGATACGCAGGTGGATGAGAGGGGCAAGAGGGTCGTCGTCATCGATGGGACTGTTTACGAGTTTGAGGGGGACGGGAAGAAGTTGAAGAAGATGGACGGTGGGTCATGTTTTTTCTTCGTCGTTTGCTCTTCCTCTCGTCTCTCGTCTCTCGTCTCTGTTCTCTTTTCGACGACCACTTACATCTCCCCCATCCCCATCTGAACGATCCCCGCATCAGACGCATCAACCACGACCTCGACCTCGACCTCGACCTCGAACGTGAATGTCGATTCCGCAAACGCAGACCAGACCGAACCGGATATCATTACCCCGACCCGATCGTCCTTCTCCATCTCTGGGCAACAATACGTACGGACGCGCGCGGGGAACTTGGTCAGGAGAAAGTCTAGCGGGGTGGGATTGAACAGAAAGTGCGTATGCCTCGGTTTCGCTGCGTGGGTAGTGGGGGTGGGGAAGGCTCGATTGGATGTGCCCCGAACGCGGACAAATGAGCTAGGGGGAAAGGGATGAGAAGCTGATACGATGTGTACAGGCTGGACGTCAACAAGAACAAGAAAAAGGCGCAACCTTGTCGGTATTTCACGAAAACGGGTGAGTTTGGGCATGTCGGATGCGGGCTGCGGTTTTCCGTGCGGGGATAGCCTCGGACCATTTGAGTGCTCTTTTGGGCACGGCGACATAAAGCGAAATGGCAATCATCCAGGGGCTCAAGGACGGCCCCTCTTTTTCTTTTTCTCTTCTTTCTGTTCGCTGACGCCGCGGCAACCACGACGACGACTCCGAAACACCTTCAAAGGCGCCTGTCAACGAGCTTCGACCTGCCCTTACGTCCACGACCCAAACAAGATCTCGGTCTGTAGCAAGTACCTCCGTTCCACCTGCCCTCATTCCGCAGAGACCTGCCCCGTCTCCCACGCTCCCAACCCGCACAACGCGCCCTCGTGCGTCCATTTCCAACGGACCGGACAATGCCGCAATGGCAAGGACTGTAGGTACCCGCATGTCAAGGTCAGCGATACCGCCCCCGTCTGCCTGGATTTCTCGACGATCGGGTGGTGTGACGCCGGAGCGGCTTGTGGAGAGAGACACGCGTGGGAGTGTAGAGAGTATAGCGAGACGGGCAAGTGCAAGAGGGGGAAGAAGTGTGAGTTGATGCATATCTTACGGGCCAAGAGCGTTGGCGTTGGCGTTGGCGTTGGCGTCGGGAGCTCTCAGAAGGAGGGCGAGGAGCTGGCCATGCAAATGGACGATGGGACGGCGTTACCTGTGGATCTGGTCGAAGTCTTGAGAGGACGACAGGAGACGCGAGCGGGTACTACTAGGCCGTCTTCCAGCGAAGACGAAGACGAAGAGGGTAGCGACGATGACGATGACGATGATGAAGAGGACGAGGAAGAGGATGGCGAGGTCGTCGATACGGAAGATGAAGAGGAAGACGTCGATGTCATTGCGGGTCAACAGGATTTCATCCAGTTTCAACGACCCCAGTCTGACGAGGAGGGGGTTGATCATGATATGGAGTGAAGTTTGAACTAGAAAGCGGAAGTGTAGTTTGTGGTAGTTTGTGGTTGGGCATGTCGATCTGTGTTGTCGAATATATATATATCTACGTATACCATATATACCCCGTTAACCCCCCCCCATAAAGAGTTGTTACTCGGGATTTTCGTCTTTTGGCGCGCCCAAAGTTTCGACTTTTGAGCGAAATTTCGAAGAAAGTAAGAGATTTCAACACTTTGAACAAGCGATACAAGAAAGATTCAGGTCAAACTCGGTCGACACGTTCAGCCCATCAAGTTACTACCAGCTACGGGATAGCAAGCAGCTCGAACCTCGTCATGCCTACCAGCTCTCGATCCACCGCTTCCTCCTCCGAGACGGGCAGTGACAGGGAAGATTTCTCAGACTGGGCTTCCTCGTTGCACGGAGCCCGACGTACCCGGTCCCTCTTTGACGCCGATACCGTGCTGGATACCCCAGAGGAATGTTTGGAGTATGACGAGAGGGTGCATGGGTATAACGTGCAGAAGGAAGGGGAGAGGATGGGATTGGATGATTATGGACGGATCAGGTTGATCAATTACATTAGACGGGAGGTAAGTTTGAGATTTCCCGACTTTTCTAGGTTCCTCGATGAGACATGGAAACGATTACAAACTGTATGACGGTATCAAGGCTGACAACATCAAACCTGCGTCAATATGTCTAGAAACCAAGCGTACAACACCTCAAGGCGCTCAAACCGGACGATCAGATCTTCAAGGATGAGATCAACTTGAAACCGGTCCTGGAGAACGACCCTTTGCTCCGTGAGTCCCTTCACTTGCGATGTGGAGAGGATCAACGTCCGTATCCTTCAAGGTTCGACTTGCTGATCTGAATATATCCTTGATAATATTGCTACGTTCTGCTTGGTTTATTGGCGTGATACCGCCTACGTGCACGGAATGGAACGGTACGGGGAGTAGAGATCTGTTTTGCGGATTCTTGGTCGGACGACGAAGAGCCTTCCAAGTCCAAAGCTCAGGCCGAATCCAAACCCTCGGCGTCCACTTCGAAGTCTGCCTCGAAGACAGAAACGAACAACAACAATCCCAATAATCTCTCTCAAACATCCCTAGCTGCCCTCCAGGCCCAACTCGCACAGGCCGAAGCGAAGAATAAGACCCTACAGGCTGTTTTGGACCGGGTCGTTCTAGATCTCGGGAGTGGGGGTGCGGGTGCGGGTGCGGTCGGTGATTCGGATAGCGGGAGCGGAAGTGAGAGTGAGAATGAGGCGGTTGGGAAGGGAAAAGGAAAGGCCGGAGCTGAGCAGCAAAAGCAGGCTAAAGGGAAGGGTAAAGGGAAGGGCAAGGGGAAGGGGAAGATGGATATCGATACGCATTATTTCGATTCGTATGCTTCTAACGGCAAGTCACCAATTCACTTGGCTATACCATCTCCTCTTCTCTCCTTGCCCTTGTTCTACATTACAGAAGGATCGATACTGACCTTGTCCTCCGGTTATGACGTTGACCTCGATCCTCATCACCCGGGCGTTGGTTCATGTAGATATCCACGAGACGATGCTCAAGGATACCGTGAGGACCATGTCTTACGGCGAGTTTATCCTGAACAACCCGGGGATTTTCAAGGATGCGATCGTGATGGACGTAGGGTGTGGATCTGGGATATTGAGCAGTGAGTCTTGCTCGCGCCTTGCCCCGGTGGTTTTATCAGCTCTCGACGCCGAACGTGAACAAGACTGATACGATCTTCTTGATGGACCTCGTCTCGCAGTGTTCGCGGCCAGGGCCGGGGCGAAACACGTCTACGCCATCGAAGCTTCAGGCTTGGCTCACAAGGCGAGGAAGAATATCGCCAACAACGGGTTGCAAGATCGGATCACCGTCGTCCAGGGTAAAGTCGAAGAGATCGAGTTGCCCTTGAAGGGGAAAGAGGTGGATGTGATCGTCAGCGAGTGGATGGTGAGTTCGAGTCCGAGTCCTGAGGGGTTTAGGGGTTGGCTCCTCGGGGCTGAGGAGTCGGGGTCTAGGATAGCCCCATGGCGGGGAGGAAGGAGGCAGTAGATCTGATGCGCCGGTTTGTTCTGGTTTCGATGATTTAGGGTTACATGCTGCTCTACGAGTCGATGCTGGATTCCGTACTCCAGTAAGCCCCGAATCGAGCCCTTTCAAAACCGCCTGCCTCCTAGGCCCGCCTTTCCAACTTTTCATCTCCTGCTCGGCTTTCGTCTTGTAGCGCCAGGGACCGGTTCATGAGACCCGGCGGGTTGATGGTACCCAGTCAGACGAGGATCATGCTCGCGGGTATGACGGGGGAAAGGATCTACGAAGAGGCCTTTGGGTTCTGGGACGAAGTTTATGGTGAGTTGATGTCTCCTTCGTCTGGAAAGGCAGCGACGGAAAACGGTCGAGAGGGTCTCCAATGAAGTCGAGTCGGACGTTAATGTTGATATTGATACTCGTTCGACTGGCAGGCTTCGACTTGTCGGCCATGAAACCTACCCAGTTCGAGGATGGGATCGTCGAGATCGTCGATGCCAAGGAGGTCATGACGACCGAGTGCGCGCTCAAGGTGGGTCAATGAATGCGGAACGGGGAGAGCCTAGCCGAACGGAAGCGAAGCGAAGCGAAGCGGAAAAACGGGGGACGCCAAGCTAACCTTGCTTCCTCTTCCTCTTCCTCTTTCCCGGTGGGGTATCAAATTGAATCGGATTGGATTGGGTTGCCGACCAGGACATCGATACCAACCGCGTCACCGTCCCCGAACTCGACTTTAAGAGCCCATTCGTCCTCGAACCCGTCTCTACCTCGGACTCGTTGCCGATGAAGACGAAGATGAGAGCCTTCCTCACCTGGTTCGATACGTTCTTCTCCCCCGACGCCTCGATTGCGGGTCAGGCGCCACTGGGGAGGGATACGCAGTATGTCAAGTATGACGAGGATGCGTATAGGCGGGATGTGCCCGTGGTAAGCGCGAAAAAGACCGGTGATGAGGGCGAAGGTGACAAGGAGGGTAGAGAGGTCAGTTTTACGACGGGTCCGAGGGGAAAAGCGACGCATTGGAAGCAAGTGGCGTTCATGCTCAAAGAGCCTGTCGAGGTTCCCGCTGGTGAGTTCACACGGATTTTTGAGCTACAAAACGGATCGTCCGGCGCGAATGGCAAGTCGGGGGGGCAGCGCCTTGTCTACTGTGCTCACTGAGAGATCAAGTCGGCCGGGCGACCGATGACGATGACGAAGGGCGAAGAGGAAGACGAAGAAGGGGGACGAGCTGTGCTGCGCTTGCAACCCTTTCTCTCTTACGCGCGTGTCAAAAGGAAATTCTGGGGTTAACTGGGGCATCTTTCTTTTATACTCTTCTTCTTTCTCTTAGGCCACCGGATCGAGGGTACTTTTCACTGCCGAAAGAGTCGGAGTGGGAATACGCGAGAACTGGACGTCGAGATCCATTGGAAGGTGTTGGGACCGAACGAACGGGAGGGGGATGTACGGGAGCGGTACGACGTGTTCAGGGTGTGTTGATGAAGTAGTGAGGGCTGTTTGGGTTGTGCGGTGTTGTTGTGTGAGACGTGAGGATGCGGATGTTAATAACGCAATGTCTTGCCTTGGTTGATCTTGTTGTGATCGGAGCCTTTTTGAAATCTCAGAGGTCGGTGCGAGCGGGAGGTTCCTGGGTGAGGGAGGATGATGATCACGCGAGTGATGGCCAGGCAGAACGGGCGAGACCTCGTGGGCGTGCGACGGCAACGGTGGCTTGCCTCACTTCTCTGCCTCTTTCACGCTGGCTGGCCGGGTTGTGACTGGTGGCTGCTGGCTGCTGGGTGAGTGGAACCCCCGATCGATCGAAGAAAGTGCGGGGAACCATCTCGTTTGTTGTTGTTTTGATTTCGTTGCCCCGGGATCAGAACGCCCAGACCATGCACCAAGTCCAAGTCCCAAGAGCCCCAGAGCAATTGAGCGACGACTTACGGCCAAGGGTATCCATCGATCATCACAACCCTCTCGTCTCGTCTTTCGCAGTCCATCTTCTTATTACACTGCATTTCCTACGGTTGTCATCTGCCAAGTCTTCTATTACATCTACGTTGTGAGCATAAGCGCGAGAAGTACCCTTGAATATCCAGAACTGAAGGACGACCCCTATCTCACACAAACAGCTCTACAATACACATTAATTACACTCGTTTGACTCGCAATACTTCGACATCGACATCTGGATCACCTTCTGCTCGACTCGACTACCTTCTTGTCGAAACATCACTACACTACTATCGACTACACTTCTTGAACACCACGATCTTTCACTCTTTACAATGTCCTCCGCTTGCGCTTACCGAGATGGCAACACTGTGAGTCTACCACTACCATCATGCTTACACCCGGTCCATAGGAGGGAAGAGAGACATCAGCTGACATACCATAACGTTTCGATTCGCGTTAGGACGGCCCGATGTACGATAGCAACGGCAAGAAATGCGATACGATGAACCATACGACCAAGATGTTGCTCATCGCTGGGTGTTCTGCCGGTAAGCCCTCCACTCCCTCTTCCCTGTTCCCTCTTCCCTATCTGGCAGATGTAAGTAAATGAACCCAAGAGCACCCCTAAGCTCACACAACACACATGATCTCTTTTTCTTTATACTTCTTCTTTTCGATCCACGAAACGAAATAATAAATAATATATATAGCCGGCGCGGCACTCGTAGCTCTAGGTATCTACTGGTTAATCCGCCGAGCCCGGATCTCAAGAAGGTCTTCTCAAAGCGAAGACGGTAATAACGGAGTCCCCGCTCGTCCGCTCTCCGCCTGGGTCCATGGTCAACCGGGTACGATGGCTACTACAGGGGGGTCGAACTATCAGTATGATACCGACGGGGTGGACTATCAAAAGTACGCGGCGAGGAGCAGGGCGTCGAGTTACATGAATACAAAGGCGCCCGATGGGAGTTATTCGCCTGTCCTTGGAGTCGGATACGCTGAGGAGCAGCAAGGGTTGGGATATGTGCCGGGGTCTCCTTCGGGTTCGTCAATGCAACAACAACAACAGGGGAATTATTATATGCAACAACAACAGCAGGGACAGGTTTCTTACGATCCCGCCGCTACTCCGACCAAGCGAACCTCGGCTCTTAACAACAACACCAACAGGCGATCGTATTACGATTTCAACCAACAACAACACCAACCGCGAGGCCTCCCCGTCCCACCCCAATCAGCCGCTATGCCTCCCAGACGATACTCCCAGACCTCTCAAGAGCAGGATCTCAACGGTGATGTCTACCAATACAACTACAACTATGATAATCAAGACGGACGGGTCAGGTCTCCCTCGCCCTCCCGTAACCGCGCGGCGAGCCCTTCGGCGTATTACGCTCACAGGCAGAGTAGGGAGTATGACCAAGGTTATGCGTATGATGGACAAGGACAGGGGATGGAGGAAGAGGGACGGGAGAGGGTGGAGATGCTTTCCCCTGATTTGAGGTACATACAGCCCGGCCGATGAGGTTTCGAGGTCGAGGTGTGTATGTGTGTGTGATGGAGGATGGTTTCCAACCAGGGGCGCAGGTCGGGGTGGGGTTAGAGATGGGATCGCGACGTATCCGAAAGAAGAGGGAGGAGAAAAGGGCCGAGGAATTTCAAAGGACAATTAAGGGACAATCTACTTTATTACCATTACCAGGCGAGGACGAGATTCTTCTGTCGACTACGCTCGTTTTCACGTTTCTCACCATAGGTTGTTAGGATCTGTTATCGTCCGGGACCCTGTTTTGTATCTGTACATCGGTTATTGCATTTGAGCTCGAGACAGTCCCGGTGCTGAATGGGCGGGGCAGGCGAAATGGCCAGGGGTCTCTTCTTGAGATACGCGGCATTGAAGCGGTACGATACGGAGGGCGTGGAGATGGAGATGGAAGTGAAAAGCTGCGCCTTTCGCCCCCTACTTGTCTGCTTGGATCGCTGGTTTTACAGAGTATGCGTCAACCTTTGCGATGAGCATATACATTCGAAGGTGTTTCACATGCGTCCGCTCAATAAACGTACTGGAATGAGCCAGCGAATTCAGGTCATCCGAATCGGACTTGGTCTGGTCGAGCGGGGTGCAGCTGAGGCGACCTTCGCCACTTCGATCGGACGGTGGCGGCCCACTTGATATGGGATTCGAGCCTTTCGAGGACGTTGAGCCTGTTGCATCCGATTCGGGAACGAAATCGAGGTCAAGGTCGGGTTTGGAAGTGGGAGTCAATGTCCACGTCGAGGGTGTACCCGCTCCACTCCAGCCGAGCGGTCTTCTTGCAGGCCCACTTGCCATTGAGCACGTTGCATCAGGGCCGGGCTCGAGATCGGGCTCGAGGTTGGGATTGGATGTCGTGGCGGATATCAAGGGTGAAATGGCTGCTTCGGGATATGGAGACCATATTCGACAGCGAAGCGGCGAGTCGTACCTTCAAGATCAGCCTCCAGCCAAGCGGTACAGGCAATGGTAAAATCCCAAGTAGGTCTGAAACAGGCCAACCTCCTTACGACGTTCAAGGGGATCGATCCGGTAATGATTGGCCGCAGACGACATACCGCCGCCCCGAGCGTGCAATTCTGCTGAAGGGTGAACTCACATAGTCTCCGCTTCTTTCGGTCGTTGACGAAGGACCGCCGCTCGCACATGCTTAAATATCGTGTTCATGTTGGGTGGAATGCTATACTGACACGTGTACATGAGCGTAAGTACGTATGATGGCCAACCTGTAGCCCGTAGAATGATACTCGGATTTGCGAGTTCGTAATCAAGTCAAGACGAGACGCGAGTCTATCCCGTGTGGGTCACGTCTACATTCCCCGAGCTTGACCCAAGGTGAATAACATCTCCTTGCCCTTCTTCTTCTTCTTGCCGCCACCACCACCACCACCGCCTCCGCTGGCGCCTCCAAACATCTCACCCTCATCCTCGACGACCGGTGTCGACCCTCCCTCGGGCGGACTCTGCCATCCAGCGGGAGGCACGAAGCTGTTGTCTCCCTTCATCCGACGGACCATCTCGTCTCGGGCGAAATTCGGCCTCTCCTTGGTACTCGACGTCGCAGGCAGACTGGGGAAAGCCGACTTGGACGGTGGAGCGGGAGCTCGACCGGGCTTATTCGAGGATGAGGCGACGTTCGGCATGTGGACCGATCGGATCAGAGGTTGGGCGGCGGACGAGTATCCGCTCCCAGAAGTGACCGATGTCGTAGCGGCCAGACGAGCCGCGGCAGAGGTCGTGCTAGCATTCGAGGCTCCAGCCTTGGAACTGCTACTACTGGCCAACGATGGAAAGGCGGCTCCAGGGACGATCTGCCCCTTGCCGTTCATCGTCGCCTTGCCCTTGCTGACGCCCTGAGCTGTCGCCGAGGGTGCCGATGGCCTTGACACGGGCATGGACGCAGCGGCACGTTCGACCCGGTCCCACACCTGACTCGCAGATCCGGCCGTGCGAGTAGCTCGTTTCGCGTTTAGGACCTTGCCAGAGGCGATTCCCGAGTAACCCGTACCCAAGGACACGGGAGGGGTTGCTGTCCCGGCCAATGTAGGGAACTCGTTTTGTCGCTGCGTAAAAGACAGGCCGTTGGTCAGCAAAAGGCATCTCGACACTCGATATGCAACCCTTGCCGACTCACATCAATCTTGAACGCATTGAGCGCAGTGAGAATACCTCGAACCTTGTCGTCGTCGCCCCGCATCGTGTCGGCAACCCGCCTGACGACCCTGAACGTGTCCTCGCTATCCCGATTCAACACGCTGTACACGGTGTCGACGAGATCACGTGCTGGCGCCTCGTTGTTCTTGTACGACCGTATGGCATGACGGAATGATGACAGCTTGGTCTCCGAGTATTCGACCATGGTGGCCACCCGTTCGAGGAGTTCGGTCTGCATCGCATCCATCTCTTCTGGTTCGTCGATTCTAGGCGTGGCTGTCCCGCTCGCTCCTCCAGCCGCCCTGTTGCCCTTGTTACCCGAGGCATTGGCTGCAGGCTCGTCCGACGTCAAGGCATTACCGAACCCGGCCCGACGACCTCCACGCCGTTCGTCACGAGGGGGTTGTGGGAGTTGTTGGTGTCGCACGGCGCTCGGACGGTTTCTCCCGGTTTGCCTCGAGAACTGACCGGCGGGCTCCATCTGAATAAGCCTGGGAGCTCGGCTCGAACCTTGATCGCGAGTCGACCCCGACGAGGGCATGGGGTTGGGCGGTATGAAGCTAAAGTCGCCCGTCGGGCTTACGAAATCGATCGGCAATTGTCGCGCCTGGTACTTGTCCCTCGACGACATGGTCTTGTTGTGCTGCAGAGTCAGGAAACGATCATCAGTCACCGGTCGATTCTAGGCTAATTGTTGACTTGCCGATACTGACCTCCGCCACCATGTGCGCCTTCCAGTCGAGTTCCGAGCCAAAGACGACAAACTTTTGATCCAGACAAGACTTTTCCGTGCAAGGGAAATGTGCTTGACTGCGAAGGGGAGGAGCGAGGACCGACAGGGTCAGTGACGATACGCTTGTCGAATTGGGTGGCTGCAGACTTACGTGAAATGAGAGGCCAGCTGGGTGTAGTTGTGGAAGCTTGAGACAAGAAGACCGGGTCAATCCAAAAGTTCTTTCGCTTAGCCGCTCATTGACTACTCACTAGACGTCCCGCTTGCCCATCTCTTTGCAGACGAAACATTCTTCGTGCTTATGCCTCATGTGCTTGAACAGCTCGTCCGACGAGAAGAATGCCTCGTGACAGAACTACCCAAGGTCGGCGAAAAGGGTCAGCCGAGCCGGTCGTACGCAGAGTGCCACTTTGTGAGAGAAGCGGCTGACCTCGCACATCGGATGAGGCGGACCCCATCCAGCTACCATCTCTTCCTCTTTTTCGCCTCGTAACCGGGGCGCTCGATGGCCCCTCGGTACACGGCTGGGGTCGTGCAAAGGCAACAGATGAGGTGGGTAGAGGACCTGCTCGTGTGCGAATCTCGACAGTTGTCTCCGACAGAGATGACAGAGCACGGCGCCGTGAACCGAGAGGGTGTGTTTCTCCAAGTTGTCCCACGAAGCGGCTTGGTATGCGCATGACGGCGAGGGACAGTTGAATCTGAGAAGCAAGAGCACGTCTTCCATCTGCACGTGGCGTCAAGAGGTTAGCTGAGTAGACGGCAGACTCCTCGATGATCTGACATGCGTACCATGCTCTGGCTCTCAAAGACCACGCCGAGCTTTTCATCGTGCCATTCGAACTGCTTGACGTCGAGCTGACCCGGTTCGAAATCGGCTCCCGGGGGCGTTGCTTGAGTGGGAAAAGGGGTATCGGGCGAGGACGAGAAGAGTAGGGTCGGGTTGACGGTCTGACGCAGGATTCGCGGGTCAGTCAAAGGCTTGTCGTCCGTGAAAGCACTGTGCGTACTTTGCAGAACGTGCAGTCGTTCTTTCTGGTCACGCGTAAGAGTTCGCGTTAGCGAGGGCTATACAGAAGTTCCATAGCAGCGGCCCTGGAACTCACTTGTAGAAAACTCGCAGACGGATGGCGCATACGCTGAGCAGCAAAAAAGATTCGGCAGATATTTGGTCAGCTTGCGAACCGTAGCAAGGGCAATGAGGTCGAAGCAGGAACGCGGATCCGGTTGAATAGACAAATCCAGACCATATTTCGAGCGGCGAGACAACGCCCTTCGCTTTCCATGCGAATTTTCTCGCCCATAACGTCTTTCCGACCGGATTTTCGTTCCGAGCACGATGGAGGGCATTGTGCCAGGCGGACGCTAACGTTTTCTCCTTGCCATGCTCAAGCGATTGTGTCTTCCCCCTTGCAGAACCATGAGTGTCCGGGGCGGCGGAGCGAGCCTGCCAACAGACCACGGATGGGCCAGGAAGAACCTCTCGGGCTCGATTTCTGCCGAATCCCGGTGGCCGACGCTCGACCTCGACCTCGACCTCGGTCCGAAACCCAACCCTGCACACATAGACAACAACGATGGACAGCCAGGGGTCACCCGTGTACTCACTGACAAGTCTTGTGCCCACAAACACCTCCAGAATAATATTTGATCTTTTCTGCGCAGATGAAACATGATTCTTCGTCTTCCTCCTCTTCATCATTTTCTTCGGCATTTTCTTCTTCCTCTTTGTTATCTTCTTCGCCTTCAGCTTCAACTTCGTTTACGCCTCCTTTGAGAGGGTATGGATCCTCAGTGATTTTAGCGGAGTTGTTGACCTGATGAGGAGGTCCGTCTTTCCCTTTCCCTCTCGATCGACCTTGACCTGGGGTTTGACCTTGGTTTTGACCATGACCTTGACCTTGACCTTGACCTCGTCCTTGACCCTGACCTTGATTCTGCAACCCTCCTCCTCTTTGTTGTTGATATTGGTTTCGTTGGTGTAACTCGTGATGCCCGCCATAGTTGTTCGCCGCTGGCGGCTGTGGATAAGCCGTGTTTTCCGTACCCCGGGGTATGGAAGGTTTCTTTTCGAGGACGACGGCTGTGGGACCGTCCTCGGTATCCTTTCCGGCGTGAGAGTGCGAGTCGGTATGCAGCGGGTCGGTAGTTAATCGGGGGATCACTGTCGATCGGACGTTCCCGTGCATCTGCGTGGGCGTTGGCGTATCTCTTCCGGTACCGTTCGATCCTGCACCTGCTCCGGCTCCGGCGCCGCTTCCTGCGTTTACCCCCACAGCAACACTGACATCAACATTCTTATCGCTGTTATTGGCGGCTGTGGTGGTGGTGGATAACGACCCGTTGAATTGTTGTCTTCTTCTCGCCATCGTGCAGAAAGGGTGGTCGAGAAACGTGCGGTGCTGTGGTCCCCGAGTGGATTTATCGAAGTTGAAGGTGGGGTGGAAGAGTAGGGCTTTTTTCGCGTGCTTTTCGGGCACCTCTTCTGGAGACTCGCAGGGAGAGGAGAGAAGGTGAAAGAGAGAGAGAGGGAAGGGGGATGTTGTGTGAAATGTTATGAACTATGGATATCCAGAATGTCGACGCACAGGATGTGCAGCTTGTGCAGCATGTTCAGAGCATGCTGACATGCAGATGTCCATCTCGTATCATCATCCAGCTCGATCGAGGTTTCATTGACCCGAGACTCGTCGTGAGCCGTGGATAATGCCGTGATCGTGCGATATTCTTACGTCATTAGCGGTCTCTTGACGTAATACGCTTACGTTAATCCTTTTCCCACTCCCCGTCACTTCAGAAACACTCGCACGAAGTACGAAGTACTCCTAGCCTAGCCTTCGATCCATGCATATGCGTCGATCCTCTACCTCGACCCAGTCTTTGATCTCGTCCACGACCACCGCAACGATAGAGCACCACACCACATCACCCCCCTTTTCCTACCTATACGACCCTTGTCCTCAGAAGAAGCTTTAGAAAAATGTCTGCCGGAGTGAGTCTTCTGCCTCTATTCTAGTCTACTACGGTGGACACTTTCTTCCTTCCTTTCCCTCCCCTCAACCTCGTCCTATCGAGTGAGATCCCGATTGCAATTGTAATCGCAATTATAGTTGAGGGAAACTAGTAGCTAACCCATCATCGTCTTGTTACTGCTGCCTTGCCTTGCCTTACAGCCGATCAACCCGAAACCGTTCTTACAAGACCTTACCGGAAAACAAGTCTGGGCGAAATTGAAGTGGGGGCTGGAGTATAAGGGGTATTTGGTCAGCACGGATGGGTATATGAATTTACAGGTGAGTGCCGAGCCGGAGACGAGGTGTTTGGAGTGCGACGGCGAGGTTATTGAGCGTGGGCGGGGTGCGAGCGAGGTTTCGAACTTCAGACGGGGGGCAACATGAGCGAGCTTGGAGACCGGGAGGCGAGGTTATGAGAAGTCATAGAAGGAGGAGGGTGGGCGAAGCTCCGAGGAGCGCGAGAGGGAGGATAAGAAAAGTTCTCTTTTCGAGCGGCACGAGACTTTTGGAGAAAAATTGAGGGGACACATTTCATTCATGGTTACGAGACGCAGGGAGGAAGCTGTGGGCGGAGTGTTTGGTTTTTAGGCGTTATCGATGTGGATGTGATGTGGATATATATGGTCGATACGATACTGATGCTCTTCTTTACCTTTTTATTCTTCGATCTCCGATCGATCATGATTGCGATCTTGGTCTTACTCGATTGATATCGATCTCTCTCGCTGGTCGGGCCGAACACGAATCTCGGGATCTCTTTTGACGATACTACAATCTACGGTTGCCTACATTACGATCACCTACACTGCTCCGCGATGGACGACCCATAAACGATTAACCTATACCTTACGGATTACGATTTACGACACGTCCATCTCGTCCGATGTCTTCTGGCTGTTCTCCTCATCGGCTCCGCATCAACTCGTCTCCTCTCCTCGATATCGATCACGACCTCGATCTGGCAAACGCCCGGGCTCACGGTTTACCCCACCATCACCACCACCATCACCACCACAACCATCACCGACGACGACGCATATGACGCACGTATACGACGTATATAACCACACGTATCCACACATACACATACGTATCCGTACCCCGGACATCAAATAACGCGCATCCGGACATATTTAACGTCAAAACCGTTGGACATCGGTGTACGCAATAACCGATGTTCGTTGAAACGGTCTGATCGGATATCCGGTTGGATGGCGAACCACCTTTGGACGGATCGGATCGGATCGGCCTGAAAATTCAATGCCTCTCGACCCGGAAATCGATACCCTCTCGACTTGCAGCTGGCCAACGCGGAAGAATGGCAGGATGGCAAGAACAACGGGGCGTTGGGAGAGGTGTTCATCAGGTGAGCTTTTGGGTCCGCTTTCGATGCTTCGTCTTTTTTCCGTCGGATTTTTCCTCTCGAGGCCGGGGTCGAGGTTCGTTCGAGTTCGAGGTCGGTCTTGGTCTTGGTCTTGGTCGGGGAAATTCATCGGAATTACAAAATTCGAACAAGGAAAGAAGAAACGAAAGCTGGGCCACCAGATCGGAAGGATCGGAATCGGGAGGAGGCTAAGTCCGGAGGTGCAGAGGTTTCTCGATCTCGGCTTTGGGCCGGCTTGACGGGAAACGGGGGAAAGGGCTGTCCGAGCCAAGGGGGGATCAGGAAACGAATCTATACGTCTTAACCAGGATGGTTTTGGGTGATGAGGCTGGCTATCCTCGGTCTTCATCTGGACAGTCATACTCGGCTTGAATTGGGGCGGTCTTGGAGGACGATGAGGATGATGGTCTCAGGGGTTGGAATCCGTCCGCGTTTCATACCTGGCGACTCACGCATCCGAAGGACGGTACATAAGACGATACGGTACGGCTCACAGGATAAAGGATGGGCGGGATCAGGCCGACGTATCGGCGATGTCGCACTCGAAGAGAAGATTTCTTGAACCTTTCTTTTCCCCGCCTTGATTTTCAAAACAAATCCGTCTTGCCTCGCCTTGTCTTGCCTGCCGAAACGCCTTTTCGCTGACGAACCCGAATCTCGTTTTCCTGCTCGTTTGTGTGAAAAACAACTATAGGTGTAACAACGTTCTCTACGTCCGAGGTGCCAATGATGAGGAGAGGGCCGGTGCGGGTGCGACGATGGATACGGATTAGAGTGGGAAGAGGGGATGGAGGGTCACAAGGGGCGGAAAGGGGGGATGAAGAGGTCTCTTGATATCCCGGCGGTGAAACGTATTACCAGATAAAAAGTGTTTGTCCTTTCGCTCCACGGGGGTTACTTGGTTCTTTATGTTATGATGAATGATTTTCGTGTTTCAGCAACTAGCTGTAGGGAGAGGGGTTTGTTGGGTTTGATACGGTACACGGACGAATGTTGAGGCGGATTGAATAGGTTAGCGAGGTCGTAGGATGGTGAACTAGTAGCTAGGAGGTAATTAGTAGCTACTATGGTTGTTGACGGGGAATCGATTATTCGCTCTTGGTTACGTAATTCATCAACGAGGACCAACATCGTCAACAACAACAACCATTTGAATCAGCTTCAATCGACATCGATAATAATTTCGACGTCCATTTTGAATCATATTCTCCGACCTACCCTCAGTCATATATTACTTCTCGCAATCAAATTATCTCGAGCCTCCTTTTTCATCACCTCACTTGGTCTTGCGGGTCGACGGGGATCCTTGGCGGGAGATCGCAGCAGGATACTTCAGGCGTGAGTTCTCGCAAAGATCGTGCATAATGGGCGGCTCGTTGATCTGTATCTTTGCTTGTTGTCCCTGGAATGATAGCGAGTAACCAGTGACGAGCTGGCCTAGTAATAGATAGAGTAGTTGCTCATTTTTTTTGGAGGTCTCGATCTCTACGCTCGACAAGGCAAGGGGGCCGGGGACGCCGCTCAGTCCGGTTCTTCATCACAATCCGCCATCCCGATCGCAATCGTCATTACTGGCCAGCACCAGAGCCGCCAAGTAACATCACCGTTGCCCTCGTCATCAAAACCACACACTCGTTTTCACGACCACAACTACCACGGTTGCCACTCTTCTCTTGATCATCACGCACCGTCATCAGCATCGGTCGAGGACGATATTCTCGTGATCCCCACCCTTCTTTCGAGAACTCGTAACCGACCTCAGGTAGCTTTCTCATCACGACACACTCACATCACGATACGACCACGACACAACCACGACACGATCACGACTTGACAACGTCTTCGATCAGACCGGCAGCATCAACTACGATTCAACATCGCTTTCGCACCCTTAGAGAAAGTCCGATACTTTCTACCGACTTTTCTTTCTCCCCTTCTTCAATCTATACACACACACACCTACACGGTACCTCCTTCTTCTCCGTCCATCGATACTACAAAGACTCCTCCTGATACTACCAGTACTACCGATACTACCGCCTTCGTATACGACCTCTCACGATGGGTCTTCATGGGATGAGATTGACCGTCAAGGACGAGTTGTCGATCCCTACGGAGGAGGACAAGACAAAGGACTGCGCACCGCACGGTGGAGCAGAAAAGATACGGCTCGCCGCCAGATCCTCAAATCAGATCGATGACTACAGATTCTTGCGAATCCGTCACGGTATCGAGGATAACGGGATCGGTGCTGGTGCGGCTCCTACAGCCAGTATGAACCTCGGTGCATCCAATTCGAATTCGGCGGGACACAGCTACTCGGATCTGCACGGTTCGGCCAAAGACGATAGCGTGCGCAGGCTCACGCCGAGCTTATACGAAACCTTCCAAAAGGCACCCGACATCGAGAATCAGCTCCGCGAGCTGAGCGAATACAGGTTCGATCCTCGTTACATCGAGATCGAGGCGGGAGAGCACGATGGCTACTTGCGTGAGGTGGCCGACGACATGCTTCCCGGGCGCCGATACCACAATCTGATCCAGCGCTTCCTTTCGAGGGGAAAACGTTACCGGAAGGCCAAGCCAGAGATGCGAGTCCAAAGATCGTTCGTCCACCTGGCCAACGGACTCGCCCGGGTGTTCTACGACCATCGTAAGGGCGAGTACGAAGATGATATGGGGGAAATACATGAGTGCGAGAAAGGCGACGTCTTTGCATCGCGCGGATCGACCTATATTAAGCAGGTCGAGACTGAGCAGCGTCAGGATGGTCCCAAGCTGGAGCTCGATGAGCCGGATTCGACGATAGTCCCTGACGAGACGAAGAGGCATGCTCGATGGGTAGCCCAAAACAAGCCCGACATTACGAACGAGACGTATCAAGGGAAAGTGCTGAAACCAGCGGAGGGCATCCTTTGGTCTCAGACCACGTTTGCCGCCGAGGTTAGAGCTCGGAAATCGGAAGATAGCAAGGGGCCCATCGTGCATCGTTCACAGCGATATCAGGTGAGCGCTGCGGATTGGGATTGACCGGAAGTGCTCATCGAGACGAGAGGCTGAGTTGTCGCCTTGCCTTTTTATCGCCCATGCACGCAGATCAACCAGGTCAAACATTTCCCTGCCACAGGAGAAATTCTCACATTGACTGTATGCGGATCCATCGTGCGGGTCTGGTACATGAATCCTCAAAGGTTCGGTTCGAGCCGAGGGTTCGATCTCGAAAAACACGAAGATTATTACGATATTGTCAAGGTCATTGCGCTCTTTTCGGGACCCGTGAGCAGTTACCTGCCGCACTGGAAGCCAGTCGCGGGTTCCAAGGGACGGCTCGCGATGAAGACGATCGACGACAAACCGTTCGTATTAGAGCTAAAGGATATCAAGTCGCTCGACACTCGGTACGATCCCTTTGGACGCCGCACAGCAGTGTGGTCTGCCGGCGTTGCCCAGGTATTGTCGGTCCCGGGCGAAAACGATCCTCCTCCCCCCATCACTCTGAAACCGGACGAGCACCTCGTCATCAAAGCCTCCTGGCAACTTCCCCATCTTCGAATGCACGAGCATAATGTTTACAAACATATCGCCAAGACCGAAGAGGAGCTGAGGAGAACAAAAGGCTTCGTACGCGATAAAGAGGTCGCCATTCCCGAAATGATCGGCACACTGCACGACAGAGATCCTCCGCTCGACTGTATCGGCGGCAAGAAGCTCACAGATTGGACAACGAGACTGGTCCGGTCGAATCCCAGGAACAACGATCCACAGGCCCCAACCGAACAAGTGCATTTCACAGTCCTCGTCACGCAATGTCCGAGAGCGCAACCAGTCAAACGATATATCCTCGAGGAATACCAGTTGGTCGAGATCTTCCGCAGGCTCATAAAGAATTTGAAGCACTTGGGATTGCTGGGTATACATTACAGGGATCTTAACCCCGGCAACATCTTGTGCGATCCGAAAACCCTCATCTGCCTTCTTGCCGACCTCGACTTCGCTCGGATCGGGACGAACCGCCGTGGAGAGAGAAGCGATGACGACGCTTGGAAATCATTCGAGACCAGCCTGGATGACTGTATCTCTGGAAACTTGCTCTTCATGTCGCAGCACGTGCAGCAATCTCGCAAACTATACGTGGACCTGAATCGCCTTGAGGGCCAACTATGGGACATGGAAGAGACCGCTAGAATGGAGGATCTTGCAAAAGAGGGACAATCCGATAAGGTCCGTCAGACGATCGAGGCCGAGCGAGACATGGCATCAGAAAAGATACAAGACCAGATCGACGAGATTAAGGTCCAGATCGCCAACAATCACCACAAGTTCGTCGACGACCTTGAATCATTGATTTATACAAAGCTATGGCTGGTACGTGGTCTGGTTGGTTCGATCCGAGCCCGCCCCTGTCCTCGAGCGTGACATGTTGTTGATCGCTTGTGCCATGATAGCTTGCAGACCAGATCAGCAGGATGTCGGGTCTGCAGTGCGGACCAAGATTTCCGATCGGCAATCTGTATGTTCCCACCATAAAGGCAAAGGTTTGGTCGAGTCCCAGAACAGTAAGCCTTTCTCACCAGATCCACCCACACGTTGTAGGCTGACAGGGGGCCATCGGTTGCTATAGTACGCGGAAGGGGTCGGATCTCAAGACTGGCGCAATTTGATCAGCGAGCTCGCAGTCCTGATTAAGCAGGCCCAACGCGAAACTAGAAACATGGAGCCTACAGGGCAACTGGAAGGCCGTGAACTATCGAGCTACAACGCATGTGATTCGCCGATGAAAGCCTTTTACGAAACGCATCGTCCCAAGGGCGACGAGGCCGGGGATGCGGAGTCCGGTGCTTCAGGTGATTCGCAGGAGCAGGAGCAGGAACATATGCAGAACTTTGCGGCTCTGTCGATCAAGGACGCGTCCGCAGAGTCTGCATCACCAAACGCACGCCCGTCAACCTCCATCATGAGCAAACTGAGACCGAGGGAGACTAAAATCAATTATCGTCTATGATAACGATACCGATTCTCGGAGAGACGAGGTGCTCAGAGATGGGATGGAAAGCGAAGGGAGATTTTGCGGCTCGCCAAAACCTTTCCAGCCCGGAGGAACCCCTCACAGAATCCCCTGAACCGAGACACAAGACAAGACGATCCCTCTCGCTGCTCCTGCAACGCAATCTCGGCACAGCATAGCATTCCGTCCTCGACTTATCAAAGACCGAAGACATTCACGTACAACCTTTGCATGAGACGTGATAGATAAGTGGTTTCCCAGTTCACTGCTTTGTACTTGTAGAGTAACAGTAACAGTAACAGCAACAGACCGGCCCGAAGTTGTAGTAAACAGAGTACAGAGACTTCGGATCAACAGAGAATAGACCAGAGTTATACAGCGAAATGCAGAGAAATTGAATGGGTCGAAGTCTGATGACCGATGTTTATAAACAAACAATTTCCTATCTTTATACAACCTGACCTTCACAACACAGAAGCAGGAATCAGGGATAAACAAGGCAAGACATTACCTTGTCACATCGCAATAGTGTGAGTTCACGCGGTCGACGTACTGACGATGTTTCTCGTTATAATACATCACACATCCTGACAAAATATGGTGAACAGCATCGTTTGGGAGCACAAGTAGCATCGCCTAAAACAGGTTTATCCTGGGAGACAGTACTCCAATGATTCTGAACGCAAGGTCGTATAATGGGCTTCTTATTGTAACATATCCCTCGTCCAGCGCACTCCTTGTCCGGCACATTGCAGATTTTACATATGCCGCAGTACAAACAGCCCTATGTGATCAACTCGGATCGATGTTGCCACCGAACAGACAAGACAACCCAAAACGCCTTTACCGACCGTCCGGATGCGCCTGCGATGTGCATGACCTCTACTTTCATTAGTTGTCATCTGGCTCGATCATGCCAGCGGGGGAATGTCAATATTTCTCTATGATGGCGATCTGTTTTCATCACGGAGTGTCCAGTGTGAATGCCCGGGCTTGATCAAACTAAAGTCGGATGGAGTTGGACTGTATTTAGAAGCAAGTGATCGGATCTCGAGCATCACGAACCAATAATGGTCGCAGACAAGGTCGCATGTCTCGTGCCTGTACGATCCCAAAGGCTTTCCTGCGCGCCGTCCCCTTTTTCACGGCCCACACTCTCCCCTTCTCTCGCTTCTCTACGCACCCCACCACTCCTCCAAGAACTCTTCAACCCTCTTCGCTCCCCTCGACCTAATCACCTTGACCTTGTCCGTACCGTGCGTCGGAGAAGGTCTCAACTCCCCCCTCGCCGAACAAGCTTGAAGCTGGACCAACATCTGTTCTTTGCTCCCCGGAGTCATTCCGGCCGCTCTGGCCTCCAGGTCTTTAAGCGGGAGGTAGGTCACCGAGAATTTGGTATCTATGCCGGTTCGGTTGTATATGTATATGATGCATGAGACGAACGAATTAGCGATTCGATCCTGGTTAGATCAAGGTACATTCTGCAGTGTGGGGGGCGGAAGGGCGTGAAGATGGACTCACTCAATATGCGTTCGGCTAGCCTGATGACCTCGTTCCAGCAGACAACATCTCCTACGACCCACGTAGCATCATACTCCCACTTCTCCTCCGCTAGGACTTCTACTACGCCCTGAGCCAGATCCTCAAGTCGGGTGAACACCAGCGGCTCATCCCCACTGCCCCCGACCTCCGCCGTCCGTCCGTTCATATCCACGGGGATGGAAAAGTCGTACAATCCTGACATGGCTTCTCCATGCAAGTTCTTCGGAGACCCCTGGGCGAGGTAATTCATGAAATACTGCCCGGGGAGTAAACAAGTGAATTCCAAGCCGTCCGCGTTATTGGCATCCCTCAACATCTTCAGAGCTTCGTGTTTGCTCCTGAACCTATCGACCTTGCTGTTGACCGCGTCCCCCGCTCCCCAATTGCTCGGGATGTACCTCTTCACCGTGCTTGAACGTTTAGCCGCCTCTAGGAGGTTCAGATGGGTGATGATGGGGAGACCAGAGGGGATGGTCGAGATCAAGGTATCGATCCGATCAGCGTCGAGCACGGAGAGGATGTCGGAGATGTCGTCATAATTGATCGGCCGGACGGTATAATGATCCTGCTGCTTCTTGAAGCCGGCAGAAATCATGGAGGTCGAGGCCGAGGTCGAGTCGACGGTCGAACGGCGTGTCAAGATGACGACCTCGTATCCATTCTCTACGAGGGCGTCTGCGATGGTCCGACCGACCCCCGGAGCTGCTCCGCCTGCGATAGCGACCCGAGATGTTTTTCCTGGCATAACAGTCTATCGCTTCATGTTGCGACTGAAAGGTCTATCAAGATAGGGGGATCATCGATCGATGGGCAGGAAGATAAGGGTCAATATAATTGTGGTAAGCAAGTGATCAACTGATGCTGCGTCACGTACGGTGCCTCCCGTGCGCTACACGTCTCAGACCTGTGGGCGAGGGGGGTGTGACATATCGTCTATCTGTTTCATCCCTTCTGGTGTTTCAGCGAGGATGTTTCAGCTACCTAGTATCGCTATGACTATAGTAGTGCGTGAGAGTCGATCCCCCGTCCTGATGGTGTCTCGAAGCGGTTTAAGCATGCGATTGACGTCTACCAAGTGTTTCCCCGTGCGACGATAATCTAGGTCAATCACGTTTGGAAGATCTTCTTACCTATCCGTTGAGCGAATCAAGTCTTCAGAATGGACATGTGCGAGCTCTTAGCAAAGGTGTACGTTACTACCGCTCTGCAAAGACTTGGCAAACTGCCGACAGCGATTATGCAACGAGCAACGGAGCCGACATAAACGGCATGAGACAGAACTCTACTTGGTAACACTCACTGGTCAGCGTGTCAGAGTCTAGTTAAGAAGCGATCACTGACTATGGTCGATACAAGCATCTACCAGGATACTGGAAGCTCGACTAGCAAGCTCCCAGCCTCGATAAGCCCAGCGCTACCCCAACCGCAAGTCCAAGGGTGTTCTGCCGTTTTGTACGATCTTGACGGCAATTGCTTTCAATTCGATGCTTAGGGACGACGCGCGCCGCAAGATATCCAGGTCATTGCATGCTCGCAGAATCGAAACTAGGCATCGAGGACTAACGTCACGCTGGGACAGGAGTAGAAGTTAAACGATCGTGAAGATGCATTCGATTTCCTTCATGAGTGTAGGTATTTGCGCAGACGATAAAGATGGACTTGCAAAGGCCAAGGCGCAACAATCGAGGGGAAAGGCGAAATGCATAATCGCCCTTCAGATAGAACATCTCGAGATTGTATGATAAGCCTGAAGTAAATGTTGAATGCGTCACTGTTCTGGTGCCGTGATTTCATAACTCATACCAGGGTCCATTAAGCTTAGCTCAGACAAAATTAAAAATGATGATGGACAACCCATATTCCCGCTTTGCAGAAATTGAACTCGTTGCGACGATAATCCGCAAACGACTCTCGTTCGACGACATATTGCTCAACCTTGCCGATCGTAACAAATGTGATGGAAATGTCTCGTACAAAAGAAACGTCGATGCGCTCATTTTTAAAAGCAAGCGCGCTGATTTACAATTTCAAGGCCTTTCCCTGTAGAGCCGCGAAGCAGGCCTCGACTGCACGCATGTATTCCGGCTCCATGTAGTCTTGATCTCTCTGACTATCCTGTCGAGATACCTTGATCTCCAGCATCGTGTTCTCCGATGCGCAAGTCCACAGGTACTCTGCGAATTCGACGGCATCGAAAGGCAGATCTCTTTCATACCCGCCCCGCAGACACACCCGAAGGTGTTCAATCTGGCTAGGAGCATTATCTTCCTCTTGCTTGCGGCGGGACGACCCTGCAGCGTACCTGAGGTTGTTGCGAAGGTCTTCCGGGTCCTTGTGGTCTCCGACGTCGAATTTGAGTGTAACACGGCGGCAGGAAGTCAAATGAGGCAGCCAAGCCAGATCGGCGTTCTCGATGAACACGTAGGTCAATCTCCCCGCCTGTCTGATTAGCCAAGACTCAAAGTGCTGCGCCACAAGAGGCATGACCGTGATCCAGAGTTTCTCCAGGTTGGGACAGAGTGACAGTAAGGTTACGAGTTCGTCCGGGGTAGATCCGGCCTGGTGTCTCCCCCTCCAAAGGTCCGCCTTCAAGAACAACGTTCCCAATTTGGCAAAGGGCGACGCTTCAGCTCGGCCTAGCTTGATGCGTTTGGCATGTTCGACCAATATCAGCTCGGGAACGTCGTTCCTGTGTCTCAAGATTGATTTCGGAACGTCGTCCGTCTCGGGTGTGCGCCATGGTCCCTGCACAGTCTGGGAGATACGGTCCCCCACAGCTTGGTAGTGACGGCCCATGGACTCGATCCGGGTTGGAAACAAGGTCGCTTCGGAATCGGCGACCGGTAGAAACGCGTTCTCTGACGGATGCCAATCCGGCCAGCGAAGGCTTCCTTCCAAGTGCAGGCATTGTCCTGCTATAATATGTGTTTCGTCGATCCAGAACAAGACCGGGCTGATGTAATTGACCGAGGCTGAGAATGTGTAAGCAGGCCACTCCGAACGGAGATTGACAATTTCAAGATTCTCGAGCCGTGTCAGATGACAGGTCTTCTTGATATCCCATTGATTCTGTGAATTCCTCTTGATGTCGTTCTCGTGTACGGCCAAGCGTCTGACAGCCTTGAACAAGACATCCATGCGCGCCTGAGCAGCAGGTCTAGACGTGTTTTAGTGACGCGACACGGCGTGTGGTCATTCCCTCGTCAAGAGAACAAGACTCACCGGATCATGGTCGGATTCTATCATCCTTCGGATCATTGTCTCAGAGACCGTATGATACAGATATTTGGCGGTCCGACGATATCCCTCTTTATCCGATAGGCTAACACGCCATAAAGTACCTGGTAACCTGATTTTCGGAAGACCATAGGAGAGCCACTCATCTATATTACTTAAGTCTCGGTGGTGAAAGAACCGCCCTAAGTAGTATCGGAATCCCCTCATAGAGCGAGGATAATGTGAGACTGCGGGCGTATTTCCGTCGGGATCCTGGATATATGCGTAGATCGCGTCCATACAGAGGTCATTGGAGTACAGGCGCTCAGCGGCCGACTTGACCTCGTCTTCTTGGTATTGCATGTTGGCTCGGTCCGCCATGCGCTTAAAGGTAGGTCTGGACGACATCGTATTGGTCAAATCGCTGGTTCAAATCGAGCTCCAAACTTTTTAACGGGCTGGTGGTCTCCTAGATTTCTAAAGGTGAATCTTGTCTCACGCGTCGCCCCAGGCGACGTGGTCTCCTCGTACAAAAGTTGAATCATCCATTGAGAGCTGACTCGCCGAGGCTGCATGTCTGATTGAGAACCTTCTCGAATCTTGCCTCCGTCAGCGCTACTCTATTCCGCAGCGCTTGTCTTGAGGCATGACTTTGGGATCGGATAATTCGCAACATCTCGACATCGCATTGCCAATCGAGCCGCGATCTTGAGAAGAAACGGCTGGATACGTATGATCCCAAACGTGACATTCAGTATCATGCTTCAGTGGGAAATGATATGAGTAACCTTAGCACCCAAATTCAAGCGTCAGTGCCTGTCGACAGCAAAGTTGACGTTCTGTATGGCCTGTCCATCTCGATTGTCTGAGCTACTCGACGAGGTATGTCACAACTGGACCGACGCCGCGTCACCATATTGACAACAAGGTGCCGACGGGCTCGCAAATTGCTTCACCCGACGTACAGCGGCGAGGCCATAACCTCACGACGTACTTCGACTAGACACGAGCCGCCCCCTCACTGTATCGGCGTCGTATCGGCGTTGAAGTGGTCGATTTACGGGACACCATACGATCCTCTTGCAGGTTCCCGAAAACTGACCGAGGACTGGCGCGCGCGCTAAATTCTCATCGTTGAGAGATATTCCATCGGGTGGCGAAAAGAATGGTCCGTCGAAGTCGCAAGACTGCTTGCAACCAGGAACTCGGTCGCTGTCTGGCCCATCTCTTCACGAAATTACCCCGGAGTGACCCTGGATTCCCGCTTTTTATGATACCCCGCATGCTTTTCCATGTCTGCCCGGGCCGGTGCCAAGACCCCAGCGAGCATGCGCCATGCGGACGAACCTAGATCTGACGAATATTGGATCGGCGCAAAGGACGAGTATGACGAGCATGAACTGGGACGACTTCTATGACCCGACGATATTCCGCATCACTGTATGAATAGTATATAATGCTCTAGGTGCATTAAACGATCTGTCCTGCTGAGTCGCGTAGTTTGTATACCTCATCCGCCCATCCTCGATCAACTTTCAGACCCGAACCGAACGTCGAAGATGTTTCTCTCTAGCCTCTTGACAACCGCTCTGGCTCTTTCGACCGCTGTCGTTGCGGCTCCCTCCTCCAACGGTAACAAGGCGAATAACAACGGCCATGGAAATGGTCTCGACAAGAACAAGAAGAACGCAAACAACGGAACTTGCCCGTTGACCGCCGTCGACCCCGTCGAATTCCCTTATCCTAGCAAGTCGAGCCTTGCGTAAAAGACTGTTGACCGTGCCGGACACAGAATTTAACCTTGTCGTCCTACTTTCTGTAGACGAGATCCACGGCGACATTCAGTTGATTCATGACCCTTCGGTGGCCAAGGTCAACGGGACCTATTACCTTTACTCTACCGGTAAGGTCCAAGCATTCCTCGATATACTGGTCTCGGCTCATCATCTCCACTGTTACCTATCTACGACCCTTTCTCGCTTCTACCATACATCATGGCTCTCTATGCCCGGCAGGCGAGGGTATCCCGATCCGCAAATCGACCGACCGGATCAACTGGAAGTTTGCGGGCTTTGTCTTCCCCGACGGCGCTCCTAGCGTAACGGATGCCTATACGAATACTACCAACGGGTCACTCTGGGCTCCTGATGTCGTGAGTCGCTAGGCGTCTTATGCCGTTCCTGACTCCATCGACCTTGTACGTGCTGTATACCGAGGTACTCACCCATCGCGTACTCGCTCTAGTCGTACCACAAGGAGAGCAACCAGTTCGTCCTCTACTACTCGGCCAGTTCTTTCGGTTCCCCGATCTCGGGGATCTTCCTGGCAACCTCTCCCACCGGAGAACCTGGTTCTTTCACTCAGTACGTGATATCGATCTTTACTGTTCTGTCGTCACGATCTGCTGGAATTAAAAGCCCGCATGCGGCCTGATCGCTGATCCGTTTCCGGAACGTGCTGCAGACAAGGTCTCGTCATCGAATCTTCCCCAGCCAAGGATCCTTACAACGCGATCGATGCCAACTTGGTATATAACGGAACTTCTTGGCACCTTTCCTGGGGCTCGTGGTGGAAAGGTCGGTGGTCGGTTTCGAGGTCTTTTCTCGACACCTTCAACGTGTTTGCGATATTCCCGGGTCGCTGACTTAACATGACGTTCCATTTGCATAATTGTAACAGGATTGTACATGACCGAGGTCGACCCAAAGACGTTCATGCCCATCTCCAAGAACACATCGGAATACGTCTTACTGAGCTCGCGACCTTCCACTTTACCCATCGGGGCCAATTGGGGTGGCGAGAACGGTAGCGAGGGGGTAAGGTTGCAAACGGTCCGGTCGCAGTCGGTTCACCGCGACTGACCCGGTCTCTGTGTATTTTCGCTCTGTTCTCTCTGCAGCCCTATGTCATCAAGTATGGATGCTACTTTTATCTCTTCTCCGCATGGGACCGGTAAGTCAAGACGATGCTCCATAGTTTGAATGCTTCATATGTTCGACTTGTAACTTACCAGGATTGCCGCTTCGTCTACTCACATTGTATAGTTGCTGTGCCGGTTTGGACTCTACCTACAAGATCGTCGTCTCCCGTTCGCTAAACGTCAACGGGCCGTACGTCGACAAGCAAGGTACCCTCGCTACTGCGGGAGGCGGAAGCATCGGTAAGTATCCCCTTACTGTATTACTGTACATGGGCCAAGTCACGCTCCGGCCGAGCCGTATCACGACCCGTCACTAACCTCTAACCCGCTATCGGCGGTATACAGTCTTGAGCTCGCACGGCGATATCGTCGGGCCGGGCCACATGGCCGTTCACGAGGAAGAAGACGGAGTTTACATGTAGTAAGTCATCGCTGGGTTTGCGACGGATATCGATTGACATAGTCTTATCCACGACGAGCTCACTGAAACACACACACACCCGCTCTACTCTACAGTTACCACCACTATACTGCCGAGAATTTCGAGTTGGGGATCAACAAGCTCGACTTTTCGACCGGATGGCCTGTTGTCGTTTGATCAGCTTCGAGTGATCGGGGTTTTGATATCAGAAGACTTTTTCTCAGCTATGATGTAAAGAGGGTAAGGGAATGTCGAGGTCGTGGTCGCAACAGCGAAAAAAAATATGGGTATAGCCGCTCTCCGTCCAAAGGTTGTATCTATTTGATCTGCTGATGTCTGAAGCAAGGCGGATACGGTCTCCTGTTTCCTCGTGACCTAGGGAGAGCTCGATATCAAGACGATTTTGTTGCCACTTTCGCGTTGCAGCACGGTGCATACCTCGGGGGTCTCGATCTCATGCACAATCTCCTGAGAATTCTCGTCGTGACGTCCAAGTGCGGATCAGGATATGGAGCGTATGACTCGAGGGGAATGTACACATACTTCAATTGCTGGAGACGACGTGGTTCGAAAGCGTCCATTCAAACAACCTGTTTTTGTCCCTTTCGACTCTATCTGTGGCTGAAAGCAAATCTAAGAGCCCACCGAGCGGGTTTGACGGGTAGGACGGCATTCCAGGTTACGATATCCGAGTAGGACTCGACCACATATCCTTCGGTCTTCTTCACAAGCTCACTAGCTACCATGTTTCGTCAAGCGACGATGAAACCGATGGGGTGAACCACTTGAAACACCACAGCTCCCTCTCTGTCTCTGTGCGCGTCGCCATCTCACAGGCAAGATTCGTCATATGGATGTCAAGTGAAGACGACGATGGTATAAAAGTGATCGCACTCGACGACTCGTAGCATCCACACCGTACCTCGTATCGACAGATACACGGCTACTCGAATATACCTCTCGCGAGCGCGGTCAGGAAGAACCCCATTTCGGCTGGTGGGCACACACGAGATGGGATCGATATCGACGTCGAGGGGGACGGGCGTCATGCCTAGGAACGTCACGCTAGGTAAGTCATATTTGCACCTTCGACATTTGCACAACTGTATGCTGCAGTAGACATGAAGGTGTCGGGTTCGTCGGGTCGGATGGGGATGTGCAAGCTGACTAGAAGCCCGTCAACGGTTCTTGGTGTCGATCATTATCATCATCAGGGATGTTCGTAATAGACGAATTCAAGTACCTGGACGAACGCGGACAAGAAGACCTCGGTCGGCAGAGCTCGGAACAGGTGAGCTAACTGGTTAAGCTTTCTGCTTTCTGCTTTCTGTGGTCTACATTTTAAGCATCCATACAGTAGTGCTAGTCGCTAGTCGATCGTCGATCGTGGATGTATACACGGCTGAAAGCGGAGAGATTGCGCTGACTTTGATCTCGATCTTGGACGACTTTGGCTTTGGCTTTGGTGGAATTATGGATGATGCATGATTCATGATCATATCATAATGTTGTTGTGGTAGATCGGAGGAGCGGGGACGTACTGTAAGTCCCCCCCCCCCCCTCAGCGTTTCCCCGGTCTTTTCTTTTTACACTCGTCTTCTCAACCCTCAACCCTCAACCCGAACCGACCGACCGGTGTCAATCTTATCGCACACTTCATACATATACTCAATGCACTTCACTGAACATTTCTTCTCTTATCTACTTCTCTTACACCTTTTTGGGCCTGTTCTTCTCGATCTCCGTCTTTTTCTTCGGAATATAAATCCCTCTTTCATCGGAATACCAATCCACGACCTATCACGCATGGTACACGGCACACCGCACACCGCTCTCTAAACCTCAACGAACATGGACACCGTGGAAACATGGACACCGTACCGTGGAAACTCATATAGACTCGGTCGGAGCTCGGATACACCTTCCAGCGGATCAAGTGGGGCAGGTCGTCCATCTGGGGAATGTCTTCCCTTTTCTTGACAACACCACCAGCGGCTCCTCTTCGTCAACATCTCCTCCGGCTTCTGGATCTTCTTCTGGTTCTACCGCGTTGAACGAGGATACCAATTCCACCCCTACCAACTCCACCTCCGAGACCCCCACGTCCGATACCAATATCTATATCGATATCACCTCCAAGCCTCTTAAACCCAAACAAGGCGATAACTTGAACACCAAAGCAAAACCAAAAGCAGAAATAGAAGCAGAAACAGAAGCAACAAACCCAAACCCAAAAAACGCAGCAGACGAACCCACCCAATCCACCCTCGAAACCTACGGACCCGAAATGTGGGAATTCTTGCAGCGAGGCGATATCGATGGACGGGGGACGACACGCGCTTTGAATATATTCAAGGTTGGGGGGGAGGCTAGAGAGTGAGTTTTGGGGATTGTGGGGGTCTTTTGGAGTGGTTTGCGAGGGTTTGAGAGGGTTGGCTAGGGTTGGGGGGGGGTGGAGTTTGAGGGAAGAGGTTGGCGAGGTGGAGAGGTTGGCGAGGTGGAGAGGTTTGTGAGGTGGAGAGAGGTTTGTGAGGTGGAGAGAGGTCTGCGAGGTGGGGAGGTTCCGACGATCCGGAGACCGAGATCGTGGGTCTCGACTCGGCGAGGTCTCGATGGCAGCAGGCCGGGGCTGTGAGATACTGGGGCGTGAATGCGGATGAGGCGGTGGACGTGGATGTGTGGTAGAGCAGGCGAGGTGATCGATCATAGTGGCGTATAGTCTCGCAACGACAACAAGGAAATCGAGAACAGATCAAGAGAGATGAGAAGAGGTGAAGAAGAAGCCACAGAGTTGAAGGGTGGAGTGAACGAAAGGTCGGACTGATGTTCGATACAAGATTCGACTCGCCATCCTGTCAATCATCTTCCAAAGACGTCGGTCAGCTGATCATACCAACACGTTTCTTTCTGGCCTTTTCGTCCTTTCTCTCGGCTTGTGGGCCTCCAGTTTCCGGTTCCTCACGCCCCCCATCCGGATCTACCCGCAGGATATTTTTGACTCGCCCCGGTTCTTCTCGAAATCGAAAGAGGATAGGAATTGTCGGCCTTGTTCCGTACACTTTCCATCGGCCCCGACGAGGACTAGGGAGATCTTGCAACAGATCGATAGGATCGATGAAGAGTTGCGACAAGGGACTGCGGGGCAGGAAGATGAGGGGTGGGATCCGGAGTTGATCTGGGAACCGTTTCCTGTGAGTCCCGAACCCGACACGATCTCTCATCAGAATCCTCGGACTGTATTCGATTTCGTGACTGACCTGAGTCTAAACATTGGCCTACTGTTTGCGATCTCGCCCCGCCGGTCACCGAATCAAATTCGGCTCGGATCGCCTTGTCTCGAGGGCAGATGAACTGCACACATCGGGAATGGCCCGAGCATGCCGCCCTGTTGCCCCGGATGACCGTCTTTTCGCCCAACCATGTCGAGTCGCTCGCACTGCTAGGGAAGATCCCGAGTCCGTATACGAGCGACGAGGAGCTGGAGGGGTTGTTGGGCGAGTGGGGGAGGGTGGACGAGGTGTTGGAAGAGGTGGGGAAGGAGCTGTTGAGGGTCATGTTGGAAGGTGGAAGCGGGTCTACTCGGCATCGAGGATGGGAGAGAGGTGTGGTCATCCGGTGCGGGTCCAAGGGGTGTTTGTTGTTCACTGCCAACGGGATCGCCGGACTTCCAGCTTATTACACCGAGTCCACGGAGGATCAAGGGCAAGTCGTGGACGTTACCGGAGGGGGAAATGCTTTTCTCGGTGGGTTGGTGGCGGGACTAGCGAGTCGTCCGGGAATGACACTGGTCGAAGGTGAGCTTAGGGCCTGAACTTGGAGAGGCAAATCTTGTATGCTCAAAGGGTCTCTACCCAACAGCCGCCTGCTACGGAAGCGTGTCGGCATCGTTCACGATTCAGCAAGCTGGACTGCCGGTCCTCACAAAGCGAGACGGCGTGGAGATGTGGAACGGAGAGACGTCCGAGCACAGGCTGCGTGCGTTTTGCAAACGTCATGGTTTTCCCGTCGGCGATCCATACAATGCGGAGGCACAATCGTTGTGGGCACCAAGATAATACTTCTAGTCGAGAATATATACATAGATCGCTTGCCATGCTATCGTCAGTTCATTGCGTTACAGATCATACAACATTAAAATCGTGATTGCCAGCCCGTTGTGAATGCTCGATCACTCTTCATCCGGTCGCTCAATCAACGGCCTGCTCTCTTCGTCCGTGACCCGCTTGCTATGTCGACGAGAACTGCGCGATCGGTGATGGTGGTGCTGCTGCTGTGGCTCGATGTAGTCTTCCTGATCCCGCTCGTCGATTGGGGGTGCCGAGCCGTAGATGAGGGATTGTATCATGATCGTCAGATCGAAAACGAGCGTCCCTCCCGAACCCAGCAGGTACCTGTCAACGATGATGATCCAGGAAGCGTTAGCTTGGGGGTCGAATGGGAACGATTGGGTAAAAAAGGCTGAACTCACGGCAAGGCTTCCAAGAGATAATACCCAACCATTTCCGGGTTGCTCTCCCCATCGCTCCCCGTCGGATTCAGTACGATCGAGAGGACGTACGTGAGGTTGCCGCAAAAGGCGAATACGAAGAGCAGGATCGATAGACCTTCGACGGATTTACGTTGGTACTATCGGCGGCAAGCACGAGGTTGCGGAACGTCAGCTAGGGTGTCGCAATGAGCGGCTCCCGATGAGAGAGAAGTCGAGCAACTCACGTTCTTCCAGATCTGAGGCAATCTGCTGGTCAGATACAGGGTGGTACAGATCCACGCGGACATCCTACCGATAAGACGTTGGACCGCCGCCTTGTCCCATCGTTTGTGTGAGGGGTGGTCGGGCTCGATTTCGGGTTCACCCGATGAAGGGTCGTGCGAAGGGTCGGTGTTGGACGCGAAGTAGAGTTCGAGTACGTCTATGTCCTGTGTCATTTCGATATCTGTCCCGGTCCATCGGGGCGAGATGACCGCCCCTTCCTTCTTCCCTACATCAAATCGCTGTCCATCCGACCGAACGTCCAGACTCCCAGCTCGACCGCGCTCCAGACTGGTCCCCCAGCCTCGTCCGTTCGAGTTCGACCCTGTCCCCGTTCCGCTACCCGAGCTCCCAGTTAAGTTCAACCCCGCCAAAGCCCAGACGCCCATGAACACAACTCCAGCCACCGCCCCGCCCGGCGGTCGTACAGAGGCGGGCTTGTTCTCGGATCCGCGTATCCGACTCGAACTCCGGGTACGAGGTGGACCCCCGGGCGGATTGTTATGGGTCGTACTGGGATTAGAGCGCCCATCGGCAGGTAGAGGCAGACCTTCGGGTTGTCGACCCCGGGTTCCCGTGGGGTCGTGGTTGAAAGAGACCGAGGGGGAAGTAGAGAGACCTGATACCGATTTCGATTTGGGCGTAGTGGTATTGGTATTGGTGGTCAAGCGAGGGCTGGACGCTTGACTGGCTTCCCGGGTGGATGAGGCTGAGTAGCCTCGATCGCGTTGCTCGTCATTCCCGTGGGTTTGATCGGGGGAGACTTCGGAGATGTAACTGTCCCCCAATCCTAATTCGAGCTTGTTACCCCTCTCCCTACTCGCAGAACCCGCGGGGAGAGCGTTGTTGCTACGAGTCCGACTCTCCGAGCCGTACCTCCTCCTGGATCGACTTCGTTCGACCCGCTCAGCAGCGAGAGCGACTTCGAGAGCGGCTTCTGTCAAGCTTGATGGTCTCGGATTCGGGGATCGCAATAGGCCTTGCTGGGAGTGTGATCGGAAGAGCGAGTGATTGCTGGTATTGGTATGCTCGTCCGGCCTGGTGTTATGATTCACTGGCGAACTGGGGTCGTACGCCCGAGCTCGGATTCCAGGATCAGCTGGATTTGAAGCTTGAGTTTGGGATGGACCTTGAGTGAACCGGGGTTGAGAGTAGTAGACGTATTGACCCGTCAAGACCAGGTCTATCAGGCAGAAATAGGCTGCGAGGAGGGTCTGCGGGAGGTTCGAACGGGGGGGGGGGGGGGGGGGGGGACGTCGCGGGAACGAGGGGATGTAAGATGTGAGCAATAGAGAATCGAGATCAGCTTGAAGATCCTGGATTCGGATTGAGAGGGCTCGGCGAGGAAGAGTAACGAAAAGCCAAGCCTTGACAAGACGAGAATGAGAGATGTAGGATGATGATGAAGCTCACCTGAAACTCTTTCTGGTCCGTCAAGATACACCCTACGAGGTTCGTTATATCCCCTACAACGTCCCCACAACAAGAAAAGACGAGACGACATAAGATGAGATGAGGAGAGCGTAATCCGATCAGCTTCGGCTTGCTTCGATACGAGATGCTCAATGCTCAATGCTCAATGCTCAAGCAACGAGGAACGAGGAACACATAGCAGGGCGGAGAGGTAGAGTACGGGGGGGGGGGGGGGGGAGGTTGGGGGGAATCTGCGACTCACCGGCTAACCAATTCACCAAGAAAGGTAGCGCTAGACCTTGACATGATTGGGAGACGTAGTTTTCCCAGAATTGGCTGTATGGGCCGAGCGTAGCGAGGACCGAGGACCGACGAGCGAGGACCGAAGAGCGAGTGACGAGGTATGGCGTAGAGAGGTTTTGTACGACGGTGATGGTGTAAAGTGGGTTGCGACGGGCGATAGCGTAGCGAGGACCGATGTTTAGCGAGGATCGGTGTAGCAGCGTAGAGAGGTCGAGGTGACAGCGAGGACCGAGGACCGAGGACCGATGTTCAGAGAGCATAGTCCGTGATGATAGCGAACGTGATCGATGTTTGTCATTGCGGTTGCGGTTACGAGCAGAGGATGATAATAGTGATAGCGTTAGAGTGGAATAGACGGAGATGGGGTTGTAGATGAGACGATTGGATTCGATGTGGGTTGGTGGGATTCGGTGGGGATTGGTATGTTTGTGATAGGCATGATAGCATGATAGACAGCATAAGATCAGCTCGCAATTCGCACACCTCGACGCCCGATACACGGCACACGATGAGAAGCAGAAGAGCAGAGCAAGAGCCACAGCTCCCCCAAAGAGAAAGGAATTGCTAAGGACGATGACGCCGACGACACTTACGGAGCCTGTGCGACGACCCAACATCCGATACTGATCATGCCCATCGCGGAGGAGACGTTCTCTTTCGTCCATGTTGATGGCCAGGGTACGAGGTCCGACGTCCACATTCTCGGGCGGAAACTGGTCTGGCGAGTAAATGTTATATGATCAGGGCGATGGTCTATATGAACAGCTGGTCTTGAGACGGTGCGGCGTTGAGTATATGGAGTGGACAGGTCGATGTGGCCAGAGTGGATAGCTGACGCGAAAGAGGTTTGACTCGGATGCGGGCGAATCCTATCAAGCATATTCCTTCATATACAGCAGCAGCAGTGTCGTCTTCCACCGTCTTCCTACCGCTACAAACGACTCCTAGCTACTGATCTAGCCTTGAGCATAGCCACTTGAACCGCCGTCAGCGACTGAGGATGGCGAATCTGCTCGTTGGCTCATCCCTAGGGTATGACGAGAACCTCTCGGTTCGACCACGGGAACCCCTAACCCAGGTCGCAGGTCGACAAACAAAAAAGACGCTATGATATCGCATACACAGCGGGGTGAAGCAATCGTCCAAGACAGACAGGGGCATCTGATAGTGTAGTCGTTATGGGTTGTACGGAGTTACGGGATCACTAACCCTTCGTAAATACCAAAGGATATCCGGGGCAAGAGTGATCTTCGCTTACCTACATTTTCCCGCATCAGGCCTACTTCTGTCCAGAGCTGTTCAAGTTCACTAATTGCTGAGAAGGTGGTGCTACAGGATTGCAGATGGCTTCGATCAAGGTGTCCTTTTCTGCTTGAAGTTGTTTCCAGGTCGTTTGTGAGCTTTTCCATCCATTCAGTCTTCTTGCGCAGGGCTTCGGCCGAGGTCTGCTTTTCTGCTTGAACTTTTTCCAGGTCGTTTGTGAGCTTGTCCGTCTCTTGAGTCTTTGTCCATAAGGCTCTGCCCTTTTTGCCATTATCCATTCGAAGTTCTCCTGCCTGTGTTGTGATGATGTATCGACCCGGAACAGTATTTGAGACCAGTCATGAGTTTGTGGTATTGAGGCAAGCTCCTTGGGTGTGAAATCAGGTCCATCTACCCTATTCCCTCGATCCCTCAATTGCTATCCTATATCCTCACCACCTCGTTTGCCTACACTAACGGCAGTGATATCACCGCTCTGATCTGACCAGACACGGTATAGCCCAGGCATTGTCATATCTGGTACCCCACCCCAAGCGTCCAGTACGCAACAAGCTTCGACCCCCCTCTCACGCACCATACAGTAAGAGTAAGCAGACTCGTTCCACGTTCCACGTCCTTCCTCTTCGAAGACCTTGCCAGGAACTTAATTGGACGACCTGACCTTTAATTTACGGGATCGATGAACGTTGAAAAGACATGCATCCCAAAGTCCAAGTTCGAAACTTCACCAGGAATGTGGATGACGTTTATAGAGTTGAAGGGGAGTTGAGAGGGGACATCAGAGGCTCAGAGGCGTGTACGGGGACTTGAATGATCTCGCGGGTCGGACTCACCATCTTGAAGCTCGAAGACAAAGTTCAGATGGATCAACAACAGATCGAGCAACAACAACAACGTCTTGCCCTTGATCGATTCGGAGCTGCTCGACCTTTCCTGTCAGCCCGTTAGTTGTTTGATAATACCAGAGTCTGTTGCGCCTCGGCTCGCTATTGAGCTATCGCATATCTAGATCTGGACTCGAGGTCGTCCATCTCGCTAAACTCGCTACCTTCCGCGAACTCGACTCGCATGTAAACAAATCAACAACAACAAGCGACCCTCGTAACATCATCGATCATATAATCGATCACCCTCCTCCGACTCCTCCCAGACCTAGCACCTATTACGCTTGCGCATTCATTCGGCTCGTACTACCTAGCAGAACGCATTCATCTAGCTCGCGTCCACGAACAACGGCGAGCATCGAGCATCGAAATCGAAATCGAAATCAAGTGAATCAAAGGAACTTACGGACCACACCGAAAACGAACGACAGCACAAGACCATATCGCCATATCGAAACCGACCTACGACTTACGACCTACGACAACGGTACACGGTAGATATCAATAAAGATAACGATGTCCTCGATGGAAAACCCACACGAAGCCCGTCAAGCCGTACTTTTGGAAAGGATCGGGAAGAACGTGGAAAAGTGTTTCGAGGCCGTACAGGAGCTGAACGTTTGTCTGAATGTGAGTCGAGATGGGGTTGGATGTGCCTTGCTGTTTTTTTCTGGTTTGAGAGGTGGTTCGTTACGAAGCGTGGTTCGGGGAGAGGTGGTTTCGTCGGGGAATACTGGGCTTGGGTGTCGTATAGCGTGTTGTGTGGGAGAGAGTAAAATGGGAGGATGTGATGGGAGAGCTGATTTTTTTTTGTTGTCCTCTTCGTTCTTTCTCTTTCCATTCACCTTGTTCTTCTTGTCTGCAAACGCCTGCTCCACCCCGGGACCCCCTGTCTCTTCCGCCTTCCTCCTCGAATCTCGAATCTCGGACCACCAAATTCGATCCACACTCACCAACGCCGCCTTTTCGCTCTGCTCTTGACTTGGACTCTTGGACCTGGATGATCATTATAATCATATGTTCGACTCTCGTCTCTCGATCCTCCTACGGTACGGTCGATGTCATGATGTTTTCATCCCGACCGAACTATTCGTTTCAATTCTGGAATGCCACCTTCCGGCCGTGTTATGAAATCGTCCTCCGACCGACACGATCTTACGACCCACTACTCCTTTGCCGTCACCATTCGGAATCAAACTTCACGGAACCACGACCCCCTACGACTACTACTACTACTACTACGAACACATACATAATCACATCGATATCGATATCGAATACACTTCACTTCACTTTACTTCACGTCACTGGTACTTGCACCTGGGAACTCTCTAGGAATCAATCCAAGCCCACGCATCCACCACCCAAACAGCATCGGCCCTGTTTGGGAATTATAGCAGGAACGTGGTTTATAACCTAGAGGCGATTGGGAAGATGGGGGAGGCCCGATAGGGCGTAGGGCGACCGCCAGGGAGCCTTTTCCTTGTGGGCGAGAAGTGGGGGAGCCATGGCGGAGGCAGCAGGAGGAAAGGGGGAGGAGTGGAGGAGCTATGGGGTAGGGAATGAGCGGGATGATTGGGCGAGAGTGAGGGAGCTATGGGGCAAGGCGGGGCGGGGCGGGGCGGTCGGGGAGGGTGGTAGAGGGGGAGCTGGTGCTGGTGGTTAAGATGGAGGAAGAGGGAGCTTATGGACGGTCGTCCTTGAGGTTGGAGCGGAGTGATGCTCAGGAGGAAAGGGAAGGGCTATCAGGGATGGCGAAGCGAGAGCAAGAAAGGCGAGCTGCGAGTGCAATTTCGATGGGATTTTCGGTTTGTGGGTGTAATTTTTGGTTTTCGGTGAGTCCAAATCCGCGTTGGGGTCGGGAAGTATGGGGCGATCCTCCGAGAGACTCAGAAATGGAGAATCGGTCGACAAATCCGGAGCGGAATCCGAGCGATGCGGTGGTACTCGATCGAGGTGGAGCGCTTAAGGCTGATCCGATCTTATGTTACGTCGAACAGGTTTTCTTATTTGTAACGCCGGTTGATGAGCGTCTTGTACAACGCACGCACGCATGCAGATTACGATGACATGTGATGATTTGAGGATACGATATATGGATCTTGTTTGATCATCGACAGAGACAGGATATCGAGGATGAGCATCCCCAACATCAGACCACAATGGGGTATCGAGTCTCCGAGAAGGACTAAAGTAATGAGATGCAAGCCGACCCGACTCCGGAGGAAGACTGATGGTTGGTAAGCGCACGTTGGTTCTACAAATACAGACGAATCGGACGAAAGACACTTGGAAGCAAGCTATCAGTACGGCTTCGGTCGACAAAGTCGCTGCTGCGCAAGACGAACGCAAGGCGGGATCGTCAACATCGTCGAGGCTTGGTCCCCCATCAGTCCTGGTACAAGGATCCGAGAATGAACCAGGCGCTCGCGGTACCTACCTTCAACCCCGGTTTGGACGCCCAATACTAAATTTTTGCGCCGAAGTGCCCCCCCTCAGAACAAGGCGAAAGGAACGGGACCCATCTGGTCAGGATGAAAGCAAGGATACCGGCAGCATTTCGGTAAGGTTCGAGGGCGTACTTCACATTGCCGGCCAGGAGGTCTTGTGATGCTGGAAGCAAAGGCACTAGGAGGACGGACGGGTTGAGGTCGACGACTTCACGATCGTGGATGACTTTTGGAGTCCGCGACGAACGCTCACGATTGAGACTCACAACGACGGACCTGCGATCGCTACTGATGACGAGGATGTATGACGACGACGACTACACAGAGGAGAGCAAGAGCGCTTAAGGGTTAGCCACAGCGACAACGTGCCGAGAATGCAGACATCGGTGGTTTCAATCAAACAGCATGACTTCCCTGAAAGGGCAGGACAAGACGTCATCACGATCGCTGTCAAGGCGTCAATACTTGACAACTTTATCGACCTCGCAGGCGGAACGCCCGCCTCTCGCTGTCCGCTCTCGACCTCCCATCATTCCTCTTGAACGTCCGATGCAGACGGATCCTCGGAAGCCTTGGCCGGCGACGACGAAGAAGGCGCCGAGGTAGCGGTTGCCTCGCACCTCGTGAACCGACGACGAGGATAAGCGGCGGGTTGCGGTGCGGGTGGGTAGGTTTCGCGAGCCTGGTTCTCATCGGAGGGCAGATCGAAGGCTCCGTCGGCGTAAGGGAGAAGGGCAATCGGGTTGAGGTAGGCCATCGGGACGCGAAGGCTGATGGATGGGCTTGGGCGAGTGGAGTGGGAAGACGGTCGAGCTGTCGCATGCTTGACAGTTATGATCGAGAATTGGTCACAACGCAGCTTATATACGCGAAGAACACACGGAGTGAAACGGCTACAAGGAGGTCCGGAAACAAAGGATGCCCAGGGCGACAAGGAGTCGTTGTTTCGAGGCACCGCAATGGGACCCGCACCGGAGTTATGGGCGGTATCGTTACGCATGTTCGCCTCGTGGGATAGAACTGAAGAATCGCGCAAGCTTCTCAAGCTACCTTGGCTGGGCAGTATGTAGGCGATGAGGAGGTGGGGATACTGACGAGAGCGAAGCTAGCGGTGGTTGAGACAGCGCAACGACAAGACAGTCACGACAGGCTGTCAGACCTGACGGGGAGCACGGCACATGGCCTGCTCTTTGGCTAGCCTTGACGCATACTCATAGCGACATGAACACAAGCAGCGGACTCCCATAGGACGGTAGATTGTTTTCGGATACATCGCGGAATACGCTACAGGCTTCGTATCGGCTCGCAGTGAAGCGCAAGTCCTACTCGTCATCAATCTCGTGCTGGAATCGACCGGACGACGTCGGTTTGGGTCGCTCGAGACGGGCGGTGGACGTCGAGGTTGCGCGGGCCGTAAAAATTTCGATCCGATCAGCAGGCCGCGGAGAAGGTTCGACAAGCGTGGGGTCGAGAGGAGGCTCGACAGGGGGGTTGACGAGTGGTAGGGAGGCGAAGACGTTGCGGTACATGGCGAAATTTTTTTAAAAGCGTGATGAGAAGTTTCGTTTTCTGGCGACGAGAGGGGTGGTGGAAGAGGATCGATAGAGCGAGGGGCCGCTTGGCCAAAAGTGAATGAGAAGCCGACATCGAGTGTTCCGCTTATATACGTGACTCGAGGGGAACAACGAGGACGTCAAACGCGGAAGGGGTCTGGGGTTAAAGGAAGTCGATAGCGCCCATCGCTCGAGGAGAATCTGCTATGAGGGTTAAGTGTAACCTGCTCTCGCTGGAAGTGTTACACATGGGGACACCCCGGAAGACACGGCTTGAGGTCGGGAAAGACTGTCAGTCACGCACATCGCTCATGCGTTCATTTTCATATCGGTCAGGCGTATTCATTAGCTGTTGGTACAAACCAAGAGGGGCTTTTCTACATGGAGTAGTCCAGCATCAAGCGGAAATGTTGGTGGAAGTCAAGTGATTGAGGAACCATTCTCTCGATGCTCTACTTCGTTATTCAAGACTCGCTGCTACGGTGGCGCTCAGATCGTCGAGGCGGATATGACCAGGGCGGATGCTCCGATGATCCACAGGCTGGCCGTGCTGTTCGAGATCGTTGAACTCCTTAAACACAGGCGATCGGTTCCGGATCAAGCGTAGCCGACTCACGGATGCCCCAAGCCCGAGTTTTCTTGGTTTTCTTCGACGACGAGGTATTTGATATTTGCACCTTCACCTGTAGACTCTTTCAAGGACACCGTTCTGAACGAAAACGGTGGTCAATCCCGAGCTGTATCAAGTCCGTACAGGAAACACTCACAGGTTGCTGCCCAAGGGTTCGGTGACGGTGTGAGTCCAGTTGTAATACTGGGCCGGACCCGGACCGATCGCGGTGATGTTCGTCTCGATCACTTCTTCCTGCGAGCCGGTTCATAGCGAGTCAAGATCTCAAGGCGATCGGGGGTGACTCTGGACATGGCTCGTGTGACTTACGTTGGTTGTCGGGCCTATGTCTCCAGACCTCGGGAGGCTTGTCCTGTCGCGTCGCGAAAGGGACTCATGATCAGTGAAGGGTATATGCGTCGATCGGCCGAGGGATGGGCTTACTCTAGGGAAAAGGTCCCATTGCTCACACCAATGAACCTAAACGTGTAGGTCTCGTTCTGGACGAGACGACTATCGTCCTGTGGAGGCGCGAGATTGTTCGGGATTGGCAACGTATATCGCATTGAGGGTTCTCATCGTCCGGACTTACCGTATTGGCAGGCGGTTGATAAGCAAAGGACGACACCGTCTGGGAGAGACTGAGGAGCGCGAGCAGGCCGGTGAAGAAAGATTGGGAAGAGAACATGTCAGGTGTTGTCGCTTGCTCGCTTGTGATCACAAGACAATGGTGTGCGACGACAAGGAAGTCAGGACCCCGCTTCCAGTGTACATAATATATATGCGATACAGGTTGGTTTACTGCGGCAAGTATGATCCCCGAGACATATCCCTTTCGCCAAGCCTGCGCTCTGCCGGTGCCGGATCGCTCACATCGCATGCGCATCGAGTAGCGCGCCATCGAAATAGGGTTTTGTTAAAACTCAAGATATTGCTTTATCAATGGCATGTGCTATTAACCAATACAAAGGTACTGACCTGTTAAAACTCAAGATATTGCTTGAGATCTAACAGTCAAGTGATGTATATTGATGATCTAGTTGTCCGAGATTTTCATCACCGGGGTGAGGTCTCAACTTAGGTGATGCTGACTAAGCACCACCCAAGTCTCCCAAGGTGATGCTGACTAAGCATCACCCACCTGTAATCCTGAGAAGTAATCCCAGTAATCATCACGCGCGCGCGCTTACTTTCTACAGGTTTCCCAAACTGCGTCATCTTCTGTGGAGCGGCAACGACAACGTGCGAAAATTGACCGAGTGACTTGAGCACTTGATAGAATCACTGACGTTGCATCGTATGAAGCAGTGATGGTCTCGGCTGTGCGTCCTACTCGTGTTCGGCGCAGGGTCTCGCACACCTCTCAGCATAGATATCGGTTCGCGTCGCCCTAGCTGTGCGAAACCCTGCACTATAGACTAGTACAAGGTTCTATCTCGTTTGGAACGATGCCACACGACTGGATATGTCGACTCGATCTCTCGCGCCCGCTCCCCTGGATCGTGGCGCCTTGCGCTGGCTTTCTTCTGGCTTTTTCTTCACAACAGGCAAATACCTTGGATGTTGTGGGGTTGCACTTCTGAGGGTCGTCGAACGCTGCGCGGGTGAAATGACAAGAGGTTGACGGGTGGTTAAGACATCGACGAAAAGGCATAGTCGCAAGATATGACAGGTTATAGGAATTCGCATATCGGATGATCGATTGACAGGTATCACTTCGCGGATGGGTAGCTGCTTTGTGTCTCTGCATGTCATCTAGGCCAACGACTGTGGTCGAGAATCATAGCAGTGGCGGATAGGATAGCACGGAAGTCGAGCTTAGCCCGGATGACCGAACGCGATCACGCGTTGCAACGAAAGCTGCGTTTCAACTTGTCGTGTCTTGCAACGGATGAAACGAGATCACATCTTCAGGATCGATGCGCCGTGCTGACTCGAGTAAGTCCCACACAGCCAGCAGAGTATCGTGGGAATACGTCGACGGCGCGATCACCTTGCTGTCTCACAAGCGCGCGTGCACGTCGACTTGCATCGAAGCGGGCTGGATTGTTGGCTGATTGGACTTTGCAAAGCTGTCGCCTGGCCCGTTCAAGTCTTCGGGTGTCCTCATCGATAACCCCTAACCCTCATAACGGACATCCTGGTTTGCAGATAACCCTGTTCAGCCCTTGAATCCACCATGGGTCCGTACGACGAATACCACGAGTTGCAGCCCAACGAACTGAATGTGGCGACCCGCACGACGCTCGTATTCGTGGCGACCGGCGGAGCGTACACCTTACTGGCTCATCTCTGCGGTGCCACTTTGCCTCCCGAACCGTACTATATCTTCGCCTTTATCGTCTCTATCCAAGCGCTCATCCATTCGAACAGCGAGAGCGTCGCCAGATGGATGCGGGGGCAGCACGGGACGGAGCGAGACGTGTTCATGACCAGAAGGATATTCGACCTGATCGTCTTGCTCGGGTCGACTGCGAGTAATCTGGCCAGGGTCATCATGCACAGTGGGGTCGCCACGGGTCCTCAAAATACGCATGAGGAAATCATCGGGTTCTTGAGCATCATGATCGGGTGTTTCGGAACCTTCTACCTGGGAACCTGTGGGTTGAGCATCGGATTGTCGTTCGACTGATTGCAGAGCGGGTGTGTTGACGTCTCTTACTCGACTCGAAATGACAGCGTGGGTGGATTTCGAATTCTGGGCCAATAGCAGAGCAAATCGGCCCCGGAGTTGGGTTTGATACGAGATCTTCACGGAAATCCTCGTCGAGAGCATCGCCGGATCAAGCAAGAAGAACGCGAGGAGACGGATCGATAACCAGCCAAGTGCTCGAGGTTCACCGCCACTGAAGTGGACATCATGTCGAAGCGACCGGGACCCTGGAGGTGTTCGATGATCAACCCATCAGGATAGAGATCTACACCCCGTCCCATTTGACTCTGTCATGTCGAATCGGTCAATCGTATTATCATTATCATATTGTTATCGAGAACTATGTTGCCTACAGTTTGCGTTTCATAAATCAGATTATGTTTCAATCGGTCTTGTTTCGAGATGCGATTCCATTTGTGTTCGTTCGAAGCTCGCAATTTGATAATACGCAATCGAGTAGTTCAAGAACGCGCACTGGTCCAACTCCTGGAACACGGCGGTCGTAGCGTTGACATTCATGATCCGGATCGGTCCGGTAGCATTGGTAACCGGCTGCCACTGGCCGCTAGTTTGGGTAGCAGCGAGAGTAGTGTTGTACCCTCGGGCTTGGAGGTAGGCGGCCGAAGGGTTCGGGTCGGAGGTACGGACAAAGTTGGCAAAGTAGCTGGTAGCGAGTTGGATCGAGGCGAGGTCGTCGGCGTCTCGGAGCGTCGTCAGCGTGCCCTGTCACAGTGTCATACGTAGGACGAATCAGTTGAAGTGAGAATAGAATAGAAAATCCAAGACCGGGAACTCACAAATACCCAAGGCATGTCCGACCCGTGTAATCGGTAATAAGGCTCGTTGGGGTTTCCATAAGGATACCCCGGCTCGATCGGTCCCGTCCCATCGATGTTATTGGGGTTGTACCCGGAGTACGTCCTGTCCATCTGATAAAAGTAGCTCTGCTTGAAAGCGCCGGATGAGACGCCGGCGTTGACGATGGCCTGATCGACGCATCTGAATTGAGTGTCCGTGGCGACCCGTTGAGTGACGTTGAAGGCGTCTGCGGTGATGTTGCCGGTATCGTAAAGCGGGAAGAGACCGGAATCGATGATGCTCTGGGCGTAAGAGGCGTTGATCCCCAAGCCGACCTGGAGACCGGAAGAGAGGTTGGCGACAGGGGTCTTGGGGTAAGTGGAGAAGGAGGAACCGTCGTTGGCGGTGACGCCCCAGATGGTATGCACGTTCGCCGTCGACCCGTTGTTGTTGTAGACGTTCAGGGTCGGGGCGAGGATGTACGCGCCGTCTTGGACGACGTATCGAGCCGTGGTAGCCAAGTTGGAGATCATACTGGCGTTGGCGGTCTTGAGGCAAGCGATCTGGGCGGTCAGGTCGGTAGAGTTGCAACCTAGACCGGTAAAGATCTGTTGTCCAGCGAGGGCGTACGATTCATTGATGGTGAGGTACAAGCTGTACTCGGTAGCGTAGTTTCCCTCCAACCCGAGCGTCTGACCGCCTCCGAGGTTGGACATGGGGACCGCTCCCCTGAACAACCCGTTCGCACAAGGTACGCTCAAGAGAGCTTTGACCGACCCGGCCCCGGCAGACTCGCCGATGATGGTCACCTGGGCAGGATCTCCACCGAACGCGGCGATGTTGGCCTGGACCCATTCGAGAGCGACGACTTGGTCCGCGATCCCGTAGTTGCCGGTAATGTTCGTACCGGGCACGGCGAGGAAGCCGAGCGTACCCAGACGGTAGTTGATGCTGACGACGACGATGTCTTCACGGGATGCGAGTTGACCGCCATCGCTTGTTGGGTCAGCACCGGTTCCTCCCGTATACCCACCTCCGTGAATCCAGAAATGGACCGGGCGAAGAGAATCGTTGGAACCTTGTCGAGGGAGGTAAGGCGTCTGGATGTTCAAGAAGAGACAGTCCTCGGAGCTGGTGTTCGAGCCCGCTTGTGAGCAGGACGGGCCGTACGAGGTGGCGTCTATCACACCCTCCTTGGTGGACAGGTGAGAGTATTGGAAACGCTCAGGCGGGTCGGCATAAGGGATCCCGATGAAGCGGAAAGACTTTTGGTTACGGAACCCGAGAAAGGTCTTGCTGCCGTCGCTGGAGATGACGGTGATGTTGTTACTAGCCGTAGCCGTGGCGTTGGGGTAGTTTTGCTGGTCAGACTGGGTGCACAAAGCGGGCAGGGTCATCCCGGTCCCATCATCGCTCGACCCGACGTAGACGAGCTTGGAGGAAGAGCTCGAGTCGTATCGGACGTAACCATCGGCGATCGAGTAGGACTGGTTCGAAGTGACCTTGCCAGAGTATTCGACGTAGGCGAGGAGGTCGGTAAAGTCTTGAGCGTGTTGCTTGATCGCCGTCGAGTTGAGGAGCGACTCGTTCAGCGTCTCACAAGCCGACGTCGCTTGGTCGATCGGCATCGGGTCCAAGAGGATCGCACCGATGTGATTGGCATCGTCCGTCAAGTTGAGGTTGTTCTGGTAGAGAAAAGTCAAAGAAGTGTCCCGGTTCGAGGCGGCGTTCGTGTTGTTGTTGTTGGCATGGACGAGGGCGAGGGTCGCCAACAAGGTCGAGCGGCGGAGAAACGTCATGGTAGAAGGTGTTCGTCCGATTTGCGACTGATTTTCATCGTTGCAAACTCGTGAGCCTCGACTATTCCCTGAACCCGTCTGATCGTCTTATATCCCACCCCCAAGCACCTCTCAAGTCGTCGCATCGATCGAAATAGCAACTCCGAATCCATCCCCCCCTTAAACTTATGCCCTAGCGCCAGTAAAGAGCCGCTTCATTCGGTCGTTCATTCGGGATCTCGAGGTTTCGAGGTTTCGAGGTGGGGGCACAAGTCTCGCTAGTCTCGTTGGCCGGAGTGATCCATCTAGCAAGGTTCACTTGACGTCGAGTTAAGGTCCAGCGATCGAGCATAGTTCGGCCGAATGTTTTCGAGGTCGAAGGTCGAGAATTAAACGGCGTTCAGCGTCAGACGATCGTAAATCCGGCCCGTTTGCGAGTTTGCGATTCTTTTTGATCGGCTTCGCTCTTCGGCAAGGCCTGAGATGCCCTGATATCCATCGCCATGGCTTGATCGTGCTCAAAGGACTGTAATAACGGTGATCTTGCGAGATTGCTAACGAAACCGATAAAGTCGATGCGAGATGAGTTTCGTCCCGTGGCCAGCGAGCGATAAGTACGTGATGGTGTACGGTGAAGATGATGCGAAGGATGCCGGTCGGTTCTTCAAGACGGAGCCTCGTCAGTGCTCCTTTCCAGTGGTGTGGTGTAGAAGAGAAATCCTCTCGGTCGTCCTTCTTGTCCCAGGCAGAGTTGTAGAAGACGTCGACTTTTCGATGATGATCTGTTCTTGCTTTCCTACCTGTGCCGACTGACCCCTAGCCCAAGGCGGGAGTCGGACCTCTTCTCTCACGACTTCTAGCCTACGGTTGGCAGCAACTGATCTTGTTGCAGGTTGGGGAATCGAGGGATGTGTAGTTATAGCAAAACGTTTAGTTTGCAGTTGACTCATGACTGGGATCAGGGAGCCCAATTAATATGCGGGTGACATGTCAAAAGTCATTTTCGTCAATCGACCCTAGGCCCTTGACCTATTCCAGCCAAAACCCTAACACTGCACTATATACCATCCGACCTGCTCTACAGTAGTCACGCTTGATCCACGATCGTCATAGTGTATTACCATGCAGCACGACCACGACTTGCAAAGCAAAACAGACAAGAGGAAAAGAGCACTATGGCTGCACGGGACATATATCGAGCTTCGAGAGTCGAAAGTCGAGAGATCGACTGGCTCGAGAGGTAGACGATAAATAAGTGGAAACGTACGACGCGGTCAATCGGGCGACGGGACCCTAGACATCAAGTAGAGATAAAATATAGGATATAGAGGTCGACTTTGCATTTGTGATCAGGGTCGACGAGGCAGACAGGATGTCGTTTAGGGTGGCTCGGATCGGTAACTTGGTTCGATCATTCCCTATGAGAGATCAGATCAGGCTCACTGTAGGTCCCCCGGCAGAAATGGAGGTCCAGGTGCTAGTAGCTTGACGATACAGTACCGGATGATCTGATGGACGATACTGTAGGAGAGACGAGCGTGCAATGTACCTCGTGGGCTATCCTCCGTGCAGTGGATGGACGGAAACGGGGACAATCAGAGAGCAGGGAAACATCCTCGACTTTTAAGGGGTGACGAGTGCACAAGATGAGCGGTCTGATCGAGTGATGGTGGGCCGCGATGGAATAGATATGGATAATCGACCCCTCGCGGCTCTGTGAGGGTCTCTGGATTTGGGGCCGACGACTTCTAAGGACCCCTGGCCTGGCATGTGGGCGGTCGTTGCGAACCTGGTCAAGGTCTTGATACTGTAGGACGAGGTTTGGAGGTTTGTCTCCGTGGGCCGTCCAGCGGGTCGGAGAGGATCAAAGCATACTGTAGCCGACTATTTACTGATGGTGTCATGATTATACAAGGCCAGGAAGACGTCAGGAGGTACCTACGAGCGCCGGGGAACGGGGACAAGAAGACTTTTGCTCCAGGTTTAGCCTAGAGATCTTGCCGACTCCACCGCGAAGAATCGTTCTCTGTACGAGTTTACTCGATATGCCGATGGCACGGAAACAATAAGCGATGGAAGGATCACCAGCGATCAATTCGAAGGGGTCTCCCCCAGATCGCAGTCGAGGTCGACTCGTCGGCAGGATGCCCGAAGACATATTGTCGTCGTGGTGGAAGCGAAGCGGGGCCGACTCACAACTCGGGCTTTCGTCGTTTCGCTGCTCAGACGAAAAATCCCTTTCGAACCGCACTGATCGTCGATCAAGACACGATTCGCAGGCTTCTGATCCTGCGCATCATGACACCGGAATGGTCCTCGGATCGTATAATGGCTTGACCGATGCGTTCGGACGTTCTCGATACGGACCACCCGAGATCGTCTCGTCGACTCGAGTGGACCATTGACAACGATCCCCGCCATTTGATCGGGGGTCGACTCAAGGATACAACGGCGACGAGGCCCTGCGATGACGAGGCAAAGAAGACGGCACCGTCGGGCGACTGATCCATGAATATCACCCTGATCACTTGTTTTACGGAATGGAGATCTCGCCGATTGCAATGTCAGCATATCTGACACCCTTCCTGCTCCTGGCGTCGAAGCTCTCCCGAAGTGGCTCTGCAGTCCGGTGATGAAAAGTTAGACCTTTCGCGGACGAGGTCTGTCATCGGGCCAGTATGCGAGCCTGAGCTCGTAGTACTTGAGACAAACCCTTTATGATAACGCTCGGTCCCGGAGTTCGGGCATCAGCAGGTGCTGCGAAGCACGCAGGCTGTGCGGTCGGTCAGGTTAGTCTCGTCCTATTCATCGTCGTCTCGCTCATCGCTTGCCTCTGGTTCGTTTCATGCCTTTCCGGTATCAACGTGTAAGGCGAATCCGTGATCAACCGTGTTCGAGCTCGATTCGGGATAGCTATACTATGGTCACCACGTTTCGCCAGCCGGCCGCCCGTCGTTCTACCAAAATGAAGAGGGATTGCTGCTGCCAAGGGCCCGTTTCGTGTTAACGACTACATAGAGTCCGCCATCTTGTCGAGGATCCGGCGCGCGTGCCAGGGAGGACCATGAACGATTGCGATCAAGACTTTGGAAAGACCCCGTCAAATATCATAACGGATACGACTCTTGTCATCTCGGTGACCATTGTCATATAGAATCCGACGGGGCTCACGCACGGCGAGTACGTCCTCATCTTTCGACGAGAATTACGGATCTTGACCGTGCCACCGTTTCCAAGCTGTCGAGCACGTCTTCGGACTTGTCATCGTCGTCGCCCTCGTGTTGATCCACGCAGCGATTCTGAATCCAACCTAGCTACAAGGTTCGCTTCGTGTACCCTCAACCTACCAGAGTTGCAAACGGCACGAATCCTCGATCGCGCCGGCAGCAAGCCAGTAAGAGTACATGTATATCGACGACGTTGCGGTCCGCTCATGTATGTAGTCGAAACAGCCTCTACATCCCGGATTATGGACCCCCGCCCCCGCCCCATCTGCTCGACCTCGCCCGTCTACTCTGCATGTTGCGAAAATTCCTTGTAACTCGTCTGATATCCCGCAAGATATTGCCCAACAATCTTGCCTACGATATCCCCGTCAGGCAACGAAACAGATAAGGTTCAACTCTCGAGCGAGCGGTGGCGAGGAGAGCGAGAGCAGAACTTGCCGAATACGAAATTTATGACGGGGGCGGTATATCTACACCCTGGAATGTCGGCCAGCGCGACGTCGGCCGAATGGAGAAACCGAAGCATCTGGAACGGGTTGGGGGTTGCATTTTGGAGCGTTTGAGCTTTTTGAAACGGGTCGAAGGAACAGAGATGGAGCATGACAACCAAAAAAGAAGGTATCAGTTTCGAGAAGCCAAGACGCGGTGAGCATCAAGGTGTAGATAGCGATGAGAGAGTAAGACATACACGAAAGATACCCATAAAAGTTGTGCACGAAGTCGTCCGAGAACCCGTCGTTATCCCCTCCCTCGACAGTCACGTGAACTTCTAAATCTTTTCCCGTCTCCGGGTCGTTCCAGAACGTGTGCTTCACATAGGTAGGGATCCTGATGGACTGTCCCGGTTGCAAACGACCGAATTTGCCGTCAATCTTGTAGCAAAGGGTACCAGAGAGCACGTGGAAGGTTTCGGTCTGGTAGTAGTGGTAGTGGTAAGGTGGAGTCGCAGTAGATTGGGGTCCATTGCCCTATCGAAAGGTCAAGAGGATTCGTGATCGCACGCGGAAGGAAAGAGGGTGCGAAAGACGACCCGATCAGCGCTCATCTCGTGCTCAATGATCAAGACAACGAGAGCTGAAACGCCCGCTCACAGTGTGCGGACTACCGGCCTTGAACAACTGCCTGCTTGTAAACTTGCCCGGTTCATCGTTAGGCACGTTCCAGGTCTTGAAATCCCCGCCAAAATAAGAGTGGGACCCATCTTCCGGGTCGTAGACGGGAGGGACAAATTTGGGCTTTGATGCGTAGCAGCATAGTCAGCGATCGATGTCTGGAGACATGCTGGGGACCTTCGCTGGGTCGAGGTGGGACAATCTTACGTGCGGGAAGAGGAAGGAGAGGGCCATCACGAGTCGCCGGCGAAGGTCTATAATATCAGGAAAAGTAGAAAGCAGAACGGTGCACGATATCGCTGACGTCCACCGATTCAAGAGCTGATGGTCATCAGGTAACGACCAGAGGGCGTGTATATACCTTGATCTATATCTAACTATCAAGGATTCCCAAACCATAAATGTCATTGATAAGAAATACAATCGGGCCCAACCTCTGCGGCGCACGCGCGTGTTCCGTGAGATCCGGCCGATGTTTCGCGCCAAAGGCCGGATCAGATTGCTATCAGTGCGCGGCGCATGATCCCGCTGCTCGTCTGTTTCGCCTCGGCGGGTTGTGCCATGTCTTCTCTATACTGCTACCTATGGCCGCCATAACCGAATGGGCTGCATTGTCCAAGCGCTTGTCTGCTTGTCAGCCCGATCAATCGAACTAAAGGGCGTGTAGGTTCGATAGCCGTTCACAGGACGGGAGGACCTCACGCTGGATGTCGTTCAATATGAGTCAGCAGTGTGAATGGTATGTGAAAGCACCATACATGATAGTATCCAGCCTAAATATGGTTTGTATACGGTACGGGAGTGTGAAGTTGGATCTTCCTGAGCGGGTCGAGTCGAAGCGAGAGTCTCGGGGATTATAGCGGCAGTCTGTAACGCAGAGCTCTCGCAGCCCCGGCGGAACGCAACGATGCTATCTGTCAACCTTCGATTCGGCAGATGACCACGGATGAGACCTTTACATATCGATCGAAAGACCACGATCACAAGTTCTTCCTCGAGCATGCGCAATCTTTGGGTCAATATAAAGGGAACTTCCTGATCAATCTTGTTCTCTCGCTGCAAAGCCTCTGAATTCTTCTACAACCTCTAAAACCGACACTACTACTCTCTCCTTCTGCTCTATAGAACCAGTCTCAATGTACGTAACGGAAATCGGGATGGTGGAAACCCAACTCCTCCTGGTGCTCCTGTTGGTAGCGATAATCTCGTCCACCTCGATCCCGGAGCCGATTTTCGTAGCGTTGGTAAGCCATCAGTGCCAAGCTGACGATGATGACCGATGCCCCGGTGCAGCAGTTGAGATAGTTGCCGATCTTGTACCCCGTAGGGGCGTCCGAAGGGATGTATGACCAGCTGCGGACGAGGCGATCAATACAAAGAAAGCGTGCGTGGAGATCCAAAAATCTGGACGTACGTCGCGGCGATCGAACCGATACAACCGAGTCCGGTAGTCACGGCGCTCGTCATGGCTCGTACAGTATCTGGAGCAGCGTTCGAGGCGGCCCAACCGATGACGATGGGCTGTGAAAGGTGGTTGTGAAATAAGTTCACGCCCCTAATGCCGTTCTGACACGCGCGCGCGCGACTGAAACCCACTCCGTAGATGAAACCCGAGGTGGTATTGAGAAAGATGGCAAAGTATCGAACCTTGATGGCGCTAGAGTTGGTCCCAGCCCATACTGACAAGACAACGAATGGTAGCCAGTGATTAGTTGCCCATATTGTTATTATAGGAAAGACAACGGCTATTTCCCCAGCGCCCGTACTCACTACCGTATCCGATGACGGAAAGCGAAGCCCCAAAGATTGTGACGTAACCGTGAGACCTGGTCCTCATCGCTACATAGCATGCTGTGAGGGCAACGACGGCGGCCACGATGGCAGGCGCGGCAGAGAGGAGTTGGATCTTGACAGTGGTAGAGCCCGGGTAATTGAGGCGAAGGATGGTGGGCGTAAAAATGCTCAATCTGGCGTTAGGGCAAGGCAGAGGGTTAGCAGAGGAAACAATGACGAGTAGAATGCGAAGCCGGGCATCGTGTACTTGCCCCTGAACGGTGATATTGTCACAGATGTACATGTATGTGCAAGCCATCGTGTTGACGTTGAAGAACGCCTTGAAAATCAACCTCGAACTCGTTCTTTCCTTGACGCGACTACCGCTCGGGCCTTCAGCGGCGAGACGTTTCAAGGCAATCTCACGCTCGGGTTCAGTGAGCATCTTGGTCGTAGAGATGTCGCTGGGGAACACCCATATCATGACGCTGAAGGCGAGAAATAGCATTAATGAGGATGACGATGGGAACTGTTCGCGGCAAGATAACTTTTCACTGACATTCCGAAACCGATCGTCATCAACCCTTCGACCACTGTACAGTACGACAGGTCAGCCGAATGATCTGTCGGCACGGATTGAAGAAAGGGAGAAGGAAGAAAACTTGCGAAAGATGGTACGCCAAGACTTGACGCTACCGATGTTGCCAACCGATAGCAAACCAGACGACAACAAGCCGCCGACTGAGAAGGTGTTCCTAACTTTAGCCGCTGTGGAGTGTTCGTACGCCAGCTCAACTCACAGGCTTGGGCCAATCCGGCGGCGCTCAGCATGAAGAAACCGATCCTCGCCGTCAATTCGGTCCGACGGTAGTACTACCAAAGTCAAAGCGAATCGGTAGGGTTAAGCGTTCATCGGTCGCAGTAGTACCAGCAGCTTGAACTCACGCGAGACAAGAGGTAAGCCAAACCTGGCATAGTCGCGGCCTCTCCGAGTCCCAATAGACAACGAATAGCAAAGAAGCTCGCTCGATTGTTCAGCCACGCGGTGACGAGCGTGATGGTCCCGAAGAAAGTGATCATGATTGGAACAAAGATGAAGCCGAATCTCTGAAGGACGTGACGAGAATGCGGTTCAGCCAGGGTTTCGATGTCGAGCAAACGACCAGCCGAAGAGATTCTACCTTGATCACCAAAGAGAAGGGAACTTCGGCTACCATGTACATGACATAAAAGAGACACGCTCCGATGTTGAAGTCGTATCCAGTCAGGCCGAGGTCTTTCTCGAGACCAGCGACCCTGGCGTTGCCTGCGAGAATCCACGGCAACCATCAAACCGATGAACATGTTCGTGCAAGAACGCCTGATACTCACCAATGTTGCTTCGGTCGAGAAAGAGGAGAAAGTAGGCGAATCCAGCCATCGGCAAGATCCGTAGGTCTAGCTTGCGGACGAGGGATTTTTCAATGGCGCTCGCGTTCGAGTCGATCTCGACCGGGCTGGTCGGGTCTCCGCATTCTGTCGGAGCGGCCTCGAGCACATAGGCGGTAGCTACGGAGCCTGGCGTAAAGCCCTCTTTCTCCTTAGATAGTGGTTCGATTGACATGATTGCGAGCGAGCGATAGGGGTGATTCGATCTGAGGGACGGATCGTGCGATAATCGGTGGTCGGGAGATATTTCTTTGACATTTTATATTGTTTGTTCAGCTAGACTTAGCCATCAGCCAGATCCGTCTACCCGCGCAGCTGGATCGAACCGCCTAGGGCTATCGCCACCGAAGTTGATGATATGGCTTGCGTGATACTCCTGACAATCGAGACGCCGGTGGTGTGTCGTCCGTCGAGCTATCTCTTTATCTTATCGCCAGACGGACGGATCTCGATCAAACTTTCCAAGAGACGGACGGATCCCGTTCAGTGATCTGTTGAAACAAAAGAAAATCATATTGGCACGTTGGGAAGGACACGGTTCACGCGCCGCGCCGTCGATTTTCATTCCTTATCAGGGTACAAGAGAGGGCTTGCCGAGCGAGAGAACGGGCGATTTCGTCTGACTGTGCGTCTGTGAGTCACCTATCGTATGCTGGTTCTCGACGCAAGTGGTGCTCATGGACAATTGTATGTTATCCTCTCCCTTGATGAAGTGTTGAATCGCCAAGCGCGAGCATATGCCGAGCGTTGGTATCTTTCGAATCATGAGTTGACAACGTCAGTATCGCGACTTTGCAGCGAAGGTCCTGCAGAATGAGACTCAGATGGCGGATGTCGACGGACGGTCCATTCAAGGTCTGCAATCCCTGACTCTGTAGAAAACACCACAATATTCACTTGTCATCAATAGTTGGGTCGGAACCTCGCTGGATGTGAGACGGTCGCTGAGAGAGAACTGATGGCGTGATACTTAAAAGAGTGATAGAGTTCGGGCGTTCGAGATTCATCTGCATATATATCCAAGTCGTACATTTCAGGTCTACAGTCGCTTCTAGTGCTTGCGATGAGAAGGAACGAGCTCATCCAGATGAGCTACCATGTCGTACCCATTGATCTCTTCAATCGTCAGCCGTTTGTGTCCCGGAATCGGTTTGGGGGCACCACGAGAGACTGAGCCGGGCTAGAAATCGACGGACCATTAGAGAGAGTCAAGCTTTGAATGAAGGACGACGGCCTCTCGCGCTTCTGCTTCCACTTACCAGGGAACTGAACCCGATTCTCTCTCGGATGTCTTCAGTGGCCAATCGACTACAGAGCGCGACACGATCGGCTCGAGGCTTTCGAATCGATTCGTACATTTTCAGCCCCTCTTCGATATTACCGGTGTAGTTGTATCTACGAGAAAAGATTAGCCCCAGTGCTGCAGCGTCTTCGATCCCTTGACAAGCGCCTCTGAAGTGATTCTCTGGTCAGCGATCGTGCTCTGCCCCCGAACGCTTCACGTGACTATCAACGGCCTGGGCTCACTGGCTCTGATGGGGAAACATGGCATGACAGGCATCACCCAATAACCCCGTTCTTCCCTGGGTCCAGCCGGTCAACGGCGTATGCTCGTATAGTCTCCAGGGTTTCCGATCGATACTGGAGTTTAGCATGCGGAGGCAATCGGGGTCGAGTTGCGAAAAGGGAGAGACGAGATCCTCAACCGAGACGTCTTGAACGTTGAAACCTTCTTTCGAGGTGGTGGAGAGTTCCGACTGGGAGAAAGAAGTGGAGGAGGTCAGTCGGAAGTTTCCTGTGGCGGAGGCTGAACGTCGGACTTGCGGGATAGAAACAGTAAAAGGAGATCAATTTGCCGCCGTTGCACGGGGCCATGACGATCTTGTTGTACTTGTTGACGTCGTCCGTCTCGAATCCTCCCCAGAATTGGATGGCAGGGCTGCGAAGAGGTAGAGACATATCATCAGAAGATTGCTCGAGCGCGCTATGGTGAGATATCAAGGATCAAATTGCTCACTCTGCGTATCGTTCCAAACCCATCTCTTGCAGCTGATCGAGCCGCACGTTGCATCGATAACACGTAGAGGCGGCCAGCTTGATCGTGGGTTCGAGATCCATCAACGCTCGGGTCTTGGACTGAGGTACAAGACGAAGACGTGAGCAACAGACATCTGAGTGAGATGAAGATACAGAAAGGCAACCGCCACGACTCACGACGACGCCATCCGCTCCGATGATCAGGTCCGCCGTGACCCGAAGACCGTTCTCAAATTCGATTTCGCCGCGATCGAAATCGATCGAACGGGCCGAATGAAGGATCTTGAGGGTGGATGGAGGACCTTGTCCGGCGGTTTGGGTGGCGGTAGTGATCATCATCCGAAGCATATCTTGTCGATGGCTGAGAGGGGTGTGAGCGACCGTGGATCAGCGCCGAAAACGGGATGGACATCGAACCCGGGTCTGTAGCTCGCGCGAGGCGTGATACTGACAACATATAATAAGGAAAACCCCATTTCTGTTCATAAGCCGACATGTCATAAATCATGTCGACGGCGCCGGTCTTGTAATCCCTCATGACGAGTTTCTGGAGGTCGATAGGGTAACCCGAATCGATGTCGACGCCCCATTCGTGAAGCCATTGACCTCCGTCTGACAAGCGCGCGCCATCGCGCGAGAGCATGAACATCAGTTTCGAGCAATGTAGGTTCGAAAGGCGTCCCGACCTCACTCTTGGCACACGAAATACTGTTCCCGACCTCCGCCGCGATATCCCGTTTCTCGTACACCGTGACCCGATGACCCTGACGACGAAGCGAGATGGCAGCTGCGAACCCACCGAGACCTCCGCCAATGATGGCGGCGTCTTGAACAAGTTTGAGGATTGAATGTCAGGCATCGTGATGGGATTCGAAGCGTCCGAGTGATGTCGCAAAAGTCCCAAACTACTGGGATACCTTGGAATTGGTGTTAATGATAGCTCACGATCTCTGTCTTGCACGGAGACGTCTCGGTGTAGATTATATCGGATCGCTACAAGCTCTTGTCTCGGCGCGCTCGACTGTCGTGCCGAGAGGTCGAATGACGGGGGTGGGCATTGTTGATAACCCGGCAAGACGGCCGGCACTTGGTGAGATGACGGCCGCGTTATCTTTTCCGACCATGTTGCTGCCAAGCGATTTAAGTTGTCTATCTACGATGGAGACGTGAACGGCATGACCAGATAAGATATAATCTCTCATCTCGCGGATGAGATCCGATCCGTCTGTCTGGAATGGCGCGCGCGCGTCTTTTGTTGTTTCGAATGGGCCCGGCGCCCCGTCAAGCGACCCCAATTCGATTGCCGATAGCGATATCGCAGGTTTTGATCGACTCGAGGGTTGAAGGTGCCTCTCTTTCCCTGATCAAATACTCGAGGCGAGACGAGACCTGTGTCGAATGATCTTCGGACGGAAGCTCTGGCATCGAGCTACAACCGTCCACCATCTCGCTTCGTTGTCCCGATGACAATCGCTTCTGTACCGCGAGGAACGACGATCATGTCAAACGGTTCCATTACAGACGGACATCAAACCCGCCTCTTGCCAACAAACATGATCGTTGACGTCCTGGTCGTTGGAGCTGGACCTGTCGGGTTGCTCTGTGCTTACCAGCTGGCCAAATTTTCAAAGGGCGAAATTAGGGTCGTCATCATTGGTGATTATCGTCTGCGATCCTCGTCATTCTATCAGTATCCAAGTCAATTGGAACAAACGCTCACCAGACGCGACTCACTTCCGGACACAGACAAGGACGATAAACGGGATGCTCCCGTTTACGGACGAGCATGCACGTTGTTGCCTCGAACTTTAGAACTCTGGGACCAGCTAGGTGTGCTGGACGAGGTTTTGAATCAAGGCGTGGTCACGAAGACCGGTTTCAACTTCGAAGGGTAAGCAAGAGACTGGTTCGCGCGATGATGAGAAGCGATCGAACTGGACGATGTTGTATCCGCAGTGGAAAAATCGTCTCTGGCGGGTTGTCATTCTTGCATCGAATGGATAAACACGGAGATACCATGTTCAACTTTGCGTAGGTCTATACGTCTGCGTCCGCCCACGGCGTTCCTGTCGGATTGACGACCTCTTGTGCTTCGATCCAAGCCTTCATTTGCGCCAACGCCTGATCGAACGGATCTTCGAAGAAGAGCTCGAACGGACTGCCAATATGGGGGTTTACGGGGATTACGAGCTTGAAGGTTTTGCGGACGAGAGTATGGGTGAGAGTGAGGCTGGTAGCTTGTCGTCAAACGAGGACCATCCGGTCACCGCGAGGGTAAGGAATGGGTCGACAGGCGAGGTATCGACGATCCAGGCGTGCGTACAGTTTCTGTCTTCTTCTCTTCCTTTTCCGCCGGTCGATCAATAGCCTCCACTGAACCACACGATCGTCATCGTCTTCATCCTCGTCATCGTAATACCCCGCAGGAAATACATCATCGGAGCTGACGGAGGCAAGTCCAAAGTGCGGAAGACCGCTGGGATCGCGTTCCAAGGCAACAACTCGGGAGCCAAGTGGATCCGTATGGATGTACGTCAGGCCGTTCCAGTCGAGGCCTTCCATAGTGCGGGTCGAACGAGAAATATCACGTTGCTCAGGATTCCCCTCGCTTCTCGCACAGGCCTTGATCAAGACCAACATGCCATCGCCGCGTTCCCTCAACTCGGTCCAATCGGCCGATCACGGGTTATTGTTATGGTGTCCGATCGATGGAGGAAGGACCAGGATCGGATACGTCTTTTCCGAAAAGCTTCAACGGAAGTGGGGCACCGTGGATGGACAGAACGTTTCAGAGGAAGCGATCATGGAGGAAGCGAGGAAGGCTATGGAACCGTTTACGCTCGAGTTTGAAAAGGTCGATTGGTTTACCATCTATGTAGGTGATACGGTAGCGTTGTGGACGTTCGTGATCGCAACATTTCGCGCCGTCGAACGCTGAGAGATTGGATGATGCGTTGCGATTGCAGGGCATCGGACAGCGTATGGCAGAACGGTTCATCAAGGGGAGAGTGATTTTGGCAGGGTGAATGATTGAATCAGGTCGAGTGACGAAATCTCACGAGACGAAAACTTACTCTATCGGAAATCTCTCGATTTTGCTCTCCTCTGCCCGCCGCCTCTCCCCTATCTCGTTCCCCAGCGACGCTTGCCACACCCATTCTAGTGGCTCCGCTCAAGGTCTCAACACCGGTTCTCACGATGCCATCAACCTCGCCTGGAAACTCTCCATGGTGCTCCGAGACCAGGCGAAACCCGAGTTGTTGGAAACGTACGCGAGGGAACGACAGGCGTTGGTCAAGAACGTCATCGACAACGACACGGTGATCGCCACGTTGATCGGGGGGCAATATCCTAGAGGTTACGAGACTCGGGCCGGATCCCATTCGACCAAGCAGTTATTGAAGGAGTGGTTTGAGAGCGCCGCCAACCAGGGGTTCACTTTGGGACTGGGGATCAAATACGGTAGGTGGCCAGCGCCCCGCCCGTGAACCTCCCTAGGTCTAGAGCGATGATCCTGATCCTGATTCTATCCGCCTCGATATAGCTCCGGACTCGCTGGTCAACGTCGTTCACGCAGAACGTATCCCACCATCCACCATCGGGCCGGGTGAACGAGGACCAGATGCCACGCTCCATCGGATCGGGACCGGGGAAGAACGTCGCTTGCTAAGTGTGCTGCCCAACGATGGCCGGTTCAACGTGGTCGTGTTTACCGGCAAGACCTACTTGACCGGGCCATCGCTCGTCGCACTCGGCAAAGCCTTGGACGCCTCGCTCTTATCGTCGTCGTCGTCGTCGTCGTCGTCCTCGTCGTGGTCTGACAAGGTCCGTTCGGTGGTGACCATGACGACGGTGATCCTGGGAGAAGCGGCAGGAGCCGCCGAGGTCATGGGCTGTGATCCGTTCGGGACCGGCTATCTCGATACGACGAGAAGAGCGCACGATGCGTACGGGATAGATGATGCGAAGGGTGCCGTATTACTATTGAGACCCGATGGTTACTTGGCGCTCGCTATGGACATCTCGACGGCGGCAGGGGATCTGAGCGAGTACTTTGCGAGATTGTTGGTAGGATGAAATTGCGATCGTTGCGGTCGTCGTCGTCGTCGTTCCTCGCGGGTCGTTGTGGTAGTGGTAATAGTAGTGATCACCTATAGACAAACTAGTGTGTAGCTGGTAGCTGGTTGTTATAGAGCGCCCTTTGTAGCAACGCGTTTTCGTGGAGAATAACGCTTCCTCGACGCGAAGCATGGAGAATAATAAGCCATTGGAGGTAAAAACTGGGGAAAACTAACTAGCTTTTGATACTGAGAACATCAAAAACAAAAATAATCTACCCTTGTACGGTCCCTACCCTGTCAGGCCTGTAAGCCTATGTAGCCTATGTACCCTGTACTATCGACTTTGAAGTCTATCTTGATAGCCTATCTGCATCTTATCGTCACTACGTTCCTCTACCGTCTTAGCATAGCAAAAATGAACCCCCTCGCCAACCTCGATGAAGCTACTCAGAAGCGATTGTTTGAACATATGGCAGGTTTCTTTCTCTCTCAACCGGCGACATCTGCACCTCCCCCAAACCCACCTCCTGCTCCTGCTCCTCCTCCATCGGCAACCATCGTCTCTATCCCACCACCCTATATTGCTCCGCCTGCTGCTGTATCTTCGTATTCGAGCCAACATGCATCCACGTCGTCCAGCAGCCAACCCTATTTGCAATCACCCGTGCAAGGTCCCCGTGACATTAGGGCAATGTTAGATGCTCAGCATGGGGTACCATATGGTCGGGAGAGTGTACCGAATCATTCTGGCGTTGGATCCATTCATCATCATGCAGGTGGGAGGATTCAAGTCAGGGGACATCCGTTGCAAAGACAGCAGAAGAAACCGAACAAGATCGGTAGGCCTGTTAGCATTGTCTCAACCGGCAAGGTAAGTTTAACCCCCGCAAGGCTCCCCCTGACCCCAGCTCCCCTACATAACACTGACGACAGCGATTCAGGTTGCTTACATCCCGTGTGGGTCTCTGATAAGGAACCAACTTGCTATCACCGCCCCGGGCAAGACACGATGGGCACCTTTGATCGAATTCCTGGAGATACAAGGCTATATGCGGACGTTTCAACTTGAAGACAACATGTCGACACAAGATATAGCGGCACATATCGAGAAGACGTTCCAACGTAGCCCAAGACTCCCCATCCCATTCCCAGCTGTATGGTCGTGGGCGAAACTCTCCGGCAGTTCACACATCTTCCATCCTCATTACGTCTGGAACCCATGGCAAACGAACCTCTCCAAGTTGAAGACGGAGTTTAAGGGTAGCAATATCGCCTTCGTATTTCCCCAAACATGGCCACTGGAGATCCACGACAACCAGCACTTCCGAGCCGATCTAGCCCTGGCGATACACCGTGACCCTCTCACCTGGGAACACATCTCCGATACCTCCAAGAAAGGCAAAGGAAAACAGCGGGCTGCATCGGTGGTGGAGTTGGAGGATGTAGCCGAGGATGTCGTTCAGGAAAGTGATGGTATGCAGGAATGCAAGCACTGTAACCTGGTGCTCCCTGCTGAGCGAATGGTTCCCCACTGGAACACTTGCCCGGGTTACCGGGATGAACATATGGTTGAAGAGGAAGAGACTCAAACGGCAGATGAAGCAGACGGTGAAGAAGAGGATCGGATGGACGGGATTGTTAACCAGCTGGAAGACAACTTTATCAACTGGAGTGGCACGGAGGATGAGCAGGTTGTTACGGTTCCCGAGATCGCTGGTGTCGTTGATCCTATCATGCGTGAGTGTATTGCGTACAACTTTGAAGACTTCAATAGCTCAAGTCCACACACAGATACAGGCAGTACCCTCGTCAATCCCCCTCCGTCGCCGGTACCCCATCAGGTCACCCTCAGCAAATCCTCTATCTCCTCTTCAGCAGATCTCAAACCCATCATGCCCGAGGACAAATTCATGGCGCTATGTCAGACCCAGCTGGAAGCATGGGGTGCTAGTCATTTCAGACGCATCATCGATGATGTATTCCAGACGAGACGGCGGTTAAGAAGATCCTCGTCGATGGTCGGAGATACATCGAACGACACGGTTGGTCCCCACGATTCTGCCAGTCAGGTCACTGCCCGCTCTAGCCCTCCCAGAAGGAACCCAGACGCCATCAAGATCCCTGTCCCTCGAATTGTGTTCAGGGTGAAACGACCGGCCGAGCTCTCTGATCCCCTTGAGACTACCTTAACAGCACAAGAATCACCGGAGGCTGAGGGAGGGATTGTACCTGCTGCGTCTGAGGAGAACAACGAACCTGGAAAACTTGACATCGGAGACGCACGACCTGTAAAGCGAGCTCGTAAGGCTAAGCCAGTATTCACAGGTCCGCCACGACGTACGACTAGAGTTGTTCAGGCTCCCAAACGTGTACCTTAGTCTAGCTTCATGACAACTCGTAAAATGATATGGTATTAAAAAGAAGATAACAAAATCGAATACAAACACCACATCTAACCAGCACCGGGACCGGGAGGACGCCCAAAGTTCCCCGCTCCAAAACCGTACGGGTTGTAGCCGTAAGGCCCAGGGGGGAACCCCCACCCTGCCCAGGGGTTGGGAGCGTTGGCAGCGGTGTTGCTGCTGGTCGAGTCGGGCGAGACCGGGGGCTCGGCGGGGGCGGTGGAGGCGGCGGCGGCTCGGGCCAGGTCGAGGTTGGTCGGCTTCTTCTCCTTGACCGACTTCGCATTTCCCGAGCTGAAAGGCTTCTGAGTGAAGCAGCACTCGCCATCTCTCCACCTCCAGATACACCTCACGCAATGTCCCGGCTGGTCGGGGACCACCACGCAGACGTTGTACCGCACGTCCATCTGCTTCCCGAGAGGGGTCGTCTGCTTCCCGGGCTTGGTCTTGCCAGTGCAGCAGTTGCACATGGCATCACCCATCAACTGGATGGAATCCTCCCTTATGAGGAGGGCCTCGGCATCCTGTTGTAGGCGTATACACAAACACAAAACGTAAGTAACCTGTCAAGGTGATATGGTTGAGGTAAATCCTATTCGACTTACCACCGCTCGCTGCCAGGTATCAGCCGTCATCCACGCCGGCTGGGTCTCCGGGAGTTCGAACACGTCCCCCCTCTTCACTCCCCGCATCGACCGACGCTTGGCGGGAGAGGTGAAACCCGTCCCGGTCACCTCAACCTCGTCCTCCTCCTCCTCCTCGACCGGCGCACGGGATCTCTTCTTCCCCTTGCCCGTACCACTTCCACTCGCCTCACCACTCCCACTTGCTCCTCCCGAAGCCTGCAAGGCTTTCATCATCGGGATGAAGCTTGCCATTTGAGCGGAGAGAGCCGCTATCTGCTCTATCTGGCCCTGAGCAGGGGTGGTGTCGACGGCAGGGGTCGGCTGAGGGGTGGGGGGGGTGGGGCGGGGGGGGACGGGTCGGCGAGGGTTTGCTGTAGGACATCATATCCGATCATCAGTATGTGCCAACCCCGAAGAACTCTGACAAGCTACTCACCTGCGTCGAACCTTTTGAGAGCCTCCCTGATCATCCCCCGGCTCTCAGGGTCTGCGATGAGGCTGTCAATCCTCTCCCGCTATCAAGAATATCGAACGTACGAGTGAGTATCCGAGAGTGAATAGGATAGCGAGGCTACATACCAGGATCGCCAACCTCTCATCCTCCTTCCTCTGGGCTTCTTCGGCCTCCTTCCGTAGCCTCTCCGCTTCCTTCGCCTGGTCCTGGGCGAAGACATCTGTTGTTATGATATATCAGTAAGTCATGATCGGGATATAATCATCTTGTCCGATGCAAAGACTTACTTCCCAGCCGCTGAAAGTACAGCAGCTTAGTCTCTTGTGGCTGCGTCAGCAACCAGGTTTCCAACGCTAGAAAGGAGAAGAACAGTTAGGACAATTTGATACTCAAAGGTACACAACTGCTTACGCATTCCCTCCGGGGGCATAGGAAGGCCCACCGGTTCCGGGGTGATACTCCGGGATGCTGGTTTCTCGCCGTTCGTCATGAGTGATGGGATATGATCGAAGTTGATAAAGGTAAGTGAATGAAGCTGAACGTGATTGCAAGTAAAGATGAAGGATTCGACGTTCTTGATCAACAACAACTATATACGGTAGCTGGCCTGCTGGCCTACGCTGCTAGCCTTCCTAGCCTACCAGGCCTACCAGGCCAGAGAGCGTCATCGAAGAACAAAGAACAAACAACAAACGACAACCTTCCTTTGGGTTCCTTGTTTGATCGGCCAATCAGCGCAGGCGAAGAATATGCTAGAACTATCGATATAGCAGTATACTACAACACATTCAGGGTGTACTAGGCAGAGCGAAGCCTGGGTTTGATCGAACAGAATCATACACCCACTGTCGAACAGCAAGGTAGCGTAAGGTATCAAACAACCCATCTTCACCCTCATCAAGTTCGTGCGATGTTTGTATGGGAAACGCTTCCGCCAAGGCCTTTCGGAACCCCTCGTCCTGTAGTAGAGGGGGTAACATCTCGTGATATCGCTCAACTTGCACATAAGGGTCTGTATCTTGCGCCGGTCGGTTTTGGTCCTCCCGTTGTTGTTCCGAAGGCCAAGTTGTCACTTTCGTCGTGTGCCGACCTGGCTCTACGTCTTCTTCATCACCCGACAAACATTCGTCGATCACACCTTCGTCGTCAATGACTGCGTCGTTGGGGAAAAGGTCAAGGTCCATCCCCCTCGCTTGAGCTTTGAGATTCCCGTCCAGCCACTTCTTGTAGGGACTCCACCCTCGTTCACCCTTGGTTGTGCTGCCGTGGCTGTTGTGGGCAACGATATGGGTGGAGATTGTCCGGTTGATAAGAGGAAGGAAGCAATAGTGCAGGCAGAAGATATCGACTGGCTCGTCAACATCAAGATCGTGTTGTTCTTCCAGTTGTGCAAAGGTCCGGGCATACTTCTGGGTAAAGCGTTCGCCTATAGTCTTCCAGTGCCGCTCGATGGGGGTGTTACTCGTAGACTTTCCACGGATGAAGGGAGCCTTCACAGTATCTGTTACCTAGGGATCAGTATCATATGTTGCAAGGCTTGTATGTATACCACTTACGACGAATAGCGACCATTTGTTCCCAGATCCCGTTGTTCTCCTTTCCGTAATCCACCCTGACCCGTTGAGGCCATCCCCATCTCTCCGCTGCTTCAAGGAACGACCTCTCCACCGTCTCCGCCCTGTTGTTGTCGCTGGCAGCCATGAACACACAGACTCGGCTGTAGCCATCGATTCCACCGTGTATCACAAATTTCCAGCGAATGAGTTTATGTTGGCCGTCGATATGCCATAGCGAGTTGGGGAAGGGAACCTTGTAAACCCTTCGCTGACGAACTACCGCCCGACGTAGCCGGTGAGCACCGGGATCAAGCTCTTGGAGGAGTATCCGAACCTGCTTCCTGGTAACTGTTACACCCTGTCCTTGAAGCCAACCGAGAACGGTACGATAGCCCACCATGACCTGATCGTTCTGGCGGAGGTAGTAGCGGACCAGCTGCAACGGGCAACAACAACAGCAACACCCTTCAACCTTTGTATACGGATCGGTACGAACGATGTATATTGATCGCTCACTTCTATCAAATCCTCTTCTGTGTAGCGATGCTTCTGTTGACGTTTCGGTTGTGAGCCCAGGGCTGCCCGTCTTCGTCGAACGGTCCATCGCGAGCATCCTAGATGTTTCCCGATTTCAACATCGGTAAAACCGTTCTTGTCCAGGTGTTGTAGTAGGACGGTATTGACATCAAGCGACCAGCCTCGAGCGGAAGGGACGATCCGCCTTGCTTGGTGAGGAGTGTGGCCATGCAGCAGTGACTGGTGACATGCCGCTAATTGATCTCGGTATGATCTGGTACCCTGGAGGTGGTTGTTGTACTCCTGCATCGGCAACTTGCCCTTGACCTCCTGCGTAAGAAAGTATATAAGATCATCTAGACTGTGGAGGAGCAGCGGTATGTTGCTGGGGTCTCGTTGGTCGGCAGATTGATCAAGGAAAGCAGCGACGGGGGTGTGCAGGTCAGCAACGTAGCTTGCTATCGCTGCTTGAAGGAGTGTAAGGGCACGATCTTCTTCCATTGTGATTGCGAATAGTGTTATTGGATGAAGTGAATGATGCAATAGGCTTCTGAAGGGAGTACAGTGTACAAGTTGTCGACTTCTAGGGAACTTAGGGGTAACAGGGATAAAGGCTACAGACCGTACAAGGGTAGATTATCTTTATTTTTGATGTTCTCAGTATCAAAAGCTACTTAGTTTTCCCCAGTTTTTACCTCCAATGGCTCTTTATTCTCCGTGCTTCGGTCGAAGTTGTTATTGTGTCGCGCGCGCGAGCGATTTTGATTATTCTTCAGAAATCGACCGTTGCTACAAACGGCCCGGTATAGGTTGTTGTATACGTCGAAAGTCCAACGCGTTGCTCTTGGCCTTTGGTGATATGCGGATGGACCGATGACGGCGGATTTCCTTTGGAGATCTGTGCTCCACCGTACGATTGCTTATCAAGGCCCTTGGGGGGAAAGGTTCTGCGTCTTATCGTTCCGATCGAGATAAGAGGCGAAGGGACCGGTCGCATCGACTACATATATCTGCGAGGTGCCCTGACCTGCACGACGGGACGACCAACTCGGACGTTGCGCTCCCGTCACGCTCGACACTCTCAGATACGACAACCAATTAACCAAACATGTCGCCGCCGCCGCTAGAGTACGTCTTCAAACGAGTCGGAGAGCTCGAGATCGTTCTCGATGTCTACCTACCAACTGGGGCGACCGCGGACGATCCGGCGAGCGTCTGCGTTTGGTGGCACGGCGGTGGATGTGAGTCGACGGGCCTCGGTGACGAGACGTGAATCTCTCTTTCGAGATCCGATGGCTGATGCTCAACTTCATTACTTGACAGTGTTCCAGGTTGGTATGGGCTGAGTGAAGAGCACGTTGGACAGGGTCAGGGGCTGACCAGACGATGTATACGATCCTCGATGTTTGATCGTCACCTACTCGTACCAGGGAACGAGGAAAGGTGCGTCTTCTCGGAACCCTCTTCTCTGGAAACCACGTTCGCACGTCCTCGATTACTCGCACTCGCCCCGCCCATCGTACTGACCACAATGCAATGCGTACCGTCGCTCCCCGTCCGCAGCTTGTCCACCGAATATGGAACTCCTACCCACTCGTTCCAACATCGCCTTCATCTCGGCCGACTACCGGCTCGCTCCACAGAGCAACATCCACCTCATCCTCGAGGACACGGTCGACGCGATCGATTTCATCAGACGAGAACTGCCAGGGAGACTCGAAGGCAAGATCGACCCGACCAAGTTGGCGGTCTCGGGAGGCAGTGCGGGCGGGTGGTTGGCCTTGTTGGCAGGGATTCCGACAAAGGGGCAGCCAGGAGCCGTCGTCGACCCGCCCGTCACTTGTATCGCGAGCATCTACCCGATCACGGATGTGGACACGGCGTTTTACACGACAAAGCAGAGGCCGGTGTCGTACTGGCCAAAGGGAATGTGAGTGACGACTGTGGTCTGAAGGGCGAGCTTTCGGTCGGTACCAAGAATCCTCCGGAGAGCTAATTTCGACCGCACCTCCGTGTACTCGATACATGAACACGATCTCGTGATGATAGTATCCCCGACGACCAGGCCGCTCCACACATCGATCCTTCCGATCCTGAACTTTGCAGTTCTTCCACGACCTCGTCTCGATCCATCGTCTACCACTATGCGTTACAAGAAGCGCTCTGGCATCACCTCTGGCTCGTCAACGCCCCCACACAGTCCCCCGGTGCGTCTACGGACCCGCGGTCGTTCAACGTCGGCGAGAGGCTGGAGATGGCCAAGAGGGACGGCGTCGAGGTGCCTCCTCTTTTCTTGACGAGTGGGACGGCGGACGACAAGGTGGATCCCGCCGGGGCGGAGAGGTTGGCGAGCCGGTTGAAGAGCTTGGGGTGTGATTATGTGTGGGACGAGAGGCAGGGGTGTGATCATCTGTTTGATCAGGACGAGAGCGAGAGGATGGAGAGGATGCACGAGTTTTTGCAGAGGCATTTGTTGTAGCTCCGCGTATATTGATCACGATTTCACCGTCGTTGCGTCGTGGTTGTCGACTTGCCACAATCAGATGACGTCAAGCACGGGAGAGTTATAGGGAGGTCTTATACCTCATGGATCTTGCCATCCAGCTCATTCTACGGTTGAGCGCAATAGGTAATCTTTGGGCAAGGAGGGTATACCCATGGTTCACGGTCAGAGGGCGGTCGCGGTTAGAGGATGTTCACGCTGTGATCGGCAAGGCTTTGACGAGATGGTTCCCAATCACACTGGACCACATGTGAATGGAAGGGTGGATCACAAGGGAGAGGGAGAATGTAGGGAGGATCACGTGTGAGCGGGAAGGTGATCACGCATGATTGGGGGTTGATCACGCGTGATGTGAGGGCGATCACAAGTGATGAAGGGGACGATCACAGGTGACCTCAATGCCAATCACATGTGAACATCTATGCTTTGAGGACCATCACACATAACCGAGGGATGATCACAGTCGACTGAAATGACAATCACATGTGAATGTCTCCCGCTGACAAGTGAATGGCAGGGAATGCATAATGGATGGTAAGGCGATCATGCGTGATCGACTGAGAACTAATCTGATCAGGCGTGGTTGAAAGGCAGATCACATGTGCTTCTCAGACCAAGCACAATGCATGACCCAGGCGTTCATGCGTGATTGTCAGTGAACTTTCCAGACAGTGTGTGACTGTCATACTGATCACACGTGATCCACTGCTCAATCTCTGTGACTGGCAGATAGATCACATGTGATCAGCCGTGATACACTTGATTTAGGGGTGAATGTCAGGCTGGTCACATGTGATGCGCCGCCAGTCATGCGTGATTGGCCTGGTTGATCACGTGTGGTCAGCCGTGATAGACATATTGTTGCTGTGAATGGCATACCGGTCACATGTGATGCACCACCAGTCATGCGTGATTGGCCTTGTTGTTCACGTGTGGTCAGCCGTGACCTGCAAGTTGCTACTGCAAATGGCATGCCATGCACATGTGATAGACTGCCAAGCATGCGTGATCGGCCATGGGGATCACATGTGAACAGCTGAGATCTGCAGATTTCTACTGTGATTGGCATGCCTTGCACGCGTGATGCACCGCCAGTCACAAATGATCAGCCTTAAGGATCACACATGAATGACTGTGACCTGGAGGTTTTGAGTATAAATGGCATGCCATGCACGTGTGAACGTCAGACAGGTCACATGTGAACGGCCGTGATCCGTAAATTATTGCTGTGAACGGCATACCTTGCAGACATGATCCACCGCCAGCCTTACATGATTGGCACCGATGATCACTTGTGAACAGGTGTGATATGAAAGATTTCGCTGTGAATGGCATACCATGCATGTGTGATGCGCCACCAGTCACACGTGATTGGCTTTTTGGGTCACATGTGGCCAGCCGTGATGCGCAAATACCTGCTGTAAATGTCATGCCAACCACATTTGATGGTCAGATGGATCACAAGTGAACAGGCGTGATGCGCAAATCCCTGCTGTGACTGGCATGCCTTGTACATGTGATGCACAGCCCACCACACGTGATCAGGAGAAGCGATCACATGTGATCGGCCGTGATGCACAAATTTATGCTGTGAATGACATGCCATGCACGGGTGATAGTCAGATGCCTCACAGGTGAATGGCAGAGGGATCACATGTGATTGGCTGTGATGCGCACATTTCTGCTGTGAATATCATGCCAGGCACATGTGATACGCCGCCAGCCTTGCGTGATTGCTCTGGTTGATCACTTGTGAACAGTCGTGATCTGGAAATTTTTGATGTGACTGGTATCCCTTGCAGGTGTGATGCATCACCAGCCACGTGTGATCAGTGGAGACAACCACATGTGAACGGCCGTGATTTGCAGATGTCTGCTGTGAATGTCGCCCACGTCACATGTGGCTGTCAGGTCATGCACAAGTGATGAAGTGGATGATCACAATGATATCTGTGTGATAGTCAAGCTGATAGTATGATAGGCAAGACAGTCACATGTGATAGGAAGGATGATCACAAAAGGCGGGCAGGACCATCACACGTAAACGTGTGCCGGTTCACATGTGCTCTTCTGTGGTCGACAATCCAAAGCCATGCACCTTCAGACAACCACTTGTGATCATCTGATAATCACACGTGATTGGTCAACATGCACATGTGGTTGGCTTGCCTGTCAAACGTGAACGGCATCCGGTTCACATATGATTATCTGTGCTTTGCATCTTTCCCCCGTGAAATGAGAGACAATCAGTTGTGATCGTCATCTTCATCACATGTGATTGGGGTTGGGGATGTTGTGGGTGGCGGCTGATCACGATTGATTGTCGTACAGACCACGATGTTTGGGAGGAGGATCACATGTGATGGTCATGGCATGCATATGTGAAGAGAGCCATGAATGTCAAAAGCGCTGGAAGGGGGAACTTAACCCCGACAGAACAAGCGCAAGATGCGCATCCCAGACTTGTGCCCAGGTGGGAGCCGCATTCAGGCAGGGCCGACAGCTCGTTCAGATGCCAGACCAGCGAGCCCGACTTGTTCCACGTCCAGGACGTCGACGGAACACTTGGTACGATTCCCTTGGGGGGCAAGGGTCGAGCGTGTTTCCCTACAACCTGATGGTAGGAAGGCGATTTCAGTGTTGCACAACGATGTACCAACCTAGGAGAGTGTTAAGACCAAGTTGCAAGCTTGTTGCAGCGAGGGAAGCGGTCGTGTTTGAGTGAGATTGTCGAAACGTCGAGACCAGACTTGCAAAGGGGTTAGTGGTGATTGCGAGGGGACGAACAGGTTGTGAGCAGACAGCAATGTGTCGAGCTGTTGTTCAGAGATCCAACGTGATCGACAAAGCCGAAGCAACCAGCTCTGACCTTGCACCCACGTCCAATACTAAATTAGGGTTATAGGGCGGTCCGACCCCCGGGTATGAAACACACTTTTGAGAACCGCTCATCCCAACGCTCCCAGGGTTGTACCAATGGATAGAGGCACCTTTGAACAGTAGAAATGAACTATCCAATCCGTCGTTGGACCCTTGTTGTGACTGCTACGGGTCAAAAACACGTCAAAATGACCTCGAAAGTCAAAAAAAAAAGTTAAAGTTCCCAAAAAATGAAATCGTCTGAAAGTTCCAGAACACTATCCCGCTTGGTTGGACCATTTTGAAGGTGAAATGACTTAGAAATCACGCTGGGCAGATTCTGGGTGAGGTTGTTGACGTGACTTGAGCATATCCATAGGAGGTCTGTCCCGCGCGCTGGTGGCCACGTCATCAGGCTGTCTCGCGCGGGGGGCAGCAAAAAGTAAACAAACAGCCTGTCACCGCGCGTGTGCAAGTCACCCCTCGTGCATCAACCTATTCTCACCATCCACATCAGCCATCCTTCACACAGCTGTCATGGACATGCTATTCAGTCAACAAGTTCATTCTAATCATTACATGTGTATTCTCCAAACAGCAGAGTTGTTTGCCCAAGTGGTTGTCTGTCACGTCACGCGTGGGGCATCTGAATGACAAAGTAAACAACATGAGCTCAGCAGTCACCGCAGACACCGCAGACACCGCAGACACCCGTCACTCACCAGACCTGAGTGATGTGACGAGCAGGGTACAGGTTCTCATAGTGGTTGTTACTGAGATAGAGCCAGAGGCACTTGGTATGCTCTGGCTGACCATGGTGTCTCCAGAAAAGACCCCCATCCACCCGTCTCTTCAGGACTGAGATCCTGACCTTGTAACACGCGCAGATGGCCCTGATCTCTGGCTCATCACCCCACTCACCTGACTGGCTCATTCTTTGCCAGTACTCCCTGAATGCTGCTGCCTGTCCTTCTTCTCCATATTCTATGAAGGGGAGGTAGTCCTCATAGTGCACACGTATCCACTCAACAGCCTCCTCCCTGACCTTGGCTGCGGTGTACCCCTGCCCGAGACCGAAGGCCACAGCTCCAAACATACAGTTGCCGTCCTTTGCAGTGTGACTTGTATGGTATGCCGGGGGGTTGGAACCTCTGATCAGACTGACTTGATCTGAGTAGATGGGTGTGTGAGGAGGGTGGGATGGTGATGGAGCAGGTCTCTTGGGTGTCGTCCTGAATGCCAGTAGTTTGGCCTTTTTGGCGAGATGGTTCTGACGCGCGGCAATCAACTTGGCACGCTCGGGTGTGATCCTATTGACGGGAGGTGGTGGGGCAACTATAGGGAGACCTTCCATTGGAGGAAGACCAAGTAGATGCCCTGGTACTTGTCCCGTTGCAATGAGATTGGCAAACCAGATGTAGGAGTTGCCTGCATTGAGGTTGTGCTTGCACGTCCACTCGGCACACCTCATCCGGAAAGGACCCCAGCCATAGATGTTGTACGCGTGCCTGCTATCCTTCTGACAAGGGATGTCACGGTTGGGATGGTGCTTTCTCAGTTCCTTGACCAGATCCCTGGTACCTGCATCTCCCGGGTAGATCCTGTTGAGCTGTAGCAGGACTTGGGAAATGACAGTGTCGGGTACCTTGGTTGTGTTGGGCTGGCTGTGGTGTGTTCCCGTACGTGCTTCATCCGGCTGAGGGATGTCTGGATTTCCTTGTTCCCCTTCAGCACCTTTGCCTCTCCACCATGCAGCCTTGTCACCAGCTTTGGTGACCTTGTACCTCCCTGCATTCCACCCGAAAGAAGCCAGCACGTCTGCGGTGACTTGTTTCTGGAGCATGGTGGGGGGACGCGCGTCAGTCCCCTGGAAGACCTTTAACGTGGTTGCTCTTTGCACCATCCAGTTGGCATTGAGGGTTAGGGGTTAGGGGTTAGGGGTTAGGGTTAGGGGTTAGGGGTTAGGGGTTAGGGGTTAGGGGTTAGGGGTTAGGGGTTA